CTGGCTGCTGGGCGCGCAGCATGCCGTGGGAGGTCTGGGCAAGACGCAGGGCGAGATGCCGGACCTGCTGCATTCCTACCTTGGCCTTGCGGCACTCAGCATGCACGTGCACGAGCACGAGCACGGCGACGACGAGGCGCCGCGGGACCGGGACGCGCAGCATACGCAGCTGTCGCGGCAGCTGGCACGCTTGGATGCGGCCATGAACTGCACGCAGGAGACGAGGCTGTGGTTGAGAGCGTCACTGGAGGGGATGGAATGAGACACACACCCACTCCAGCAACCACCCTTCGCCCCCCCCCCCCAATGTGACCTTGCTCGTGCCGCGCTGCTGGGGGGGCTGGACGCCCCTCGAAACGGCTCACTTCCCCCCCCCCCCCCGCGGAGAGGGGCATGTCAGCTTTCCGCCCATTGGCGGAACTTGAAGGCGAGGGCAGAGTAGCTGGAGTTCCAGCGCGGAGAGAGAGAGAGAGAGAGAGAGAGAGTGTGTGTGTGTGTGTGTGTGTGGATTTCCTGGCTGATCAACAAGTAAAGCCAAACTCCCGCGGCGCGCGGCCCCGATGCAAACACCGGGGCATGGTTCGCACCGCCGCGCACGTTGCGGGCTCGATGCAGAATATGCCGGAGCGAGAGTGACATCCAAGCGTGCGAGCGACACATCATCCTCCTCTGTCTGTCCGGGAGTGCATTGTCGACCCATCTCACACACCATGCCATGCAAACTTCTCTCCGCATTGCTCACTTCTTTCCCTTCCTCCTCTTCCCTCCCTTCTTCTGCTCCTCCTCCTCCTCTTCTCCCTGCTGCTGCTTCTCCCTCATCCTTCGCGCCTCATCCTGCGCGCGTGTAATCTCCTCTGCCGACACCTCCTCGCCGGCGCGGATGCGCGCCACGATGTGCGCCGGCACGGCGACGCGCGCCACGTTGGTCTGGAAACCCGGAGCGCCACGGCCGAGGCCGGTCTTGGGGTCGTATGCGCGCGCACGCGCGGGCGAAGAGGCGAGCCGCAGACGCCGAGAGAGCAGGTAGAGCACGATGGGAGCGAGAAAGAGGACGTAGAAGAAGACCATGGCGTTTCGTGCGTGTTGCGCAAAAAAGACGGCTGGCCCGACGCGCGTAAAGGAGAGAAAGGTCGGAGTCTCGGCTGAGAAAAGCGCTGGGCAGGCCCGCTGTCGCTGTGGAAGCAGCTGAGCGCGCAGGTGTTGGATGTGCAGGGCGCGCGCGAGAGCCAGGAAAGAGGCGTGGGTCACGTGTTGCGCTTGGGCTGGCCTCGAGAGTCTCTCTGGCCGAGCAACGAGAGCGGAGATGGAGAGCGAGCGTGGGGTGAGAGGGGTGGCACACGTGGTGCGCGCGGGGAGAGCCGCGCTGGAGGGGGAGGTTGTGGTTGTGTCGCAAGCTGGCAGACGCGCGGGCGGCGGCGGCGGCGGCGCCGTGCGTCGAGCTCGAAGTCGCAAGCCGCAGCGCCGGCGCAAGCGAGGCGAGACGCGCGCCGCGCGCCGCGCCCGCACCGATGCTGGCATCGCGATGCCGCTGAGCAGCAAGCACGGCGAGAGTTCAGAGTGCTCTGGCTCAGTCTGCGCCCCCGCTGCAACCATGCTCGCTGCCAGCTCTGGGGGGGCAAGGGGAGGAAAGCCAGCCGATCAGGTCCTGCACACCCTGACCACGTTGCAGCCCAGGCGCGCTCCAACACCGCCCCATGCCCCCCACACCCACCACGAGAGGCCGCAGCTCAGCGCCGGGCAGAGCGAGGCTCGCGGCGCTGATGGCTTAAGCAAAGTGGCAGCGACGCACAATGACACGACGCACGCTGGGCAAAGAGGGAGCAAGCGCTGCCTCGCGCTCCCCTCTGCAGCCAACTGAATGCTCTCTCTCTCTCTCTCTCTCTCTCTCTCTCTCTCTCTCTCTCTCTCTCGCCTCCACTCGTGCCCTCGATGGCGGAACGCAGGTGGAAACTCCATCGCCCTCTTCCTCCTCGGCGCCTCCGGATAGACTGCCAGAGTTGCTCACTGCAGCTGCCACATCGAGGCGCTCCTCGCAGAGATCCTCGGCAATCCAGGCGCGACTTCTCCGCCTCTGGACCTCCCCCCCCCCCCTCTCCCTGGTCAGGCCTGCCACCACTCAGGCGAGGACTTTCGCGTGACGTCGTCTCTGCCATTCCACTCTCTTCTATCTCTCCACCCGCATCTCCTGCATCAACGTCTTTTCGCCCCTCTGCTACAGCTTCGCCTGGCTCGAATTGTCGATCTTGGTATGCGTGCCCGCGTTTGCCCTTCTAAGGCGCCTTCCGTTCTCTCCATCCTTGACGTAGATGTCGCACTTTTATGCCCCCATTCGTCAGCACCTCCATCTTACTTTCGAGAGGCGCACACTCACCTGGATCACCGCCACGCTCTTGCCCACGGTGAGGGTCTGGCACTCAATGTCGATCCAGCTGCCGACGGGACAGGGGGCAAAGTAGAGCATCTGGATGCTCTGCGACACACCCAGCAGCGACCATGGCTCGCCGTAGACGCCCGAGGTGTGCAGGTAGAGCACCATGCTGGTGAGATTGTCGCAGATGCTGGCGGCGCACCCGCCGTGCATCTGCCGCGCCGCGCGCGACAGTCAGCGCAGGGCCGCGCGAGGGCCCACCACGCACGCAACACGCACATTCATGAAGTGGTTGCTCATGCCCTCGGTGACCTGCATGGTGCAGACGACCTTGGCGCTGCGCCCGTCGTCGGTGCGCTCGAGGTGCGTGAGGCGCAGCGAGGCGTCGAGCGAGTGCCGCGTGAAGCCGGGCGAGTTGGCGTCGACCATGCCCTCGAGCATGTCGCGGATCTGCTGCCGCGCCGCAGCGATGCTCTGCAGCTGTGGTTGCGGCATGGCGCAAGAGAGGGTCGTGATGGTGGTGGGAGAGAAGGGGCAGCGCAGATCGCAACTGCGCTCCTGCCCCCTTCCCCGCCTCCACCCCGCATTCAGCGAGGCGCTTGAAAGCCAGGCAAGCGAGGCGAGTCGACTCGGCGTCCGCTCCGCCCGGCGCTCGGCCCGCCGCTCGCCCGAGCCCGATAGAGGAGCGTGGGAGCGGCGCGTCGCGGCCAAAGTGCGCGTTGCGCCGGCCTTGTATGTGGCACTACATCTTGCCCGCGCGCCGCTTATGCCCGTTTGTAGTCAGCGGCAGGGTGCAGCGGGCTGCTTCTTCTCCACCATCCTCAAGGCCGCCTCAAAAAGCTCTGCATCGCACATCTTCGGCGCCGTATCGAGGTGGCTCGAAGTCGGGCCCATGGCGGCGCTCAAGCGCTCAGCGTCGCCCTCGGCACCGCAGGCACACGGGGCGCTGCCAGCCGAGAAGATGGCGCGCCGCGCCGAGACGCCCGAGCCGCGAGGCGGAGCTCCGCGCCTGGCCGTGCTGCCGCCTACGCCTTCGATCAAGCAGGAGCCTGGCTTTGCGCGTGCCGAGGAGGAGCACATGGCCGAGCGAGGCCTGTCGCCGATGCCGCCGCCAAGTCCCGCAGAGGACGCGTCATCGCCGCAGAATGACGCCTCGCCCACTCCGAGTGGCGAGGAGGAAGAGACGAGGCGCATCAGCATGTATCCTGCGGTGCTGGGACGCATGGTCGACACTGTGCTCGAGGGCGAGGCCTACCTCTTCTCGTCTGTCGAGCAGGTGTTGCTGAGGCGGTACGCCGAGCTCCCTCGTGAGTTTTCCGCTGCTGGCATCACAGCGGCGAGGCACGCAAGCTGATTGCTACCGCATTTCTGCGCACCAGCTGCCTCGCGCTATCTCTTCGCTCGTCTGCTGCAGCGACAGGATGTCTGGCTGCGTCTCAATCGTCTGCGCTACGACGAGCGCGACCTGCCCGACATCGCCGCCGCTCTGCCGCCCCTCTGTGGCGCGCCTCCCGCTGCTCTCAAGCAAGAAGGCGTCGCCGACGACGAAGCGATGCACTTCTGTCTCGATTCAGCAGGGCTAGGCTTCGATGAGCTCGCTCCTGTGCTCGAGCTGCTCACGCTCGATGAGCTCAAGGCACTGCCGTGTCCGGCGCTGAGCAAGGCAAAGGCTTCAACTTCGACGCGTGCAGGCGTCATCGGCACCATTCTCGGCGCCGAAGGGCAGCGCCTGCTTCCTGGCATGTTCAAGAAGAAGGAAGAAGGCGAATCCGCGCAAGACGCCCCAGAGAGTTCGCAGACCGGTCTCCTCAAACGTCATCTGCGCGAGACGGTCGGCGAGGTAGTGCGCATTCCTCCCGCCACTCGCTCCCTCATGACGCGTCTGGCGCTCGTCTACTACCGCGCTGCAGTGTCCGACGAGCGCTCTGCCCTCACCACCGCCGTGCTGGCGGAGAGCAAGCGGCGCGTGTATCCGCAGTACGCCTTCCGCCGCAGCGAGCGACTCTTTGAAAGCCGAGAGCATCTCATTGCGCTGCAGCGCGCCGCCAGTGTCGAGGCGGAGGTGGAGGGTCTGCTGGAGCAGGACGGCAGCAAAGAGGCGTTTGAACGCGTCAAGACGCTCTTCGAGTCGGTGTATGAAGAGTGGAAGAGTAAGTCGCGCGCTTCGACTTGGCCGCGCCCGCTCGTCTGACTCCTTCCTGGCAGTGCACGTCCGAGACGTCGAAGCCTCCAGCGCCGGCTGCGATCAGAGACAGTTCTACTTCCGCAATCGATTCCACCCAGGCTGGCCTCTGACGCGCGTAGTCTTCAAGGGCGCCACTGCCCTGGCACACTTCAAGCTGTACAAGCGCGAGGAAGAAGTGCTGCGTGCGCTTCTTGCACAACGAGCCTTTCGACGAGGGCGGCGCGGCGAGTGGTACGATCGACTGGCGCTCATCCTGGGCGCATACTCGGAGCGACCTGACAAGGGCAAGGCGAGAGCGCTCGAGGTGGCAGTGCAAGGCATCGAGGATCCAGACACGCATCTCATCTATCAAGACACGCTGCAGCGTCGCATCGTCCGGCTGGAGTCGCAGCTGCGCATCGCCTTCTCGCGCAAGCACGACTTTTCCTACGCCAAGCTCGCCACGTGTCGCGAGCGCATCTTTCGAGGCACGAGACTGGACGCCATGGCGCCGCCGCCTGCGCCGCCGAAACGAGGACCGTGGGGCAATTCGTCTCCCTCGCCTTCTCCCGGCGCCGTCGACTCTACGAATGAGCGGCGCGCATTGCGCAAGCTCGTGCAGGTGGAGCGTGGACCCTCGCCCGTGAGCCCGGCGCGCCGACCGTTCAAGATGGAGAAGGCCGTGTCGGACCCCATGCTGCTCTCGGCGCGCGGCAGCACCGCCGCAAACGGCAGCGCCTACGTGCTGGAGGAGAGAAGGAGCATGGCAACGGTCTGGGAGGGCCTCGACGGCAAGTCCTGTCGCGTAGAGGATTATGTGCTGCAGTGCTATGCGGAGGAGGGCTTTACCGGGTGAGCATCGGGCGTCCTCGCGCGCCATGCTGTCTCGCTGAACCCGACCACGCCACGCAGCTTCCACTGCGAAGGCGGAGTGCTGCGCATGATCTTTGCGCTCGTCATGTGGGATGTCCTCTACGCGCCCGTCGACGGTGCATTCGAGACGCCGTTCCAATCCGCGCCGCTTGATCTGGGCGAGGATTCCTTTGCCATAAGTGCGTTAGCTGCCCGCGGCATCTGTGGCATAGCTGATCCTTCCCTCTGGCGCACAGCACGCGCTCCGCAGATCCGAGAGCGTCTGGCGCTCATTGAAGAGACGGGTGGGCTAGCGCTCATTCGTGAAGCAGACGAACGAGAGCGTCCGCGCCGCTCGTTCGCCATTGGCTGTCGCTGGGATCTCTACACGCAGCAAGACCTCCTGGAGATTGCCGAGGTGCGTGCGGACCCAGTGCAGCTGGCGCTGCATGCGCCGTTGCGGCAACCCTGCTGATGCCCGTGCGCTACCCTCTTCCTTACCCAGTGCATGGGAGGCAAGGCGATTGCGACAGTCTGCCAGATGTTTGCAGAGGAGTTCATCGCCGGCGGCTTGCCCGACCTGGTCGTGTGGCGCATGAGCGACAAGACGGTGCGCTTCTGCGAAGTCAAGGGGCCGGGTGGTGAGTCGCCGACAGGAGAAAGCGATACTCGGGGATGATTTGCTGATGATGGCCCTCGTGCTCGCCTGCAGACTCGCTGCGCGCCAAACAGAAGGTGAGCAGCTCTTCACTCGCGCTGGGCGACGCACAGCTGACGGTGTCCCTCCTCTGCTAGATCTGGATCGACGTGCTCCTGCGCGCCGGCCTGCAGGTCGAGGTCAGCCTGGTGCGTGAGGGCGTGCGCAAGCGCAAGGCCGAGGCCGAGCAGGAGTAAGGGCGCATCACGGTGGTCACGCGCGGCTGCAGAGGAGGCGCAGAATCGTATCGTTTCATTCGTGTCTGTCGCTTCGTCGTCGAGCGACACTCGAAGCTTCATCATTCTCGTCGTGCTTCTCGCGTGCTCTACTCGCGCTTCTGCACGCCCGCGATGGAGTTGGAGCTCTCATCTGCCTCTGCATCCCAGAACGCGCCGTCCGCGCTTCCCTCCTTGTCGGGCAGCGCCGGCGGCATCGGCGTCGGCGCCGAGATGCCGTGCTGCGCCACGGCCATCTGGCGCGCCTGCCAGTCGCGGCGCCTGAGCTGCGTCTCTTCGGCCGATCCGCGCCAGAGGGCGCGCTCGAGGAGATGCCGGACGGCGCTGCGAAGCACGCTGTAGCCGCGCTCGGCGACGAGGGCAAGGAGAAGGCCGGCGACGAGAGCCGAGGCGGCGCTGGAACAGGGGAGGAAAGAGGGCACGAGGGGACAGTACCGCTCTGACAAGCCGCTGGCGCTGGTGGTGGTGATGTCGGCGTGGTGCGTGCGCATCTTCGTCTCGTACCTGGCAGCGAAAGGTGAGCGACTGAGCGGCACGGCATAGAGAAGTCTGACGCACACCGAGTGTCCCTCGAGATGGGCGTCCGGCGCCTGCTGGAAGAGATAGACGAGGGCGGCGTTTGAGAGTGCGGCCAGCCAGGCGATGAAGGACTGGCAACACGCGTGTCAGCCTCGACAGACGCAGGACGGGCCCAGCGATGCTACGCACCAGGACGTCAAGCCAGGGCCCGATCGTGGCGCTGCGGCGAGGCACGGGACGACGCGAGTTGAGACAGACCTTGAGTGCGTCGGAGCGTAGCTCGAAGCTGTGCGGGGAGAGCGAGTCAGCTGAGGCATTCTCCCTCAGCAGCGAGCAGTAGCACGCACAAGTTGTTGACGAGCGCCATGACTGTGCAAAGCAAACGTCAGTCGGAAATTTGCCCGAGGCAAGGCGAGGGCAGCACTTACTCGGCGCAAGGGGCCAGATGGTGCTCCACAGCACAATGTAGCCAAACTGCGTCGCCATCTCCGCGTAATCGCCAAACGTCTGTGTGAGGTGTCAGCGGCTGGCACTGCTGCACCTGATCTTGCTCGCACTCACCTCGTACGGCGGCAGCGCCATTTCCTTTGCCACGCGCTGCAGGAACTTATCCTGGCTCTTGCCCGTCTTGCCACCCTCTGCACGCTGCTTGCGATACTCTGCCACCTTGCGCAGAATGAACGGCAGCACGAGCTCCGTAAAGGCGCCAATGGCCTGCGTCGTGGTGAGCACGGCAAAGAGCTGGTTGTGCATCCGCGCAGCGTTGATGTCGAACGCGACCTCTCCACTCGGCGTGTGGTGCAGCGTGCCGCGGGCAAGTGCGCGAGAGATGTGTCCGGCGAAGTAGCCGCGAGAGACGAGCTCGTTCATGATCGACTGGCCGAACGGGATGTACACCAGCGCCGAGAGAGTGAGCGCGCCGTACGAAACGAATGCTTGCAGTGCAAACGTCTTGAGCGTGAGCGCGTCGGCGTGATTTTGGGCGCTGTAGTGGTTCTGCAGTAGTGACATCGTTAGACGCAAGAGCGCAAGGAGAGCTAGTTTGCCATGTCTGTAACGCACCTCCCACTTCGTCAGTGCCTTGGCTGTAGCTTGCCAAGCTCCCATGATCTGCGGCACCGCCGTGGCGAAGAGAATCGTGGGCACTTGAGGCAGGAGAGCCGCTCCGACTCCATCCTGATGCGCGTCGTCCTCGTCAGCGCAGGCAGAGCGGACACAGCTGCGGTCCCACTCACGTAGAGCTTCGTCGCAAACACTTCGACGGCAAACATCGTCGTCAAGGTAGCGCCGAGGAGGGCGGCAAAGAAGAGCATGACGGGCAGTGACACGGCCATGCGGCTTTCGCGACGCCACCATTCGAACACTTCCTCCTTCTCGCCCGTCGCTTCGTCCACCTTCACCGTTCTCGGCTGGAAGTCCTGACGACGTTCGGCCACCGCCTCGGTGCCGTATGTGCCCCAGCGAACGCTGAGCTTGCGCTCGCGCATGCGCCAGACCTCGGTGAAGATCAGCGACCAAGCGACGAGGAGAATCGAGTAGGAGAGCGAAAAGACGCAGCCGGAATACCAGAAGGAGACGGCAATGGGAGCCAGGAAGAGGAGTGAGGTGAAGTAGGAGGCGAGGAAGGCGAAGTAGACGGCCACGTGCTCTCCGAATTGGGCGCGCAGATCGTCGAGGCTAGCGAGGCGATCAGCATCTCGGCGTCTCGCGAGAGAGAGGGGATGCGGGACTCACTCGCCGTCCTTGATGGTCAGCAAGCTGCCCAGCTTGGTCCATCGCTCAAGCCAGACGCGGTTGTACTCCGTGTCGTGCACGGGAAAGATGTCGAGGAGATGAGGGTAGGCAGAGCTCTTGATCGCCAGACCGGCGCCCGACGGCTGCGACGCTTCGGCAGAGGCGGGAGAGGTGAGAAGGGCGTGTGTGAAGCGGATACTGTGTTCAGGAGGGTGAGAAGAGGGAGAGCAGTAGTGAGAGCATGAATGCTTACCGCTCGGCCGGAGAGAAGGGCTGTGATGCGCTTCCGGGCCCCGGCGGTCCGCCGGCGCCGTGCAGGAAGTCCTTCATGCTGTTCGCCCGGATCAGTCTGCGCCCTGACACTCCCTTCTTTTGGCGCGGCTCACTTTTCAGCCCTCCGCATGTGCACCAGCGCCTCAGCTTCGGCCTTGACGAAGAGCAGCACCGTGCCCTTATCGGCGCCCGGCCGCGCAGTGAAGCGCATGCCTACGGAGCGGATGGCCGAGACGAGGCGCGCATACTCGGCGGCGATGGCGCGGTCGGCGGCTGCGTCGGGCTGCGCGCCGGCCTCGAGCGCGTGCGAGGGTGCGCACTCGAAGAGCAGCACGAGATCGACGGAGGGGTCGGGCATGGTGAGGGTGCGTGTGGTGGGCAGGAAGAAGTGAGGAGATGCCAGCGAACAGGGTTTCCCACCGCGCGCCGCCGCGCCTCCACATCGTGCGAGAGCAACTCAAAGCGCAAAGCTCGGGCCACGCAGCACGAAGACGTCAGTCGCGCTCCGCGCACGGGCCGCGGCTGCTGCTGCCGTGGGTTGCGGCGGCGCGCGGCGCGGCGGACCCTGAACACGACCACCATCCTTCCTGCCGCGAGCCACAGGCTGCTCTGTACCCAGCCCAAGATGATCGGCCTCGAGGAGAAGCCGCTGGCACAGCGGTACATCGATGTCCGCCGCAGCCGCAGCAGCGCAAGCATGGCGCGCCTGCTCGCGTGCCTGCTGCTCCTTGCCGGCGCCGGCGTGTACTGGCAGCTGCTGCCCGTGTGGCCCTCGCCGCGCCCCGAGCCGCCGGCGCCGCATCCGCCAGCGCCGCCGGCGCACGACGTCGCTGCTCGCTGTGCGGCGCTGCACATGCCTTCTGGGCCGCCGCAGCACTTCGCACAGCGCCGCCGCTCCGACCGTGCCAAGCCGGCCGACGAGGCGCCGCGGCTCGTCGTGCGCAACGCGACCGTCTTCACGGGCCACAACGAGGAGGTGCGGCACGGCGCCGACGTCTGGCTCGAGCACGGCCTCATCGCCGACGTGACGGAGAGCAGCGCACGCCGCAGCAGCGACGGCTGGGACGTCATCGAGGCGCACGGCCGCTGGCTCACGCCTGGCATCGTCGACATCCACGTGCATGCCGGCGTGTACTCGCTGCCCAGCCTCGCGGCGACGATGGACCACAACAGCGCCGCGTCGACGCTGACGCCGTCGCTGCGCTCGCTTGACGGCCTCAACCCGCATGACGTCTCCTTCGAGCGCATCGCCAGCGGCGGCACCACGACGGGCCTTGTGCTGCCCGGCTCGGCGAACAACGTCGGCGGCCAGGCGTTCCCAATCAAGCTTGGCAAGCAGACACGCAGCGACGCACGCCTTGGCGGCTGGAAACGCGTCATTGACCCGCCGGCGTCGCTGGCGCTGCCGCATGAGGAGCAGCGCAAGGGCAACGACGACGGTATGCAGCGGGCCGCCGGCCAGAGCGCCTTCCGCTACATGAAGGTGAGCTCAGCCAGGGTTGGGTTGCGCATTGAAGGTCCGCTGAAGTGAGCTTCTGCAGATGGCGTGCGGCGAGAATGCTCGGCGTCGCTACGACATGACTCGCATGGACGAGGCTCGTGCCTTCCGCGGCCTCTTCGAGCGGGCACGCACTCTCAAGAACCAGCAGGACGCCTTCTGTGCTCGCGTGAAGAGCAAGGGTTCGCCAAGTGATGAGGTCTTCCCGGACGACATTGAGCTCGAAGCCGTCGTCGACGTGCTGCGCGGCAAGGTCAAGGTGAACACGCACTGCTACACGACCATCGACCTCGAGGCGTACGTGCGCCACACCAACGAGTTCAAGTTCCCGCTCGCAGCCTTCCACCACGCCCACGAGGCGTACCTGGTGCCCGACCTGCTCAAGCGCACGTACGGCGGCACGCCGGCTGTGGCGCTCTTCAGCCTCAACGGCAACTACAAGGTCGAGGCGATCGCTGGCTCGCCGTTTGCACCTGCAATCCTTGCGTCGCACAACATCACCGTGCATCTCAAGAGCGACCACCCCGTCACGGACAGCCGGCGCGTGCTGAACCAGGCAGCGCAGGCTGCTCACTACGGTGAGGCCAGTCGACATGCTCAGCTGTGCATTGCTGACGAACCTACCAGGCTTCCCCAATGCACTCACATCGATGACCAGCGGCGCGGCGCGCACGCTCGGCCTGGACCACCGCCTTGGCTACGTGCTGCCTAAGTACGACGCAGACGTCGTGCTCTGGGACCGCGCACCGCTCTCGCTCGGCGCCACGCCCGTGCAAGTTGTGATCGACGGTGTGCCCCAGCTCGACCGGTCTCTTGCCGAGGCCGCCGTCGCGCACCAGGTTAGCCACATGCCTGGCCCGCCCGCAGCTGACCTCGCAGCTGAGCTTGAGCGCGTCAACGAAAGCGGACCGGACATCATCGCGCTGCAGGCCAGCGCGACACCTCTTCCGATCGACCGAGCCAGCGACGTGACGTTCACGAACGTGAGCGTCGTGTTTGCGCGGACATCCGGAGGCAAGATCGAGCGCACCGCCCTGCGCGGCGGCGAGGTGCAGGTGGTGGACGGCAAGATCGCCTGCGCCGGCAAGGCCTGCGCCAGCAGCCTGTCCAAGTCGCGCAAGATCGACCTGCGCGGCGGCACCATCATTCCGGGCCTGACCACCGTCAGCGGCGACCTCGGCCTCGCAGACATCACGTCTGAGCCGGACACTAGCGACGGCTTCGCTTCCGCGCGCTCATCGTTCGCGGCGCTCGTCGGCGACGACGCCAGGCCGCTAGCCCGCGCAGCCGACGTCATCCAGTGGGGCGGCAACGATGCACTGCGCACGCACGCCGCCGGCTTCACGAGTGTCGTCTCGGCGCCGCGCTCGCAGGGCTTCGTCTCGGGCTTATCGACGCGCTGGGCGCCCGGAGCGCTCGATGCGTGGGAGCACTCGGCGATCAACGCCTCGGTCGTGGCTCTGCACGCCGAGATCTCGCATCTGCAGACGTCACAGGCGAGATCCGCCCTCTCCGAGGCCGAGCAGATCGGCCTGCTGCGCGCGCTGCTTCGCTCCGGCAGCGACCGCATCCATGCGCACGCTAGCGGCAGCGATAACGCGGATGTGTGGCAGCGCGTCGTGCGCGGCGACCTGCCGCTCGTCGTGGCCGCCAGCCGCGCGGAACGGCTCAGTGCGCTAGTGAAGCTGGCACACGAGCATCCGCACATGCGTCTGGTGCTCGCCGGTGCCCACGAGGCCGCACACGGAGGCCTGCCGGAGGCCCTGGCGCGCGCCAACGTCGGCGTGCTGCTGCGCCCGCAGACGTGGAACGTCGAGTATGACGCGCGCCGCGACCTGCCGGGCCCGCCGCTGAGCCGGGACACGACGCTGTCGGTGCTGCGCAAGGCCGGCGTCAAGGTCGGCTTCCAGCTCGAGGAGGCCTGGCAGGCGACCAGCCTGCTCTGGGATGCTGCCTGGGCTGCTGAGCAGGCTGGCCTCAAGCAGGCGGAGGCCATCGAGCTAGTCTCGACCAAGTGAGTGCACCTCGCGCGGAATGACGTCTACCTGGCGCTGACACTCTTCCTCAGCGTCGAGAGCATGCTCGGCCTGGAGCCGTCGGAGGACTTCGTCGCCTTTGACGGCTCGCCGTTCGAGTACGGCGCCAAGGTCGTCGCCATCGGCTCGCAGCAGCGCGTGGACCTGATGCTGTAGGCACGCGCACTATGGAAAAGCAGGAATGATGTACATTTGGTGACACGGGTGACGAGGGCGCAGCACGGCGCAGGTATACACAGACGCAGCGGGAGAGGAGACAATCAGAAGGGCGAGCCGTCGCTCTCGGGCTCCCAGCGCGGCACGGGGCGGCGCGTAGTGCTGCGATTCGTGCCCGTGCTGCCGGTGCGGCGCAGGCCGTGGCCGAGCTCGGCGCGTGCCAGCTCGAGCTGCGTCGGCGGTGCGGCCGAGACGATGGTGGGCACAAAGTTGTACTCGTTGCTCAGGCCGTCGACGAAGAAGCTGGGCGAGGCGCTGAACTCGCCGCCGTGGCCGGCGTCGGAGCCGGCACGGCTGTCGGACGACGTGAGCGGCAGCGCGTCGCGGTCGACGACGCTGCCCGAGCCCTTGGCCTTGAGGTCGTCGCGCAGCGCGCGCAGGCCGTCGGTGACAGACGAGCTGGAGAGCTTGCGGCCGAGCTGGCGCAGCGTCGAGGCGGCCGGCGCGATGGAGGCGTCCGAGATGCGGCGCTGCAGGCGCGGCAGCTTGTCGCTGATCGACGCGCTGCGCCGGCGCGCCTGCTTGACGCTGTCCGCCACGGCGCCGGGCTGCGGCGACGGCCCGCGCGACGAGTCGCTGCCCGAGGCGCCGTAGGAGAGGCGGTTGAGGTCGAGCGACTTGCACGCGCTCTTCTCGCCGTCGGAACCGAGCGTCGAGGACACGGACGCGGGACGGCCTGCGCATGCGTGTCAGATTGTGGAGGGCCGACGCGACGCGCGAGCACGACTCACCAGGCTGCGTGACGGCGCTGTGCGGCAGCGAGACCATGTGCTGCTTGGCCGCGCTGGGCGTGATGTGCTCGACGGGCCGGCGGGCGCGGCGGCGCAGTGCGAACCAGGCGCCGACAGCGGCGCCGGCAAGCACGAAGACGGCCGCGACGACGATGCCGGCCATGGCGCCGGCCGGCAGCGCGGCGCGCTTGGCGGGCGGCGCATCGGCGGCCTGCTGCTGCGCACGCACGAGTGCGGCGAGGGCGAGCGAGGCGAGGATGACGGCGGGAGCACGAGGCATGGCGGTGGGCAGAGAGCGGATTGCAGAGGGCGAGGCGGGCGGCTGCTGGCGGACTGGCCCGGCGCTCGCTGCCTTATGTATGCGGCGGAGTCGACGGCAGCCGCCTGCTCGCGAGATGCGTCTGCACCTGCGGCTGCGTCGGGGCAGGGAGCGTATCGCAGGACGGCTGCCGGAGCAAGCGCAAGCTGCAGCGCAAGAGCCGGGGAAGGCGGCCGCAGCCGCAGCGCAGCACGCAGCACCAGGGCCCACGGCACGCCTGCGCTGATCAGCGCACATCGCGCAAGCCCTCCAGCACTGGGCCTGGATGCATGCACTCCGATGGTGGCGCCCCATGCGCAGCTCGCGAGCTGCTGCTGGCGATGGCTCCTGGACAGCTGAGCAGGACAGCGCCGGCCGGCTTCCCAGCATGCCCAGCGCACGGCAAGACGGCGCGCGCGGCCCTTGGCGCCCGCTGCGCTTCGGTGCACGCCAGGGCCCAGCGCATATGCCCGCGTGCGCACCGTCGAGCACACCACCAGCCGCCGCGAGGCTCGACTCCGCCGCCGCCGGCGCACCTACTCCCATGCGGGCAAGACGGCGGAGTGGTGCGCTGCTGCTGCAGCTGTGCTCCGCTGCAGGCCTTGTTCGCAGAGAGCTCTGCGCTGCAGGCGCGGCCCATTGCGCCGCCGTGCTTCTTTCTGTCGCAGCTGCGCCGGCGGCCGTGGGTGCGTGGGTGCGGTCGGCTGCGGTCCTCTGCAGCGCTGCACGGCAGCCACGCACGCAGCCGCAGCTGCCCTGCCGGCCTCGGCCTGCCGCCATGCTGACGGCTGGTGCAGCGCAGCTGTCGCGCGTGCTGCTGGTGTGGTGCCTGCAGCGCTCCGTCGGCCTGCCCGCCGGCCTTCCGCCTGCTCCGCTCCGCCCGCTCGCTCGCTCCCTTCCCCCCACACGTCAGCGCGCGCCGGCTGGGCAGGCTTGGCCTGCGCCGGCGATGCGCCGTGCCTGCTGTCTCTCTTCCCCTCATGCATCGCCCGCTTGCGTCGCTGACAGCGCCGGCCCTCGCGCCGGTCGCACGATCGACGTCGCAGCAAGCCCAGCCCAGTTGCGGCTGCACTCGTTGCGCTGGCCTGCGCGAGCTCGTGGGCCATGTGCATGCATGCACCTGCGATGGCCCTCCAGCAAGGGACGGCACAACGGGTTGCATGGTGCGGCTGCGGCTTGCGGCGGCGCACCCGCGGCTGCGCTGCGTGCACCGCACCCACGCGGGCACGAGGCGCGTGTGCGGCGCCGGCCAGGGAGCTGCATGCATGGCGCCACATGGCTCCCGCGCCCGCTCCCCGGCGCCCGTTCCCAAGCCTCACGAGCGCAACGTCCTTCCGCCGGGACCCTGCGCTGGAGCTTGGGCCGCGAGCGGGAGGCGCGGCTCCTCGTCGTCGGCGACTGGCGGCCGCTGCGTGGCCAATATACGGCGATGCTAGGACAGCAGCAGCGGGAAACGCGGCGCGGCGAGGAGGCCAGGGGCAGAGCGAGGCGGCGCTGCTGCGCGGAACAGCGAACGGATGATGCAGATGGCGACGGCGGCTCGGGCAGCGGCAGGACGTAGCGTCGCCGCAGCCGTCGAACCGACGCAGCCGCTGCGGCACACCACTCGACTCGAGGACGGTGTCGCCCTGACAATCTCGCATCCGGCTCAGCGCAGCCGGGTGCCGCTGCAGCGCTAGGGCGGCGATGGCCGCTGCGTACCTGTGAGAGCAGCAGCTTAGCGCCTCGGGCATGAACCCTCCCGCGCCATCCCATGACGCAGCCGCAGCAGAGACTAGCGCGCCCGCAGAGCACGCCAAAGCGATCCTTACTTGCCGGCAGCGTGCTTGTGCGGCGAGGAGCACGACAAGCAGCACGCCATGCGGATGATCAGCGCGCCAGGAGGTGATCGACATCCACGGCCCCTTGCGCGCCGGCGCGAGCCTCTTGCGAGCTGTCGGCGCTCGCTGCGTCGCGTGACGGCCGGCTGCCGGCCCGATGCGCTCGCCGGGCATCGCACGATGCTCTGCGGCCTCCGCTCGCCGCAGCATTCTTATTTCGAGGATAAGCAGCGAGCGGCCGGCTGCTGTGTCGCATGCGTCTCTCCCACGCCGGGCCGTCTGTCTCGCCAGCGCGCGCAAACCTTGAGGCGAAGGAAGCGTTAAGGCTCGCTGCAGCATGCAGGGCAGGTCTCGGCGGCGGTAGCGTGCGCTCCTGCGCCGCCGGCGTCCGATGCCCCATCCGGCGCGCCGCGCAGCCGTGGGAGCGGCGCATAGAAGCGCGCCCAAGACCCGCGCACCTGCGCGGCACGCTGCGCCGAGCACCCGCAACTGCATGCAGCCGTCGCCTGCACGGGCGTGTCTCACCTGACAGCTCCCACCCTCGACGTGCGCAGCAGCAGACGCAGACCCCTGCTCCGCATCAAGACGCCGCTAGACGTGCATGCGAGTCAGGGCCCAGCTGGCCTGATCGCCCTGCGTGGTGCCGCCGCATCTGGGGCCCCTGCACGGCAGCAGCGTCTAGCACAACCCTCGCACAGCCCGAAGCGTCGCACGCATGATCGGCCGGACCTTGCCCCCACGCTGCCGCCCTGCTGTATCTCCGGCTCCCACCCGCACGCGGCCAACCCAATCGTGAGACAGGCATTGGCCCCTCTGCGGCGCACTGTCTGGCATTGCCGCGCGCTCAGCCCTGCTGCTCGCCGCCGCCGTCGGCGTACGAGTTGCTCTTGTGCTTCGGCGTAAAGGCCCACTCGTCGGGCGTGGGGCCGAGGAAGAGCTCGCTGATGCGCACCCAGTCCTGCGAGTCCTGCGACGCCAGCAGCGTCTCGAGCTCGTCGCGCCCGCGGAACGTCGGCGGCCGGTCGTTCATCTTGGCGCGGTGCTCCAGCAAGCCAATCGGCACGTAGCGCGAGGTGAAGGAGAGATACTGCAGGGCAGCTAGGTGAGCGAAGCCCGTCGCACTACGGCAAAACACATCTCACCTCGCAGAGGAAGCGCCGTGTCGCCTGCACACCCTGTGTGTCGGAGCCCCAATGTGTGAGGCCCCACTCGGAGTACTGGCGGACGAGGTCGAGGCGCTCGCGGCTGCTGATGTCCCAGTCGCGCCGCTCCTTGATCTCAGTGAAGATCCACGGCTGCGGCAGGTGCGTGAGCAAGACGTGCAGCAGGCCTTGCCGGTGGCGCAGCGCACCTTGATCAGCGCGCCGCGCGCAATCATCACGCCGTCGACGTCTGAGAGCTCACGGCGCTCGTGATACGACTTGAAGTCGTAGACGTCGCCGTCGCCGAAGATGGGCACCTCGTGCATCTGTGCGCAGCTCGGTCAGACAGGACCCAGGCTCGGCCACCGGGCAAAAGGCGCACCTCTTCCTGGTCGGCGTGCTTAGCCTCCTCGTTGTGCGCGCGCACCGTGTCGCGGTATGTCCGCACGCATTCGCCAATGTAAGACCAGTCGGCCTGTTCGACCGCATGTTAGCGCGGGAGCACAGCAGGCTTACCCAGCTCACTCACCTCGTTCTTGTACCGCTGCTGACGCGAGCGGCCATGCAGCGTGGCCGCGCCGACGCCGAGCTCGCTCGACAGGCGCGGGAAGAGCTTGTGCACCGTGCGCGTCGACGACGTGCCGGTGCGCAGCTTGATGGTCACCGGCGTCTCGCCCATGACCGCGCTGACACCACGCACGATCCGCGACAGCCGAGACGGAGCGTCCAGCAAGGCGGAGCCTACAGAAAGGGGTCAGCAGCCGCAGTCTCGAGCATTCTGCGGCGCGTACCTGCTCCACGGCCGTAGATCAGATCAATAGGGCAGCCGCAGTTGATCTGAGCAGAACATCAGCCTGTGTCTGGCGCTGAGGAAGGCCATCACTCACGTCGACGAAGTCAAGCCCTCCGCCAATCTCGGCCTGCAGCGCCTCGGCCGCTGGCACAAGCAGAGCAGGCTTGGAGCCGCACAGCTGCACGCCAAACTGCCGCTCGCCCTCCCAGCGCCGTGCAAGACTCCACTCGCTGCTGCTGCCTTGCAAGTAGCTCTCGGCAAGTCCTGGGCTCGACAGTCAGCGTGACCTCGAGACGACACCGTCGTCAAGCCTCACCCATCTCGCCGCAGGTGATGTCGGCACCCTGCGTGACACAGAGCCGCCGGAAGGGAAGGTTGCCCGTGGTCGTCAGGGGCGCCAGATCTGCAGTACTGCAGTCAGTCTTGACCTGCAGACATTGACGCTGCCTACGCACACAGCTGGTTCTTCCAGTTGAGTCGCCGCTTCTCCGGTGCGCGGATCCGCGCAAAGTCAGGCGCGCCCTGCCGGCTGCCGCTCGCCTCTGCCTCGGCTGCGCGCTGCTGCGGCTTGCTCATGGCGTTCTCGAGCTCTTCGAAGTCGATTTCGGTCTTCGCTGCGGCAGGCGCTGCGGCTGCGGCGGCTTTGCGTGCCTGCTCGGCATCGAATGCAACGCGTGCAGCCTCTGCGTCCACGCCGAAGGGCTTCTTGTCCTTCGACTCCGCGTCGGTCTCGTTCTGCAGGATGGCCAGAACAGCGCGGCTCATTGGCAGCGGGTACTGAGCAGACGTCAGTCGGCGCGCAGCTTGCGCGCGCTGCACCACTCACGCTGCGCTTGGAGAGAGACCGGGTCGTCTCGGTCTTGACGTAGTTGAGCTCGTCGGGCGACATGGGCGCCGTGCCGCTGACGAAGTCGCGCTGCTGCACCTGCTTCAGCCGGCGCTCGCCACCTTCCGACGTCTCGATGTGGGCACTGAGGAAGCGGCACTTCCAGCCGGCCGGGCAGCCATTGGCCTCGCCGCCGTTTTTCGCCACGTGCGCCTCAAACGCCGGGCAGCGCGGCACAGATGCTTCACTCTCGGGCGCTGGCAGCACAAACGGCGGGCTTGTACCGTAGTGGGCGTCCAGATAGCGCATCTGGTCATCGGCAGACGCCGCATTGAGCGCGGACGTCGGGTGTGGAGGCACGATGAAGCTGAGGTCCGCTGGCTTGGACGCCAGGAAGTCGTCGATCGAGTGCGAGAACTTGCAGCTGCGTGAGCAGCATCAGCACCGCAGCCTAGAAGAGCATTCCTGTAGAGGCTCGCTCGCCAAGACATCAAGGCACCCCACAGTTGCGCCGGCCCCGGCCCACCACGCCAATGCCCGTCGCCCGCTCGGCACTCACTGGTTGCCGCGCTCGCACGTCGCGCCTCGCGCCACAGCATGGCAGATGCCCTTGATCTTCGTGTCGCTCATCTTGTTGAACTTGCGCGCTCGGTTCACCGAGCCGCCCTCCTGCTTCTGGCGCGCGGCACGCTTGCGGGCGGCGCCCTTGAGCTTCTTGCCCGGCGGCTCGGCGCCGTCGCCGACGTGGCTCGTGGCCGCCTCGGCGGCGTCGTCGTCGCGTGCGCCGCTGTCTGCGCTGCGATGCGACAGCACATACTCGGGCTTAAGCTGCGCCGTGCCGTGCGTGCCGGCGGGCGCATCGCTGAGGAGCAGTGTGGCAGACATGGTTGCGGGTGGTGGTCGTGCGGAGAGCGCCAAATTTCCTCTGGCAGGCGCCTGATGTCGTGCGCGGCACGAAGCACGCGCGTGCCCGAATCCCGAGGCCAGACCACCTCCTCTCTCAGCGACAGGAGGGCGACGCATAGTGACGGACATTGAATGTGCGGACCGCTAAGGATGATGTGGTATACTAATACAGACCGACGCTGCGCCGCAGGGCGAGCGAGCAGATGGATGAGGAGGAAAGGTAACGCGAGGATGAAAGAAGAGGAAGGCCCCGGCCCAGGCGCGCCGGCGCAACAAGCGGATGCGCTGCGGGAGCCTCAGCTCTGGGCCAGGCTGCTCATGAACGTCTCCCAGCTGCCCGGGTCCATGCCGATGGGGTAGTTCATGGCGCCCCAGAGGTCCGTGCCCTCGAGCGCCGGGATGAAGGCCGCGTCGGCAAGCGCCTCAAGCGCCGACGGCGACGCAGCCGCGCCCAGCGACGGCGAGTCGTGCGCCTCGCGGCCGAACGCAAGCGCACGCGGCGCAGCGAGGTGCGAGGCGGCGGAGCTGCTGGTGGGTACGCCGTGCGAGAGGCCCCAGCTGTTCGATGCGGAGAGCTGTGCGTGCGGGTACGGCAGCGCAGGCGGCGGCGGCAGCATCTCCTGGGCCTCGTCGCCCGCCTGCTCCTCGGCGCTGGCCTCGACGGGCGGAGGAGCGGGACTGAGGCCCTGCGGCGACTTGCCGCCCAGGGAGATGAGAATCTGAGCGTGCAGGCGGCCGATCTCCCACGTCTCCGAGAGGCGCTGCAGCGTGGCGATGCACTGCGTAAAGCGCTGCTGGCTCGCCGACGCAAACGTGAGCGCCGAGCCGGAGCGCGAGAGGGGCGCGAAGATGGTCGCGGCGGAAAAGATGAGGTACCTGAACTGGCGGGTCAGCGGGCTGAAGCTTCGGTCAGCGCAACGGGGCAGCACTCACGACCAGCTGCTGGGCACCTTGCGGCTGCGGTAGCAGCTCTCGTACGCGTCGAAGAGCTGGCAGATCTCGCTTGCCGCAGCGAAGCAGACGTCCAGCGCAGACTTCTGCTGCGCAGAGAGCGTCGCCTTGCCACCTTTGGGCGGCTCGCCGCTCGGCGCCGAGACAAGCGGACGGTGCAGGAGCAGGCACGTGAGGCAGAGCCACGCGCGCATCGTCAGCTGGTGCGACGTGGCTACCTCGCCCTGACCGCTCTGCGCACGTCCGTCGTCCTCGCCGCCGATAGCACGCGCCGTCGGACTGGACCAGCGCAGATGCAGCGGCAGGCGTGCTGTCCAAGACACGAGCCGTGCTTTCTGGCTCATCTGCGACGCCTGTGCAGTGCCGCGGCTGTGGCCCGCGCGGCGCGTGAAGACATCGGAGATGACGCTCTCGAGGATCTGCAGCAGCTCGACCCACTGTAGAGGACCCGTCAGCTGTGCCGTTCTACGCGCTCGGCACATGTCTACTCACGGCGACGAAGTTGCTCAGAGAGTGCGTCGAGCGGCCCTGCAGGCCTCCAAGCGCCGCGGGCGTGACGAAGCGAGCGGCCTCGGACTCGTGGCTGAGCCAAAGATCGTGCTCATCGCGCTCGCGCGACGTGGCCGGCAGCGGCTGCGACGCCTCGGCGGCGCGCAGCATGACGGGCTTCTCGAGCACGGCGCAGAGGATCTTGTCGAGCGCATACGCCGCCCAGTACATGCGCCGGGCCTCCTGCACGGCCGAGGCGACGCGCCACGAGACCGGTGCGCCGTCGCTTTCCGCCTCGCCGACGTTGATGCGAAGATCCAGCGCCTGCCGGCAGGCGAGACCGCCCAGCGCCCAGGCGCAAGAGACTCGCCCGTGGCCCAGCTCGACGAGCGTGACGAGCAGCAGCGCCTGGCAGGATGCAATGCGCGGATTGCCGACCTCCTCCAGCAGCAGCGAACGGCGCGCATCGGCAATCAGCGTGCTGCTCAGGCCCTGCGGCCAGGTGGCCGTGCCGAACCCAGTGAACGCCTCGGCGTTCTCTGGCGCGTCGCCTGTTGCAGCCGCACAGCCGATGACGGCCTTCCAGAGCACAGGCTCCCGCTCGCGCAGCGAGCGAAGCGAGTGGATCGTCGGCGCATAGAAGATGGGCCAGAGCGAGTGGATGAAGGAGAGAAAGTACTGCAGCAGGCGGCGCTCGATCTCCTCGTCGAGCGTGTGCAGCAGGTGGTTTGCCGCCGCGCTTGTGGCGTCGTAGTAGGGCCCAGGCGGCCGCACGGGCGATGCGATGCGCTCGGCAGGCAGCGGAGGCAGCGCATCGGCCTTCATGACGCCGTTCCACGGCGCACTCGGTCCGGCATTGGACGGCGGCGAGGCAGCCGAGGGATAGGCAATGCGCGGAGACGAGTACGGCAGCGGCGGCGCAGGGACCACAGCACGAGGCGGCGAGTGCATCGCAGGACGCGACTCACCAGCCGAGCCCCACGCCGCGCCAGGCTCGCTGCTCGGCGGGTGTGGCATGTAGACGCCGTTCGAGGAGCCGTTCATGGTCGCCAGCATCGACGCCGACGAGGGCAGGTGCGGCAGCCCGGCGCCCGACGCCGAGCGGTACGACGCTGCGCTGTCGTTGCTCTCAAGACGCGCGTGCGGCGGCACGTGGCCGTAGTGCTCGCTGTGTGCGGCCGGCGGCGGGAAGATGCTGCCGGAGCTGCCCTGAAGCGCGAGCAGCGAGTGGCTGGCGGCCTCGCTCTCGCGCGCCGCCGCCTCGCTGAGACGCTGCTCCTCGTTGCTGGTGCTCTGGCGTGCCCGGCGCAGCTGCTGCTGCTGCGGCGGCTGCGAGTGCTCGTCGCGCTCGTGCTTGCGCACGCCGCCGCGCGGCGGACAGCCCTTGGGCGGGCCGCGCTTGAGCGCCACGCGGTAGAAGCACTCGGCCTCGCCGGCGACGCTGGTGCAGCGCGCACACGGCGTGCCGCCGTCGCACTTGACCTTGAGGCGCGAGCAGCGCGTGCAGGCGGCCGTCTTGCGTGCCTCGCCGGACGACGTGCTCGGCGACGCCGGCATGGCGGCGGGCCCGCCGGGCCTGGCCAGGGATGGGAGGGTGGAGCGAGGGTGCACCAGCCAGTGGCGCGCAGATGAAGAGGTGCTAGGACGAGGCGTGCGGCGGCATGGGTGCGTGCGCCGGCGTGCCGAGTGAGGTGCAGCGAGCGAGGCGATGAGTGAGGCTCGACGGCGCGTGCACGGGCTGGAGCGGCGAAAGCGTGGTCGGGAAGGAAGGGCCGGAAGTGCGCGGCGTGGCGCAGGAAGTGGAGATGGCGGTTCGCCCGATGCACCCGCGATGCGCAGCCGCTGAGCGGCTGACAGCACCCCAGCGCCGCGCCGCGAGGACAGCCGAGCCGCCGCGCCGCATCGAATTGCCGCCGGCCTCGCCGCAGCACCTCTTCATTACCTCTCCATCTCCCTCTCGTTGCGCTGCAAAATCTCTGCACGTGCGACACGGATGTGGGCGTCTACCTGGAAAGTGCTCGTCGGGCCGCAAGCGTGCCGGAGCCGAGTGGCCGAGGCGCATCGGACGCAGGATCCGCCACGCCGCGCCGCCGCTTGCTCTCTGCAGCACAGCCGTCGGAGCGCAGCCGTCAGCGAGGCGATGGGCGCCGCTGCGCCACGTCTGACGACGAGGCATAGCTCCGGACCGTGCTGCTTGGCGATGACTGGGAGCTCAGGTTAGCCTCAGAGGCTGATGGGAGTTGCGTGGAGAAGGCTTCGGACGGAGCAGCAGCGGCGCGACAGGCCTCACAGCCTGGACCTCCTCGCGCGCGAGCGACAGCGGCAGGATCTCCGCTCAAGATCTGCGCTGCTTCGGCCTCGGCCGTCGTGACCTCGGCGATCTCGCTCTGGACTGGTACGCTGCACCCTGACCGAGCCCTGCATCGGCTGGAGGAGCAGGAGGACCGGCGAGGTGAGAAGCGTTCCCACGGCCGCCGTGCACGTGACCCGACACGCATGGCGTGCGCTGCGAGCTGCCTTGCTTCAGCGCGGCGCGCGGCCGCGCAAGGCGCAATTCAAATATGCGCGCCGTGCTGCGGTCTGGCGTGCGCGCCCCCCTGGGAGCGCCCCGATGTCGCCCCAGATTGCGCCACTGCGCCGGCCGCCGGCCACGGGTGCCCACAGAGCACGCTCGCGACGCACGCAGCACCTCATGGCGGCACGCTGCACAATAGAGGGCCCCACTAGCGGAAATGCGGAGTCGGGGTCCGGCCGACGTGCAGGCGAGCAGCCGCCGGCCGCCGGCTGGCAACGACGTGCACGGAGCACCTTCGGCGAAAGCGTCTCGTCCCAGGAGCGCATCCGTCGCAAGAGTTTGCCCCCTGGAGCATGAAGGCTGCTCTCGGACGTGTCTGCTAGCGGGTCGGCATCGCGCTAGCGCACCGAGCACGACTGAAGGAGCAGATCTTCTTTGCTCCCTCGCCCTCGCTAGCTCGCGCTCTCCGTCGCTTGCGCCCGTGCAACGTGCGGCTCTACCTGGCGCCGCGCGGGATGGCACAGACCTCTGCGCTGGCACTCTCACCCAAAGACGCCATACGCTCCACGACGCTAGCGGCGAAGCTGGCGCCGGCTTGTCTGTTCTGCGCACGGAGGCTGCAGCGCCGGAGCAGTTGCGTCCGCGCGATGGACGGAGGATCTCATTCGGACCAGAAGATTGCCCATGGGTGGCGCATCCGGCCACACATCGCCCATTTGCAGAGGCCAGAGTGCGCTGAGAATAGGTCGCCTCTGAGTCGCTCGTGATTGCACTCTCGCGCTTGGCCGCAGCGCGCCTGCTGGTCGCACGCAATTGTCATCAGCCAATGCCCGCTTCGCCCAGGAAGCCCTTACGGGGACTTTACCGAGCGCCGGCCAACTGGTAGCGCTCCCTCTTCTTCGGCTCCAGCGTGCGGAAATCATCTGACTGTGCGCAGAATCACGACACTGTGATGGCAGATTTGCAAGTCACGCTGGCTGGTTGGCCTGCAAGGGTCTGTGCCGTGTGGCAGCTCGCCGGGCAGCGTCTTCTGGTGGCGTCCAAAGGGGTATAAAGACGAGGCGAGAGGGCCGCCCAAGCGTCGATTCCTCATCATCCTCTCCGATCCCCTCCCCTCTCCTCTCCCACTCGAGCTAGCCATGAAGCTCAGCACCCCTTTCGCCACCCTCGCCACCCTCGCGCTCGCCGGCTCTGCCGCGGCGTTCCCTGCCTTCGTCGGCAAGGGCGAGGCCGGCATCGCCGAGCTGCTTGCTCGCGCCGAGTCGGCCGACCCCGAGTTCTACGCTCGCGCCAAGGCGGCCGACGAGGCGGCCTTCCAGGCCTTCCGCGAGCGCTCTGCCGAGATCCGCAAGGGCGGCGAGGTGTACAAGAAGCGCGCCGACGGCAAGCGCTCCATCACGGCGCTCATCGATCCGGCCTCGTTCAAGTTCAACGACGCCGAGCAGACGGTCGACTTGACGTCCGACGAGCACAAGTTCATCGCCCCGGGCCCGAACGACATCCGCGGCCCCTGCCCGGGCCTCAACCTGCTGGCCAACCACGGATACCTGGACCGCAGCGGCGTCACGACTCTCACACAGGGAATCGACGCAATCGTCAAGGTTTTCGGCGTGGGCCTGGTGAGTGGCGCCAGGAGGTCTGCTTGGAGCGACCAGCACTGACTCTTGACCTCAGGACCTGGCGGCTGCCCTCAACGCCTACGCCGTGCTCTTCAACGGCAACCTGCTCGACCTGACGTGGTCGATCGGCGGCCCGTACGGCTCCAAGGGCCTCGGCGGCGTGACGAACCTGCTATTCGGCCAGCCGCAGGGCATTAACGCCCACAACATCTACGAGGGAGACGCTTCCATCGTGCGCCAGGACTACTATGAGCCGGGCGCGAACAACGACAATGTGCTGCTGAAGCTCGACCTCTTCAAGGAGCTCCTGGCCGACGGCGGCAACAACTCCGCTGACGGCGTGGACGTCTTCACCCCGGAAGTCATGCTCAAGCACAAGTCGCGCCGCTGGCATCAGAGCGTGGAGCGCAACCCGCTCTTCTTCAACTCGGCCTTCGGCGGCCTCGTGGTCACCACGGCGGCCGAGCGCTTCGTCGCGGAGTTTGCGGCGAATAACACGGCTGATCCGGAGACTGGAGCAAACCGTATCTATCTCGACGAGAAGAACCTCTTCGCCTTCTTCTCCGTCGAGCGCAAGGCCGACGGCGAGCTCGTGTACACGCCCGGCCACGAGCGCCTCCTGCCCAGCTGGAAGCGCCGCCCGCTGGGCAGCCCCTTCTCGCTCGTTGACATCGTCATTACGCTGCTCAACGCCGGCCGCATCGACCCCTCGCTGCTCTCCGTCGGTGGCAACGCCGGAAAGGTCAACAGTTTCGCGGGCGTGGACGCCGGGAACCTCAGCGGCGGCGTCTTCAACACGGCACAGCTGCTCGAGGACCCGCAGGCGCTCAGCTGCTTCCTCTACCAGGCCACGGTCACCGAGCTCATCCCGACGCAGGTGCAGACGCTGTACAAGATCACGGGCGCCGCGCTCGACTTTGTCGGCAAGACGCTCGCGCCCGCCTGGGGCAAGCTCAAGGGCGGCGACGGCGACGAGCCGTGCCAGTCGTTCAACACCAACGCCGCCGGCCGCGTGTCGGTGGCTGATGCGTACAAGAAGTTCCCCGGCAGCAAGGGCGCCCTCGTCTAAGCTGTGACCAGCGAGGCTCTGCCCCCCTTCCCCCCTCCCCTACACTAGTCCCGACGCTCAGCTGCTGCGCCCGTGCGCGCGCGAGGTCCCCCAAATTTAGCGAACGGCACGTTTCTGCATTCATGACATTACGAGAATGCATATCTGCCCACTCCCGCCGTCGTGTGATGCTGAGCGAAGGCTGAGGGGCGAACGCGAGGTGCAGAAGACTCGATCCAGCCGACTTGCTGCGAGCACGCCAGAAGACCGCGCCACCTGCACGGACAGCGCGTGCTCGCGCCTGCCCTTCGCCCTGTGGCGGCGTTAGAGCCGCGAGGCCCTGCACTCGAAGCTCCGCGAGTGCAGCTGAGCAGCGCCGAGCCGACGGGTATGGCGAGCAGCAGTCTAGAGTGGAGGCGACCGGCCCTTGCCTTGCGGCCGCAGCAGAGCTTCTCGAGATGTGCGTGGCCGGGCTGACCCCGAGGGCCACGCAGAGCGAGAGCGAGGCGAGGCGAGTGGAGCGGGCGTCGAGGCTGCTTGAAGGCAGAGCCCGGAGTTAAGCGTGCGGCGCGCCGGGCCGGAGCAGACGCCGACGCCGCCGCGAGTTCAGCTGGCTTCCTTGGCGCGCGCCGAGCGTGCCGCGAGGGCTATATGAGGCGCGCTCATCTCGACTCTCGACCACCACCTCCCACCACCCATTCGCCTCAACATGAGCTCCTCTGCCGCCGCCTCCTCTGCGCTCTTCCAGCCGCTCAAGCTCGGCCCGCTGCAGCTGCAGCACCGCGTGGCGCTGGCGCCCCTCACGCGCTTCCGCAACACGGCGTACGTGCCCGGCAGCGCCGAGCAGGTCACCTACTACGCCCAGCGCGCCTCGCCCGGCGGCCTGCTCATCAGCGAGGGCGTCGTCGTGTCGCCCGAGAGCAGCAAGAACGACCGCGTGCCGGGCCTCTGGAGCGAGGCGCACGTCGCCGGCTGGCGTAAGGTCACCGACGCCGTGCATGCAAATGGCGGCTTCATCTTTGCGCAGCTCTGGCACCTCGGCCGCGCCGCCGGCAACGGCACCTGGCAGGTCGACGGGCGCGACTACTCGGCCGTTAGCGCCAGTGCCACGACGGTGCCCGGCGGCAAGACGCCGGCGCGCGCCCTGACGGAGGAGGACCTCGACCGCGTGGCCGAGGAGTACCACACGGCCACGCGCAACGCACGCCTTGCCGGCTTCGACGGCGTGGAGGTGCATGGCGCTAATGGATACCTCCCGAACCAATTCGTTGAGCCCATAACAAACCAGCGCTCGGACGGTTACGGCGGCAGCGTGGAGAGGCGCAGCGCCTTCCCCCTCAAGCTATTGAAGCGCGTTGTCGATGCCATGGACGGCGAGGCGGGCCGCGTGGGCTACCGCATCTCACCGTTCAGCGACTTCCAGCTGGAGGAGGTGTACTCGAAGCCGCTGGACCTCTACGTGCCGTTCGTGGAGAGCATGCTGCGCGCGCACCCGCAGCTGGGCTACTTGCACGTGGTGGAGCCGCGCGTCGCGGGCATCAACGATGTGCCGCCAGAGACGGCCGATGCGCAGTCCGTCGAGCCGCTGCGGAAAGCCGTCGCTGAGCTCGGCAAGGGCACCATCTTCATCGCCGCTGGCGGCTTCAAGGCCGAGGACGGCATCGCGCACGCCAACCGAACCGGCGATGTCCTGGCTTTCGGGAGGTACTTCATCTCCAACCCTGACCTGCCTGCGCGCATCCGCGATGGGCACGAGCTGCATCCTTACGACCGCAACACGTTCTACAGCCAGGGCGCCAAGGGCTACACGGACTACCCCACGTACGCCAAGGAGCAGCGCTCCGCCAACCTGTGATACCCCCCCCCCCCGCGTCTATACATAGATGATGCATTAATGGACTGCCCAGATGGTATACTTGCGCGGGCTGCGATGCCTACATGACCGAGCACTGCCCGCTTGTCAGTTGTCGCTTCAATGGTACACTGCCAGGCGCACTCACCTGCTCCTCGTTGCCGCTCGCCTGCTTGGCGAGCTCGCGCGTGAAGCCGCCAGCGTCGCGCGTGCCGCCACCGCCGCCGCCAAGGTGCACGACGAGCACGCCGGAGTTGTGCGGGTCCAGCTGCGCAGAGAGATTGTAGTCGCGCATGAGCTTCTCGATGGCCGGCTGAGTAGGAGGGGTCAGTGGGGCGGCGGCTTCGCAGCAGGCTGTGGTGCTTACCTTGATGTGCGCGACGTGGTCCTTGGAGTGCAGGCCCTTGCCGACGATGACACGCAGCTCCGGCTTGCCCTGCTGCTGCGCCTCGCGCACGGCTCGCTCGGTGCGCTCGATGGCCTCGGCCGTGTAGAGGCCGTGCAGGTCTGCCGGCACATGTGAGCCCTTGCGCTGCCAATCTGCCCAGGCGCACACGCACCAACCTCGTTCTCCGCCGAGTCCTCGTTGTTCGCCTTGAAGATCCAGTCGGCCGCCTGCTGATTGAAGTCGTTCATGCGGCGCTTGTGGTCATTGCCCTCGTTGCTGAGCTGCTTGGCGCGGGCGCCGTCGCCCGACGAGTAGGCCTTGTGCGAGGCGTCGAAGCAGCGCGCCATGGCGTCGCCCTCGGAGCGCGCCGAGTTGCGCAGCTGCTGGTAGCGCTCGTTGGCCTGGTTCACCTGCGCTCGAGGCATGAGCATCCACCGCAGCGCCAGTCTATGCCTCTCCCGTGTTGCATCATGCACTCACCTGGTTGTCATCGTAGCGACCGTGGTTGGGCTTGACGCCCGGCGCATGCGTGGCCGGCATGCCATGGCCCTGGCCCGCCTGCCATCCGCCGTGCTGCTGCGGGCCGCCATATCCCTGCTGCTGCTGGCCATAGCCCTGCTGCTGCTGGCCGTATCCCTGCTGCTGCTGCGGATAGCCCTGCTGCTGCTGTTGCTGCCACGGCTGCTGCGGCTGCTGCCACGCGCCGCCCTGCTGCTGCTGGTGCTGCTGCGGCTGCTGCGCCTGGCTATGGCCGCCCGCGCCGCCGCTGGCCTGCTTCTTCTTGAGGAAAAAGAAAAGCTTCTTGCCGTAGCGGATGATCTGGCGCTGGTGCGCCTTGAGGAAGGCGACGATCTCGTTGGCCATGATGGCGCGCGCACGGCTGGCAGAGTCCGGGGATGGGCGCGGTGATGCGTCTCGCAGCGGGCCGCCGGCGGATGGCGGTGTCGCCGGCCGCCGGCCGCCGGCCTCGTCGGCGCATCGGCCGGCCGGCCCGGGCCTCAGGGACCAGCGTCACGTGATGCCTGGCCGCCGATCATGCAGGGCGCAAGGCTCGCTGCGCCGCAAAACAAGCTCCGCCCCGACAGCTCCTCTCACGCTGCAGCGCTGCCTCTCTCGCCGTCGAGCCCAGCAGCAGAGAGCGGCAGTCGAGTTGGAGGCGCACGCCGTGGCATTGCTCGTTTCGAGACGCTGCTCAGCGACAGCTCGCTTCCACAGGCCAATCCTCCGGCAGTCGACGTGCGAGGGCGCTCTGCCTGCGGCTGCGCACGATTGGCAGCGTTTCTGGGCTGGCGTGCAGGCCCTCGATGGGCTGCAGGCTGCATGCATCGCTCAAACGCCGCCTGCCAAACGACGCTGCTGCCGCCTGCTGGCGGTGCGGCGCAGGAGGCGCGAGAGCGCGCCGAGGCGCGTGCATGGCGCAGGCGAGGTGCCGCGCAGCGAGGAGGGGGCCGCCGGCTCCGGCGGTCGCGCGAGCATGCCCCTGACCGACCGCCGGCCGCGGCTGCGGCGGTGCGCCGCACGTCTTCTTGTGCCTTGTGGCTGCGCAAGGCGCGGCAGAGGTGCGTCAAGACGAGCCGCCGCGCCCGCCGCCGCCGGCCTCTCTCCTGCGCGCGGCGTCTTGGCCCCGATTTTCTGCGCCGCGAGCAACACGCGCCGCGCAACACCGCTCTTCTTTGCCTCGCAAGAGGCGCCGTAGCATCATGCAGCAGCGGCCCAGGTGCATGCTGCATGTGCGCATCAGGCAGGCGAGCGCACACGCTGCCGGCGAGCCGTGCGTGGTGCTCTTGATGAGAGAAGGCCGCCGTGCAGCCCAGCACAGCAGACCAACGCCCCGACGCGCGCTCGGAGCGCCGCCGATGCGCCTGTCCGGCGCTCCTTGCGCTGGACCCGCGCCGTTGCGGCCGCAGCGTTGTGCCGCGGCAACGGCCAGAGCGTCAGGCACAAGCGATGCTGGGCTGCGCCCCTCGCTGGCGACAGAGGTGACGCAGCGGCAGCGACAGCAGCAGCACAGCCCGAGGCGGCCGCCGTGCGCTTCTCGCAGGCTCGCTGATCGACGGCTCGACGCACGCCTGCCTCGCCTCCACCACCTCCAGCCCACCATGTCCTACGCACGCGTGAGCAACGCGCCGCCGGCACACTCGCCCTACGGCAGCGGCACGGCGGCGTCGTCGGCGGCGTCGCTGGCGCTGCGGCGCGACTCGCCCGGCAGCAGCCTGCTCGGCCATGGCAGTCCGAGCGCCATGAGCGACTCGCCGTACGGCAGCACACAGCACCTGCGCCGCCGCAGCCTCGGGCACAGCGGGCTGGGCGACTCGTTCAGCGACGAGAGCAGCTCGGCGGCAGGCTACGCCGGCGCCGCCGTGCCGCTCGACGGCAAGGACGGCTACTCGAAGATGGCCGAGCCCGACGACGAGCTGCACAACCCGCGCAATGCAGACGCCCACTCCAACGCCATCAACCTGCGTGGCCTGCTGAACGTGCTCACATTGGCCCTCATCGGCGGCGGGCTGCTGACGCTGTTCATGGGTGAGTGCAGCGGCGGCTGCGTGTGCTTCACGTCCTGACGCTGCGCCAGGCTACCCCATCATCTCGCACTTCACGGCCAAGGTCGAGTCGACCAAGGGCGCGTTCAACCTCGGAGGGACAAACGGCACGGGACAGGTCGCGACGTTCCCGGGACAGCGGCGGCTCGTCGATCCCGACACGCCGCCGGCGGCGCAGAAGTGGACGGGCGCGCTGGGCGACTACCATGTCGTCTTCAGCGATGAGTTCGAGACGGAGGGGCGCACCTTCTGGCCCGGCGACGATCCGTTCTGGGAGGCAGTCGACATCTGGTGAGTCGCTGCGGTGTCCAGCGCACTGCTCTTGCTGACAAGGTGCCTTCAGGTACGGCGCGACTGGTGAATGGCGGTCCGGAGCGTGGAAAGAGGCGCACAGACTGACGTAGCGCAGGCGACTACGAGTGGTACAGCCCAGAAGCCGTCAACACGACCGGCGGCGCGCTCACCATCACGCTGCTCGAGATGGAGACGCACGCGCTCAACTTCCGGTCAGGCATGCTGCAGTCGTGGAACAAGGTGAGCGCGTCGGGCGTCTCCCTGCCTGCCTGTGCTGACCCGCACCTCCTACAGCTCTGCTACCAGGTGCGCTGACTGCGGCATAGCACTGTGGCTGCTCTGACGCTCTTGCACCTGCAGGGCGGCTACATCGAGTTTGCCATCATGATGCCCGGCACCCAGCGCACGAGCGGCTACTGGCCGGCGGCATGGACGATGGGCAACCTGGGCCGGCCAGGCTACCTCGGCTCGACGGCAGGCATGTGGCCGTACAGCTATCCCGCAGCCTGCGACACGGGCATCCTGCCCAACCAGACCTGGACGAACGGCACGGGCCCTGATCGTGCGATCCACTCGACTGGCGAGTACCAGAACCCCAAGGGTCAGCTGTCGACGCTGCCGGGCATGCGCACGCCGGCATGCACCTGCCCGGGCGAGGATCACCCGGGCCCGAACCACAACGTGGGCCGGAGTAGTCCCGAGATCGACGTCCTCGAGGCGCAGGTGCAGACGCACGCCGGCGAGACGCACGTATGGGCCTCGCAGTCGCTGCAGACGGCACCGTTCGACGACGACGTGAGTGGCAGAGGTCTGCCTCGATGCACCTTGTGCTGACGCCGTCTTGCAGTACTTCTGGGGCAACACCTCGGACGTCGTCGACCTCAATGCTGCACGCGGCGACCAGACCCGCATCAACGACTACGTCGGCGGCCCGCTGCAGGAGAGTGTCAGCGCGCTGAGCCAGTGCCCCGACACGGGCTTCACGGGCACGCAGCAGAAGTACATCCGGTACGGCATGGAGTACTCGCCGGACTGGGACGCCAACGGCAAGGGCGAGGTCACCTGGGTGCGTGTGGGCGTGGAGCGACAGCGCTGTGCTTTGCTGACGCGCCTGCGTAGTATGTCGACGGCGAGCGCACCTGGACCGTCAAGGGCGCAGCCATCGGCCCGGTGCCGAAGCTCGACATCAGCCAGCGCACCGTGCCGACGGAGCCGATGAGCATCATCATGAACCTCGGCGTGTCGCCGCAGTTCCAGACGGTCGACCTCACCTCGGGCACCCCGCGACAGCTCGTCTTCCCAGCGCAGGTGGGTAGGCGGTGACGCAGCGGCAGTGGCGCGATGCTGATGCAGATGCGCCGCAGATGAAGGTCGACTACGTGCGGCTGTATCAGCTGGACGGCCAGCCGGAGCGCCTGTCGTGCGATCCGTGAGCACGCCGCCTCGGCTGCGAGAATGCGCGCTGACACGCTGCCGGCAGCGACGATCACCCGACGGCCAAGTACATCGAGGACCACAAGGTGCTCTACATGAACCCCAACGTGACCACATACGAGGCCGGCGGCTTCAAGACGGTCAAGAACCGCCTGAAGGACGGCTGCTAGACGCCTCGCCCGCCGCCCCGGCCTCTCCCCTTCCGCTTCTCTCACACACCTAGACCGCGCGCAGCACACACCTCACTGACAGCACCGAGCATTGACTCTATAGTTCACACATTGGCCCGACCCTTCCCGCTCTCTCTCATCACCCATGTCCGCCCTCATCACGCCTGTCTGATCCGCTCTGGAAGCACATACACTTGGCTGGTCCTCGGTGCCCTGCCTCGCATGCGCGTCTTGCCACGCCGCCGCGCGCCGCGCTGGTGGGTTAAGGCGGGAGGCGCGCCCGGAAGCGCTGCCGAGCAAGCATGCCGGCGCTGTTGCCGCACCCTTTGGACTCAAAATCTGCTGTGCAGTGCTCTCGCCGTTCACATGCTCACAGAGGGCTGGAGTGGTGTCAGATCATGAGTCGGCGGCTGTCGGGAGGGCACACCAAGGTCTCTTGGCGGCGCGCGCGCGCGCGCGCGTGGCGCAGCGCACGTGACCGTGCTCGAGCCACGCCGCCGTGCCAGCAGCAAGATTGGCCGGTCCGGGGTTGCCTGACCTTCACCCTGCCTCACACCACCACCACACACGCACCGCACATCGCACCCTCGCGCAGCACACGCCGTCTGCACTTCTCCGTCTCACGTACACGTGCGCCTGCCGCAGAGCACGACGCGCTGGCGTCTCGTTGTGCGGCGGAGCATCACACCCAGCATCATCGCTGTGCCTCAGCCGCCAGCAGCTGGCGTTCCGACCCGTACTCAGACGAGGCCCCTGCATTGGTCTGGCCCTTAGCTGCGGAGCACAGGCGTAACATCTGATAGTCCGACAGCTCCTGCGAGCCCGTGCTCAGCATGTCGCAGCACTCGCGGCATCCCAGCGACCGCATCGGCAGCGACCGGCCGGACAGTCCGGGCCCCAGCTCGGGCCATGATGGGCGTGCGCCGGGCTCGGACACGCCCGACCGGCGCCAGAGCTCGCGCGAGCGCTCGTCGCGCAGCTCGGGCGGCAGCCGGCCGCAGTCGTCGGGCGCGCCCAAGAAGCCGCCGGTGCGCATCGGGCAGTACACGCTGCAGCAGACGCTCGGCACGGGCAGCTTCGGCAAGGTCAAGCGTGAGTGCCACGGACATGCGACGCTTCTGCAGCTGCAGATGTCGAATGGAGGCCCAACAGGCGCAGAGAGAGTGCGCAGTCGCGGAGCCATGGTCTAGATGCAGTAGTGGCGGCCCTCTTCTGCTGAGGCGGCCGATCGCTCCTTCGCGATACGAGAAGACGCTCAGCCCGATCGTCCTGCTCGTGTAAGGTGACGCTGACCTCGGATCTCCAGTGGCTACGCACTCTATCACCGGACACCGCGTGGCGATGAAGATCATCAATCGGCGGAAGATCTCGTCGATGGACATGGGCGGACGCGTGAAGCGTGAGATCCAGTACCTGAAGCTTCTGCGCCATCCACACATCATCAAGCTGTACGAGGTCATCACGACGCCCAGCGACATCATCATGGTCATTGAGGTGAGCGCGTGCTGTGCAGAGACAGCCCCGATGTGCTGTCTGACGCGCACTGCAGTACGCCGGCGGCGAGCTGTTCCAGTACATCGTCGACCGGGGCCGCATGTCCGAGGACGAGGCACGGCGCTTCTTCCAGCAGATCATCTGTGCCATCGAATACACGCACCGGCACAAGATCGTGCACCGCGACCTCAAGCCGGAGAAGTGAGTCGCCTGCACCGCTCCCCGCCTGTGCGAGCCTAACACCCGCCACAGCCTCCTGCTCGACGAGTTCCTCAACGTCAAGATCGGCGACTTTGGCCTGTCGAACATCATGACCGATGGCGACTTCCTCAAGACGAGCTGCGGCAGTCCGAACTACGCGGCACCAGAGGTGATTTCCGGCAAGTGCGTAGCTTCTCGCGATTCACCGCCGACGTGCCCGGCTGACCTCGCACACCCAGGCTCTATGCCGGCCCCGAGATCGACATCTGGAGCTGCGGCGTGATCCTGTATGTGATGCTGTGCGGACGCCTGCCGTTCGACGACGAGTACATCCCGACGCTGTTCAAGAAGATCAACGGTGCGTGCTCGCCGGCGTCGCTCATGCCCTGCGCCTGCTGACCTTCCCACAGGCGGCATCTACTCGCTGCCGTCATATCTGTCGGCCGAGGCGAAGCACCTGCTGTCCTGCATGCTCGTCGTTGATCCCGTCAAGCGCATCACCATCGCCGAGATTCGCCAGCTGCCCTGGTTCAAGCAGAACCTGCCAGCGTACTTGCGCCCTCTGCCGCCAACGCCTGCCGCGGAGTCGCCGGGCTTCGACTTCATGATGTCGCGCTCTGCGGATCCCTCACCAGAAGGCAGCGAAGGCGCCACACCAGAGCCGGGCGATGCCCTCTCTACGCCGGACCTGGGGCACTTGGAGGAGGAGATTGTGGAGGAGCTGGCCGGCAAGATGGTCGGCTTCACGCGCGAGGACGTCGTGCAGCACCTGATGGACCCGAGCGACAACCAGGTCAAGGTGGCCTACCAGCTTGTGCGCGACCACAAGCGCATGCTGCAGACGGCGCACCTCGATGAGCAGAAAGAGATGCAGGGCTTCCTCGCGCAGAGTCCGCCGGCGTGGAATGCGGGCCTCTCCGAGCTGGGTCGCTCGACGAGCATCAAGCGGCAGGGTCGCAGTGCGCCGCCGCAACCTGTGGACGGCAACGTCACGGACGAGCCGGACCACAGCGTTATCCTCGATGGCAACGCGACCGACGACGCCGCCGAGACCTCCGACGACGGCGGCACGCTGCTCAGCGACGAGGACGCCACAGACGACGACCTGGCAGAGTCCGCCACGCCAGTGCACTCCGGCATCGGCGTGCTCGAGACGAGCCTGCTGCGAGGCAACGTCGGTGAGTTGCGCGCACCGCTCTGCCGGGTGAACTGCGGCTGATATTTACCCGCGCGTGCCGCAGGCCCAGCCGGCGGCGCGCCGCCGGAGCCCGCGCCGGCGCCCGCCGCTCCGCAGCGCAAGCCGCGCTCGCGCTGGCACTTTGGCATCCGCAGCCGCAGCCCGCCGATGGAGATTATGCTCGAGCTCTACCGCACGCTGCAGGTGCTCGGCATGGAGTGGCGTGCGCCGTCCGAGACTCAGCCGTCGAAGGGCGACAAGGCGGCGGGCGAGAGCGAGGACGCGGCCAAGGGCGACGACCTCTTCTTCATCGAGACGCGGTGGAAGGTGCAGAACGTCATCGTGAGTGGAGCCGCGCCGCCACGGCATGCATCTTCCTGACGAGCCGCTGCTGTTCAGGTCCGAATGAACCTGCAGCTCTACCGCGTCGACGACTCGAACTACCTCGTCGACTTCCGCAACGTCGGCTACGTGCGCCTGCCGCCGGCCGCACCCGAGAGCAGCGGCGTCGATGCCGATGCGCTCGGCGCCACGCTCGAGCAGGCGTATCAGGAATCGTCGCAGGGCGGCGCTGCCTCTGGCGCTGCGGCACCCAAGGGCCCGAGCCTGACGCCGCCCGTGCCCGAGGGACGCAAGGACGTGTCTAGTCCGTTCCTCTTCCTCGAGTGCGCCACGCGTCTCATGTGAGTGCCTTCGGCAATGTCTTCATGCCCCGTGGAGACCGTGGCTCACGCTTCCTCTCCGCAGCGTCGAGCTGGCTGGCGGCGGATGAACGTTGCCCGACGATAGTGTGCGCCTCGCTCTCTGACCTTTCCATTTCACTCCCTCTCTCGCATGTACAACACTCTGGCCGCCGCTGCATCTGTTACAACCTCCTTCACACGCCTCGTTCCGCGCATTGACGGGCCGCCGACGCCCAGCGTCCCGTCTCCGCATTCCCCGCTGATGATGCAGCATCGCAGGCGAGGACGGGCCCGCGCGCCCCTATCGTGCCGTCGGCTGCGCAGGCTGCCTGTCGTGCTGCTGCCAATGGCCGTTGGTCCGCGCGCGGCGAGCCTGAGAAGACAGCTGCTAGCCGCCAGCAGAGCAGGAGCGACAGAGGAGGGGCACGGCCTTGCCTCGCCGATGCTGCTCCGATTGGGCGTCCGAGGCGCCGCGCCGGCGAGCCGACGGCTCCATGCCTCTCCTGCGCTTGGCAGGGCACGGGCAAGCGCACGGAGCGAGGCCCGCCTGTCAGTGCGGCGACAGCAGGTCCCCGGACGAGCATTGAGGGTGCCTCGGCGCGGCGCTGTCTGCGCTGGCGATGCATGATCCATCGTCGGTTGGCCCGCACGCGACGCGTGGCGGGCGGCATCCGCGTCGGGTGCCTGGCGCGTGGCTTTGCGTGGCATGCTGCGGCGTCCGCCGGTGCCGAGCAGGCCAGAGGCATTGAGGCAAGCCCGGAAGCTGATTGTCGGATCGCCGGGGGCGAGCGAGCACCCTCGAAATATACGGAGCATTGGGATGCGCGGGATGGCGGCTCTGCGAGCGAGATTTGCGACACGCACACGCGCGCGCCACGCTGCGCAGGAGAGACAGCGAGCGCATGCGCCTGCAGCGGCGCGTCTCCCCGCACATCACATGCCGGAGGCCAGGACAGGACGCTGGCCGCGAGCATGCACACATGTGCGTGCCTATCTTGGGCCGGGCGTGGTGCTCCATGCGGCGAGACGAGCTCTGCCTGGCGTTGCGCTTTGCCTGGTGTGCGCCGGAGGGCGTGCCGCAGCGACGCCCTGCTCACGGCCATCCCCTGTGCTGCGACGTCACGCGTGCAGGGGGAGCCGGAGCCGACGCCCAGCGCTGCGGAAGCGGAGGGCGAAGAAAGGCACCGACAATGAGCCGAGGTCTGAGTCTCGCACTCAGGGGTGCGTGGCTTCCACGGACCGACGGCTGAACCAGAGGCGGCCGCTGCCTGCTGCGGCATGCTCGCACGCCTGCGCGCTGCTGCTGCGAGCTGCGAGCGCTTTGCTGCACTCTGCACTCTGCACTTCCAGCTCCGGTGACAGCAACCGATAGCCAGCACTCAGCTGCGCACTCCGGCCATTGTCCCGGTGGTGCTGCGGCAGGCACGCTGAGCCACGGCGATGAATGCACAATGCGAACTCTGCGAGATGCACCGGATCGCCAACCGTGCAGCAGAGTGCAGCGAGAGGTGCAGCTTGCCGCAGCACGCACCTGCCTGCCTCGTTCGCTCGCCGGCATTCCACGCGGCTCCGGCCGCCCAGCTCAGGGTCCGAGGTCGGACGTCGCCCGCCACTGCCAGGACAGCAGCGCGGCAGGAGAGCAGGGCGCGGTGTCGCCTCGACGTTGCGATGGCAGGCCGGCGTCGCCGTCCGCCGCTCCGCCTTGCTCGCGTGCCGCAGATCGCCGGGTGCCACTGCTGCGGCGGCGCTGCTCGTCGTCGCAAGCACGCAGCGCTCTGCCTCGTTCGCAGCTCGCGTGAGTGCCGCTGGGGGTGACGGGCGCTGCTCGTATGCGACAGCTCGGCGTGCCTGCTGAGGCGCTGAGGGCTTGAGGTGCGGCGATGCCTGCTGAGGTGGTGCTCAGCGGCGCCAGCCGCTGGCTGCTGCAGCACGGCGCCGTTCCCAGCTCCGCCGAGCCCCTTGCTGCTGCGTCGCTGGCCTGCCGGCTGCGTGCTGCGCCTGCGCCGCTGCCGCGCTGCAGCTGCGAGGCTGCGCTGGCGTGGGTCGGCGTCGGCGTGCGCGCCGCGCCTCTGCACCGAGCCGTCGGCATGCTGCTTTGGCCGCGCCCACGCCGACGCCCGAGCGCCCAAGCGCAGCCTCGCCCGCTGCATTCTGCTGTAAGCCGTGCAGCATGCTCTGCGCCAGCGCTTAGACGAGGGGCTCCCGCGCTCGACAACTAGGTTCGAGACCGACTTGCAGCGGCAGCGTGGCGTGTGCGCCAGGCAAGCTCGCCGGCCTGCGCTTGCGTTGCTCTCAGCCCCGACTCAGGGGTGGCGCGCGCGGCGAGGAGCAGGGTACAGCGTGCGCAACGGTGCTCGGCGCCGCCTCACGTTCCTGCTGCGGCGAGCGGCGCCGAGACTGTTTGCACTCTCTCTGCGGAGGATAAGCCCTCGCTGCGATGCTGCGGCTGACGCGTTGCTCAGCTGCGGAGCTGCAGCACGGCCGTTGAGGGTGCGTAACGCCCCGGTCGTTAGGGCCGTTGGGCGGCGTGCGGAAGCGCACTGCAGCCCTGCGCGCCTGCGACGTGCCGACGTGAGGGCAAGGGCCGGGCCAGCGCCTCAGCGTGCGGCACGGTGCGCTCATCTCTGCCGCAGGCCGGCCGCTGTGTGCCATGCCTTGCTCTTGCCGTGCGAGATGCGCATGGGGCTGCAGCGGCATCGTCAGCACAGCAGCGCAGCCTCCAAACCGGCACGGGTCCAGCGGCGCGAGCGCCCCGCATTCGCCCTTGCGCACGCGCCAGCCGCAGCATGAGGCGTGCCTGCGACGCTTCGCCTCGATGCCGCATCGGCCGCTCCCTTCGACGCTCGCACGCTATGATGATGCTTGGAGCGCTTCGCTTCGCTGCAGCTGCATCTGCGCGTGCCCGAGCCGCCGCCGCTCTACGGCTACTGCACCTCGCTGCACCCTGCATGGTGCTGCTGCGGCCCGCCAATCCTCTCTCCCTCGTGGGCCCAAGCCGCAGCGTGCACAAGCAGATCCCATACGCAGGAGGCTCGCTGCATGCAGCACGGTGCTCCAGATAGCCGTGCCGCCGCACCCGATGCGCTGCGTTGGCCTAGCACGACCCCGAATCAGGCCTCCCGCCCATCCTTGCTTGTGCGTGCTGCGCTACCGCTGCAGCTGACAGCGCCCAGCGCAGTGCGAGCCCCCCCTTGGAGGGCGACGACTCGACTGCGAGTTGCTGGCGCTGTCGGCCGCCGCTGCGTGCGCTGCTGCAGGCAGCCTGCAGCGTGGCCGCTGCGCACGCAGCCAGAGGTCATGCCGCCGTCGTGCATGCCTCAGCGGCTCGAGCTCGACGCCCCGCCGCTGCGTTCGCAGCACGCAGGCGCTCCTTCTCGCCGTCGCCGCTGCCGGCCCCGAGGTCCGCTTTGTCCGAGCACATGCCGCGCTGCAACGCCGCCCGCCCGCGAGGAGAGCAACACCTTCCCGCGGCGGGCGAAAGCCACGAGCGCCGCGCGGCTCCCTGCTCGGCACGGGCGGCGTGTGCCTGCGGCGGGTGTGGCGCAATTGCGAAGTCCAAATCAAGAGGGTGCAGGAGAGGCGGGAGGCGGGCGGTGTTGGACTCGAGCAGCGCGGCGTGCAGCGGCAAGTCAGCGAGGCGGCCGAGGGGCAGAGGCGGCGCGGGCATGCGCGAGAGATGCACACTTCGCGCGCTGCACGAGGTGCAGCGCCGCGCAGCGCATGGTGGCGGCTGCGCGCCGCACACGGGCCTGCTGCCGCTGCCGCTGCGTGCTCGCCGCGCACGCACACCGCCCAGGGGTGCTGGTGCAGCGCAGGGCCGCAGGACAGCCAGCGCAGGGCAGCTGGCGAGTGCGCGTGGCCGGGCGTGCAGGACGGCGAGGGCCAGCAGCGCAGCAGCAGAGGACGGCGGCCTCTGACTTTCAACGCTAATCGCGGCGCCTGGACGCCGCGACGTGCTGTCGCAGCTCGCCTGTCCTGCGCGCTGCTGCGCTGGCTGGTGCGGCTGCACTGCGCTGCACACGGCGGCCTTGCGAAGCGTGTGCGTGCGTGTGCATGCGCTGCGATGCTGCGACCTGTAGCGTGGCGGCGGCTGGGATTGCGAAGAGCGCACCCGGGCGACGGGATCGCGGCCAGGCACGGCAGTCTGGAGTGCGGCGGAGAGGGCGAGAGAGGGGCGAGATGGACGGCGCGGCGCGGAGCGGCGAGGCGCGAGGCGCGGTGCGTGCGCGGCGCGGTCGCAGCGGCGTGCTGCCGGCCTGCTGCGCTGCCTCCGCCCTTGTGCCCGCGCCGCGCCCGTTCCGCGTGCGCTGACCCCGGCGATCCCCATAAGCCGCACCTGCCGCACCTGCTCGCCCTCCCGCCTCCTCCTCCTGCCCGCCCGACACTTGCACCCTCACACCCGCACACCGCACCCTCGCTTCCTTCCCTTCCCCGCTCCCATTCTCTGCCGCTCTCCTTCTTGTCTCTCTCTCCCTTGCTCGCCTTCGCCCGTCGCCGTTTCCTGGATCACTGTTACCGCCGCGCCCCTCTTCCGCCATGACGACGAGCATGTCGCGCGCCCGTCCCAGCCTCGCACACCGCGCCGTGTCCGAAATGGGCAGCGCCCACCACGTCGCCGCCGGCGCACCGCTGCCGCAGGGCGGCGTCGCGCCGCGCTCGCCGTTCCTCGGCCTGCCGCCGGCGTGCGACGCCGACATGCTGCAGCAGCACGTCGCCAGCGCCGCCGCCGAGCACAAGCAGCGCACGCCGCGCCTCGCCGCCAGCTCCTCGGGCCGCCGTGGCTCCAACGACGCTGCTGCATCTGGCTCCGCCTCGTGCCTCGCCATGCGCCGTCTCGGCGGCGAGGCCATGGCGGCGTCGGCGCCGCGCTCCTCCAACATGGTCCGCAGGTGAGCAGCGCCGCACCCAGCCTCACACCTGCACCTGTGCTCACACCCACACCCGCTCAGCTTCTCCCTGCCCGTGCTCACCGCCGTCGAGCTGCAGCGCCAGCAGGAGGTGCTCAACATGCGCCACCCGCCGACGGCCGTCAACGCCATCGGCACGCAGCCGTCGTGGTGGACGCCCGAGTGGGCCGTGCCGGGCGCCGGGCCGTACGCACCCGCCGTCGTGCCGCGCCGCGAGTCGCACTCGGACCTCGCCGACGGCAGCGTCGCCATGGCGCCGAGCGCCTCGTCGATGCAGCGCCGCGGCTCCGCCGTGCACGCCGTGACGCTGCCGCTACCGCCGCCGACGACGGGCCTCGGCATCACCAAGAAGCGCCGCTCGCCGCTCGCCGCCGTCGGCTCCGCCAAGCCGGCGCGCTCGCCGCGTCCGTCGCCGCTCGGCGCCATCGACAACCGCATGGCGCCGCTGCGCGAGCGCTCGCTGCACCTCGCCGTCGCCAAGTCGCCGCTGCGCGCCGCCTTCGCCACCGCCGACGAGAACAGCGCCGGCGACTACTTCTCCACCACGCACAGCAGCGGCAGCGACTCGGACGACGAGGCCCTGACGCCGCGCGCCGGCTCGCCCATGTTCCTCGCCGCCGGCAAGGGCGACGTCGACATGCTCGACATCGACTTCATCCACCCCGACCACCTGGCGCCGCCGCCGAGCCTCCTGGCATGATCACGCCCTCCAAAACAGCGACGCCCCGTCCACGCTGCAACGTCATCTCTCACTCGCGCGTCGCATCTCTTCATTAGCATCGACACCATCCACGACCACACCGCCATCACCATCATTCTCGTCCGTCACGTCCATCAGCGACCGTCCATCCTGCGCACGCCCGCGTCGCACCGACCATGGTGCCTCGCCGTCATCTCTTTACGACCTCCATCAACAACCCGCCTCGTCCACTGCTAACCGCCATCGAGCCGAGCCCGCGCCACCTTGCCGCGCGGCGCAAAGCTCCTCTGGCACCCGTTCTTCTCTCTCTCTGCCTGCCTCGCGCTCGTGGTTTCGAGCTGCACCTGCACTTACTTCTTACCACCTCACCTATTCCGTGCTCCTCTCTCATCCACCAGCACCCCGCACCCTCATGGCCGCGCCTTCTTCACGCCGTGCCTTGACGCCGCTCCTTCTCTTTGCATCGCTCCTTCTCCCAGCATCTCCTTTGCCACTCTTTTCTCCCTCGTCTAGCGCCTTCGCTGCGCCGTCTCTCTACTTTTGCACGCTCCGGCCTTCCATACCTGTATCACTATTCCAGCCTCTCGCCTCGCCGCTGTCGCTCTATCTCCTTCCGCGACCGCACGTCCTGCGCATGCAATGCATCCTAGCTGCACCGGACCACACAGCGTGAGAGAGTGAAAGATGGTATTAATGCGAGCTGGACCATAAGTCATGCGGCGCCGTCGAGCGGCAGCGCGCGGTAGTGCGAGAAGACGTCCATGTGCGGCGCAGCAGAGGCGCCAGGCTCATCGCTGATGTTGAGCTGCTGCTCGCTGCTCGCCATGTCTGCCGTCGTGTCGTCGTCTGCGTGCTGTGGCCCCGCGCTGTCCACTGTGCCCGTAGTGAAGCCGTGCGCGGGCTCGTCGTACGCTGGCTCGCCGTGCGGAGGCTGCTCCGCAGGGTCGGCCGGCAGCAAGGCCTCGTCCTCGCCTGACTGCGGCTGACCGGAGGCATGCTCCTCGGGCTGCGCATCCGGCACTGGTGCGTGAGGCACAGCGTCGTACTGTGCCTCCGCCGCGTAGTCTGCTTCCTGCGACATCGAGGCGTGCTCCTGCGCGATGCCGTGCGCAGCATCTGATGATGGATACGCCTGGCCGGTGTCTGGCGCCTCTTGCGGGCCGTCGAGCATGCTCTGATCCGCTGTGCCGCCGTCGTCGTGCGCAGCGGCAGGAGCGTTCGCTTGCTCGACAGCAGCATAGTCGCCCGCATAGCCGCCGGGATCCGGCGCCAGGTCTGCGTGCTCCCGGTACCATGCCTCGACCGACGCCTGTGCCTCGGCGTCGCCTTCGCCAGCGGGCACAGCGTGCCCGTCTGCCGAAGCATCCATCGCCTGGGCCGCGAGGCCGTCTGTTGCATCCTCGTCGCCCGCGAGCGGCCACTCCTCCGAGTCGTTGTAGTCGTGCGCCCACGTGGCCGCTTCGGACGTGTCCGGCGAGTACGACGGATAGGGCAGGCCGGTCTGTGGGTCGATGCTGTTTACAGCATGTCAGCGCTTGTGCGCAGCGTGTATGAATAAGACGCAGCTCACTGTGCATCATGCAGCCCGCTGCCCGAGCTCTGCTCCTGCTGCAGCTGGTGCAGCGCCATGTGTTCTGCGGCCGCTGCCTGAGCAGCGCTCTGCATCTCGGCCTCGGTGCGCGTGCGGCGCTTGCGCTTCGGCGGATGCTCCTCGTATTGGCAGTCGCGCTTGCCGATGGCGCACTGCTTGCACGGCTGGCCGTCCTGGCTGCACTTGACCTTGCGCTTGCGGCACACGAGACAGCCGTTGCGCGAGCGCCGGAACTTGGTGCGCCGCTGCGGGCCCGATGCTGATGCATGTTGCGTCGAGCCGGCCGAGCTACTGCCCGAGGCGGCGGCCGCCTGCGCAGCAGCGTGCTCGTGCGGTGGCACATGGTGCACGCCGGCCTGCTGCAGCAGACCCATTGCTGCGGCCGTCGTAGGGTCGCTGTATGGGCTGTATGCGTCGCGCAGGTCGGCTGCGGACTGCGCCAGGCTCGCGAGCGCGCTGTAGAATAGAAAGAGCGTGAGCAGATGCCGAGAGGATGGCGCGTGTGCCTTCATACGAGGACCGCGACGCACGAGTAGTCATAGTCCTGCATCGACACGCGGTCCACCGCAGCATGCTGAGTGTGGGTCTGGTGCTGCTGGTTGCCTGCCCATCCGGCTGCAGCGGACCATTGCCGTGCAGGCTGCGCCGGCTGTCGAAAGTTGTCAGCTCCGGCGTCGCGACGTAGCGCCAACGCAATGCTCACCTCCGCAGTCTCATCTGCCTCGACCCATGCCGGCGCCTCGCCGTTGCGATACGCCTCGTCGGTAGCGCTCTCTTCGTCCTGTGGGCCCTGCTGGGCCGGCGCCTCGCCGACGTCCGCCTCGCCTTCCTGCTGCTCTGCAGGAAGCGACTCGGACGCCTGCTGCTCGGCATCCATCTGGGACGCCTCTGCATACTCGGTGGACAGCTGATGCGGCGCTTCGCCACCCTCTTGCGCCTGTTCGAACGATGCGTCGCCTGTCGGCAGACCTAGCGCGGCCAGGTCTGCGCCGGCGCCGGCCAGCATGGCCACAGCCGCCAGCTGCTCGGCCTCGGAGGGCTGCGACAGAAAAGCATTGTGCTCTCCGAGCTCGCCGCCGTCGCCGGTGACTGCTGCGTACATCTCGCTGATCTCTGCCGCTACCTGCTCGTCAAATGCGCTGTCGCTGGTCTCCGCTTGAGATGCCTCGTGACCGGCGTCGGCGAGCGCTGCCTGCCCATCTGCCTCGATCTCAGGCGGGTATGACTCGCTCTCGCCGGCGGCTTCGCCAGTATAGACGTCTTGGAACTGCTGGTCGAGGTACGAGCTGTGTACGCAGCAGTCAGACCTGGGCCCCAGAGAGAGAGAGCCTGTGACGCCGCCAACACATGCGCAGCGGCAAGCCAAGGCTCAGGAGCAGGCTGTCGGTACTCACGCATCGATCTCGGGGTACTCTGGCATGTCCGCCTTCTGCCCATCCGGCATCGCCGCACCCTCCAGCGCAGCGACATGCTGTGCCTCAAGCTCCGCCTCGAGTGCGCTCGGCGCCTCTCCGTCCGGCTGCGGCGCCGCGAGCGGCTCGGACGCCCCCAACGCCGGCTGCGCATAGGCCTCGGCGTCGAGCCATGGCACCGCCGCCTCCTGCGACGGCGTAGCCATGGCCGCGGCGACCGCTGGCAGCAGCCGGTGCTACACCGCTGGCGACGAGCTCAGGCCGTCTCGGGAAGCGCCGCGAGAAGCGCAGACGTGCGGCTCGGCGCGGCTACGTGGAGGTCGGCAATGAAAGGGCAGATGCCGGCCAGCAGCAAGACGAGCAGCGGCAGCGAGACAGCAGCGCAAGAGAGAGAGATGTGCGGCTGCTTCCTGCTTGTGATGGGTGCAGCTCGGCGGCTGGCTTGTGCGGGCAGTCTGAGGATCGAGGGATGGAGGAGCTCGGCGAGAAGGCCGCGGGGCCGGACTTGCGGCCGGCGGGCTCAAGAATCTGGAGCGGCAGAGTTCCCACGGTTCCGATCACGTGATGCTCTTGGCTCTCTCCACCTTCGAGGCCCCTTCTGCGCCACACTTGAGTAGCTTGAAGATCCCAGAACACCACAAGGTGGTAGCGGGAGTACTTAGTGCTGCTATGAGCTCCGACAAATGCTCGCTAGACCCCAACTTTGCGGCAGCGGCCGCCTTGTGGCGCGAGAGCACGGCCCGTCGCGCCTTCGCCGACTCTGCATGCGCCTCCCTGGTCACCGCAAGCCTGTGTTGGCGGAGAAGCGGTCGCTAGACATATCAGTGACCCGTTTCTACGCTGATGTGGCGAACGCAGCCTCTCATGCCGTCGCGATGACGGTCGAGAGAGACGGACGGACGGCGAGCGGACAGCGTGGCCAATCGCGCGCTGCTGGCTGGCGCTGCTGACAGCGCCGTGCGCCGCGCCGTCGCCGTCTTTGGCGCGGCGCCTGCTGGCTGGGGCGTGCCACTGCCGCGTCCACAGCCTGCTTCCCGCACCCTCCATCCCCTCTCGGTCCCGCCCGCTATGTCTCTTCTCCGCGCACTCCCGCGCACCTCTCTGCGCATGGCGGCGCCGCTGCGTGCCTCCGGCGCCCGCCGCAGCCTGGCCACTGAGGCGCAGGACACGCGCCCGCAGGTCAAGGCTGCCGGCACGCTGCCCGTGTCGCCGGCCCTGCGCGCCCACACCGTCGAGGAGCTGCACGAGAGCTCGGCTGAGGAGATCCTGCGCGAGGGCGGCACCCGCAAGGAGGCCAGCCTGCGCCACTTTACCGTCAACTTCGGGTGCGTGCGAGCGCGAGTGCGGGAGCGGGCGGAGCGGGCGAGAAGGATCACTGCCAGGCGTGGCACCGCGCTGGCGAGCAGGCACGCTCGTCAAGATGCAGCCGCGCGACAGGCCAGAGACATCTGCGTGCGAGCTGCTCTCGTGAGACGGGCTCCAGCAGCGACAAGCAAGTCTCTCGCTAGCCTAGCTCGAGAGTGGCTGGGCAGCCTTTGCAAGAGCACTTGGCGTGCTTCGCGGCGCTACCCTCGCTGCGAGCAGGAAGATCCACGCTATCGTTCCAGGGCGGGCCTCTGCTGGTTGCCTCGTCCGAGCCCTGGCCTTGATCTGCCTATTGGAGGCGGCAGAAAGCTCAGGCTTCCCATGATCCGCCTGCTGACACACCTCGGCTCGCAGTCCCCAGCACCCGGCCGCGCACGGTGTGCTGCGTCTTATTCTTGAGCTGAACGGCGAGGAGGTCCTGCGCACGGACGTGAGTGACGACGTCGCCGAGGCGCAGTGACGATTCGGCGCTAATTGCCTCACTACCAGCCGCACGTTGGCCTGCTGCACCGCGGCACGGAGAAGCTCATCGAGTACAAGACGTACACGCAGGCGCTGCCGTACTTCGACCGGCTCGACTACGTGTCCATGATGACCAACGAGCTGTGCTACTCGCGCGCCGTGGAGAAGCTGCTGAACATCGAGGTGCCGGAGCGGGCAAAGTGGATCCGCACGCTCTTCGGCGAGATCACGCGCATCCTGAACCACTGCATGGCTGTGCTGTCGCACGTGAGTACGCCGTCATGGGCCTGCCTTGTTTCACTCGCTGACACGCGGCACAGGTCATGGACGTTGGCGGTCTGACACCCTTCCTGTGGGCCTTCGAGGAGCGTGAGAAGCTCATGGAGTTCTACGAGCGCGTCTCGGGTGCGCGTCTGCACGCTGCCTACGTGCGCCCCGGCGGTGTGGCCTTCGATCTGCCGCACGGCCTGCTGGACGACATCCACAAGTGGGCTACGCAGTTCTCGTCGCGCGTCGACGAGATCGAGGAGGTCGTGACGGGCAACCGTATCTGGAAGCAGCGCACCATCGGCGTCGGCAAGGTGACGGCGCAGCAGGCGCTCGACTACGGCTTCTCGGGCGTCATGCTGCGCGGCTCGGGCATTCCGTGGGACATCCGCAAGGTGTCGCCGTACGACGCATACGACCAGGTCGAGTTCGACGTGCCTGTCGGCAAGAACGGCGACTGCTACGACCGCTACCTGTGCCGTGTCGAGGAGTTCCGCCAGAGCCTGCGCATCATCGATCAGTGCCTCAACAAGATGCCCGCCGGCCAGTACAAGGTCGATGACTACAAGGTGAGTCCAACGCTGCGCTGTCGTCTGTGCTGTCTCTGACGCGCTGCTCTGCACAGATCGTGCCGCCGCCGCGTGCCACGATGAAGGAGTCGATGGAGGGCCTCATTGCGCACTTCAAGCAGTTCTCGGAGGGCTACAAGTGAGTCTGCCATGAGGGTCTTTGTGCTGGGCATGCGCTGACCCACTCCCCGCAGCGTCCCGCCGGGAGAGACGTACGCGCCGATTGAGGCGCCCAAGGGCGAGATGGGCGTGTACCTCGTCTCCGACGGCAGCAACCGGCCATACCGCTGCAAGAGTGAGTCGTGCGCGGCGTCGCTGCTTTACGCCGAGCTGACTCATCTCTACTCCAGTCCGCGCACCCGGCTTCGCACACCTTGCTGGCGGTGACTTCATGATGCGTGGCGCCTTCCTGCCCGATGGTGAGTGGCACGCACCGCATGCGCCCAGCGGCAGTCTTCTCACACGCCTCGCACGCAGTCGTCGCCATCATCGGCACGATGGACCTGGTGTTCGGCGAGGTCGACCGTTAATGGCTGCGCATGCGGAGGTGACAATGGATTACTTTCACAGAACAGGCTGCTGAGGCGCGGGCGTGGCAGGGCGGGCGTAGCGGCTGCGCAGCCAGCGGCTGGCGTAGAAGACCGCGAGTGAGAGGGCAAAGACGCCGACGATGGCGGCGCCGATGTAGCCGGACTGGTCGTTGGCGCGGCGCCATGCCAGCCACCAGCGGCCCTCAAGGCCGCCGTCGCCCGTCTCGTCTTGCTTGTCGGCGGCACGCACGCAGCGCGCGCACTCGTCGCCGATGAGGCCGAGCAGCACGATGAGGCCGATGCTCGCCGCCAGGCAGATGCTGAGTGCAGTCAGGCCGAGACTGAGCGTCGACGCTGGCGCATCGAAGCGCGGCGCGACCGACGCTGGCAGCTCAGGCACCAGCTCGTCGTCGGGCAGCGCGGGCTGAGGCTCGGGCGCCGCACGCACCTCAAAGATGCGCCAGCGTGCCGGGCCCACGGGCCGCTCGGGCGCGTAGCAGAAGAGCATGAGGATGTTGTCGCACGTGTCCACCAGGCTCATGCCGGCGGTGAAGAGCAGCGCCAGCAGCACGACCTTGGCGCTGGAGGCGCCCGCGTCGCCGCCCGTCTGCGACGCCGCCAGCGCGACGGAGAGGAGCGCAATGGTCGACGCCGTGTCGAAGCCAAGGCCGAAGAGCAGGCCAATCGGAAAGAGCTTCCACGGCCGGTCGAGTGCACGCAGCAGCGGCGCCACGGCGCGCGTGAGGCAGCCCTCAAAGTGCAGCTTGCGCGGCGGCGTCTGCTGCTCCGTGTCGCGGAGCTGTGCCTCGTCTGTCTTCTCGACACCCGGGCTGAGCGGTCCGTCATCGATGCCCTTCTCTGTGGACAGCTCCGCCTCGGCCTGCGCCTTCCGAGCGGCCTGGAGGCGGCGCCACGTCTTCCACAGCAGGACCGAGTTGATGGCGGCAAGCAGGAGCAGCGTGCTGCCCGAGATGCTCGCGCCAACGATGCCGCCCTTCTCGCCGAAGCCGTCGAGATGATTTGCGGCGGCGACGCTGACAGCGATTATAATCGTCGTGACGAACACGACTGTCGAGTGTCTAGCGAGCGGTGTCAGAACAGGGCAAGAGATGCGCACGGCGAGACGCACCCAAGCGAGAAGAACAGGCCCACCGTAACCGGCCGGCGAGGGCGCGGCGGAGTGCCAACTGGCGGCTCGGCCATGATGCGACGCACAGCATTGTCGATCAGGCTGCGAGTAGGAGTGAGCAGTGTGCTCGGCGACTGTGCGTAGTGGCCTCACGAGATGTGGTCGGCGTCTAGGCCGTGCCGCAGGCCAGTGGTCCACGCGACCTGCAGGCAAGTCAGCGCTGCACACCACCGCAGTCACACCTCTGCAGCTCACAAGCGTCAGGCTGAGCACGTTGCGGTCCTGGCCCGGGCGCGTGAAGAGCACGGCCGCGACGAGCCAGAGGAGCGCATTAGCCGCCAGCTCGGCGGCGAGGATGGCACAGGCGCGCCCGAAGAGCGTCAGGCGCACGCGCCGCACGGCTGCGGCCCGCCGCTGCAGCGCGGCCCAGACCGATGCCATCACGAGAGCTCTTGGTGTTGCTTGATGTGGTGAGGAGTCTTCTTCCTTGCGATGCCTTGCGCAGACAGCCTGCACTTCATCTGCCGCAGCTCGGGCGCGCTAAGAACGCGCATCGCAAGGGTGCAGCGCGCAGATAAGCTGCGGAATGCTCGAGAAGCGCCCGTGTTCCCAGCGACCCAAGGGCCGGCACCCATGGGCCCGCCGCGTGGGTGGCGGTCTTGCCCCTCTCGCGACTCACATGCCCCCTGACCATCTCACGAGCGAGGCGAGAAATCGCGCCATCCGCAACGCCCCTGAGCAGCGCTCCCCCGGATGACTCAGCCCGGCGGCTCACGAGGGGCCGCACCGTCACAGGCACAGATGAGGGCAAACTCTTAGACCCCGGCAGGACGCGGGGTTGCGGAGAGGCGTGCGACCTTGGCAGGCCTGCCGCGGCCGGCACCGGCCAACGCAAGCCGTCTTGCTGCCGCTCGCTGCCCAAGGGGCGTGCCGGTGCTGAGTCACATTTCACGCTCAAGGTGCGGCGTTCTCCAAGAGCGGAGACGAGTGCGGCTGCCGCTGCGGCTGTGATGTGAGCTCTCGGCGCAGCTCCTCTCCTCGCGATGAGGGCCGCTCGCAGGCAATACCAAAACGGCAGCAGGCTCCGCGACCCGTGGGCCTCGCGGGCCGCTGACGGCTCGGCAGCAGTCTGATCGAGATTGCGGCGAGCTGGCGCTTGCGGTGCGGCGCGCGAGATCGACACACCCTCGCCGGACGCGCAACGTAAGCGGCGGCCGGCGCGTGATCTCGGCGGAGGCAGCATGAACGCCGGCGCGGCACGGAGGCGGGCGGCTGTGGCGCAGGCGATGGGCGCGGCGGCATCGTCCGAGGGAGCGGGAGCGGGCGGCGCGGCGGCAGCAGCTCGGCTGCAAAGCCAGGCACGCGCGCGCGCTTCCAAGTTTCCAACACACACACGCGCCACGCCCCGTGCCATGCTCCGCTTGCGGGGTCGGCGCGGCAATCTCGTCTGTGCGAGCGGGGTTGAGGCACGGAGGCATCCTCGAGAGGGAGGAGAGAGGGCACGTCGCTGGCCTCGCCCACGTCACATTGCCACTTTGGGCAGCGAGAATGCCATGCCGTGCATGATGCGCTGATCTGCGAGAAGTGCGAGGAGAGAGCAAGGCAAGCTGAATCGCCGGCGTCGCGGGACGGTTGGGAGCGGCCCGGCTGCAGCAGGCGTGCACGCTCCCCGCAGAGAGCACGAAGGGCGGAGCGGCTCGCCGTCGAGCTGTGCGGTGCAGCGGGCGCGGCCCATTCGCGGCGCCCGCAATCTGCGCCCGCAGCCGGTGCAGCTGCGGCGTCTAGGAGCGGCCTCGGCGCCTCAGGGGCTGCGATGGGGGTGCGGGCGGCCGTTGCTCGTCGAAGCCTGCCTCTCCATCCGCCGGCGCAGCGTCTGACGTGCTGGCCGAGGACCCTCGCGCGGCTGCGCTGACAGACGTGAGAAGCGCCGAGAGAGAGAGTGCCGGCGTGCGGGTGCGAGTGTGGGGTGTGCGGGGCCTGGCCGGACGGCCGGAAGGAGGGGAGAGCGCCGAGCCCGCCCCTTGGCATGCTCCGCCGCGGCCCCACTGCGGGCGGCGCGGGGAGACTGCGTGCGGGCGGGGACGCGCCGAGGCGGCGCCGAGGAGGTGAGATGGGGCGCGGGCGGCGCGGGCGCGGGCACCGGAGCAGTGTGCGGCGTGCGCGCGTGCCGTGCTTGGGTGATGCGCCGCTTGCTCTCTGCAGAGCGCCGGCCCGCCGCTGCCGCTGCGCCGGTGCGGCGCCGGCGTTCTCGCGGCGCGCCCGTTCCTCGGCGAGCCAGCGCGGCACGCGCGTGCGGCCTCGCTGCGTGCTGCGCTGCGCCGCGTCTTTCTCTGCCTGCGGCTGCTCGTTGCTCCGGGCAGGCCGCCGCGCGCGCATCTCTCGCACCACCTCGCACCGCGCAGCGACGACGACGACCACCATCTCCGCCATCTCACAGCACCTCACACCCGCCACTACCTAGCACCTACCCGCGCGCTCTCTGCGCATCGCTGCACGCCGACCTCGCACGGCCGCACACACGCGCGCCTTCGCGCACACGCCGCTCCACTACAGCGCGCGTGTCTCGCCGCAGCGCCTGCCAGGTGCGCAGACAGCGCCCATACGCAGCGCGCGAGCCGGCCTGACCCTCCCGCCACAGCCCGCACACTCGCGTGCGCGGCCGGCTCGCCATGCCGCTTGCCGCACAGCGCCAGCGCCAGGCGCCCAGCGCCACGGCGGGCCCGTCTTCGCGCGCACCGAAGAGCACCGCCGGCGCGGCGCCGTCGTCGTATGAGGACGACGATGACGCCTCGTCATCCGACGACTCGGGCGACGAGGCCGCCGCGCTCGAGATGGACGGGCAGGAGCTGTGGGCGCAGAACTACTGCGCCACCTGCGACTGCCTCATCCCTCCCGGCGCCGGCGTCAGCGCCTCGCCCGCTTCGCCGCAGCCCGCCGATGCGCAGCCAGAGGCAGGGCCGAGCCGTCTCAGCGACGCGTCCGGCCTCAAGAGCCGCACCGGCACCATCAAGGCACGCCCGCCATCAGCAGACGGCAAGGCCGCCGCAAACAGCGGTGGTGGAGCACTGAAGCGCACCCACTCGACCGGGCGCCTGCACGCCGTCGGCGGCACGGGCGCCGGTATGGGCCAGCACAAGCGCACCGGCAGCGCTGCCGGGCGCCTCAACGCGCTGAGCGACCTCAAGCCCACCACCAAGCTGCACGACGACGCGCCGGCGCCTAAGGGCAAGGGCAGCGACAGCACACGCAGCCCGGCGCTCTCGCGGCGCAGCTCGCTCGTCAGCACGCGCTCGGGCGGCAGTGGCGGCGCACATGGCGGCGCCAGCGGGCCTTCTTCGCCGTCCGCTTCGACGTCGGCGCTGCCGCGGACCAAGAAGAGCGGCCTGCTCGGCGGTCTCACGCCCGCGGCACTGCGCCAGGAGGAGGAGGAAGCGCGCAGCGCCAAGGTCGCGCCGGCGCTCTACTGCTCGGAGCGCTGCCGTCTCATCGACCAGCAGCGCTCGGCCGGTCTCGGTGAGCTCGCAAACTACCTCTCGCAGCCAACAGCGCCGCCTGTCGCCTGGGCCAACTCCGGCTGGGGCTCGGCGGCCATGACGCCCGGCGGCACCACGGCGTGGCCGCGGCGCGTGCCGAGCATGACGAGCATGCCAGCGGCGATTGCCGGCTACGCAGGCGTCGTGCGCACGCCCGAGAGCGAGTGCATGTGCCCCGAGTGCCTGGACCGCAGCAGCAGCGCCAGCGGCACCATGCCGAGCGGCGCCAGCGACACGACGGAGAGCTCCGCATCGCTCGGCTACGCCTACGCCGCTGGGCGCCAGAAGCAGCGCACGACGAGCGGCCGCATCGTCACGCCGCATGGCCTGGTGCCGCACCACAGCGACGGCTACTTCCCCGTCGTGCCGCCAGCCGGCACCCGCCGCGCGTCGAACCGCGACAGCCCGCGCACTCGCACCACCTCGCTGCGCCCGGCACTCAATGCCACCTCGACCGATGGCAGCACGCAGAGCAGCGAGAGCAATCGCAGCACCTCGGAGCCCGGCGCCGCATCCGAGACGCTCGACCGCAGCGCCTCGATCCGCACCCGCTCCTCGACGATGTCGGAGGACACGCGCGGCATCCTCACCACCGGCACCGTCACGCCTGCCGCGACGGTCCGCGGCTCGAGCTCCTCGAACTCGCCGCGTGCCGAGGCGATGCGCCGCAACGGCAGCGAATCGCGCTCGGCCTCGTACGCCTCGAGCCGGCCCTTCGGCAGCACGATGAGCGTCAGCGCGTCGACAGCCGCCAGCCCGCTACGCCTGCTGCGCCGCGGCGACCATCACGCCGAGGCCATGACGAACGTCTCTGCGGAGCAGGCGCACAGCCCGCATGGCGGCCCGCACGGCATGCTCTCCAGCAGTCTCGCGAGCAACAGCGGCTTCACCGAACTGGCGTCTAGCGCCACGACGATGGGCACTGCGCTCGACGGCAGCTCGCTGCACCACCGCCGCGCCAAGCACAACCGCGCGCTGCCCGACTTCGGCAGCGAGCGCAACAGCAGTGCCATCACGGTCAAGGAGACGGCTCGCCGTGATAGCGAGGCGCCTCTGGACTCGGTCGCACATCTCGAGCGCCTCAGCAGCAGCTACAACCCGGGTGCTTCGGCGGTCGGCAGCCTCAAGCAGGCTGCGGCCGGCAAGCGGCAATCGATCGCCGGTCCGCCGAGCAGACTCGACTCGGAGCGGCCCGAGCATCACCGCGGCGGCAGCGACGGCAGCCAGCAGCGTCCGGCGTGGAACGCCAGCGCGCCGCGCCGCATCTCCTTCGCTGGCAGCAACGGCTCCGGTAACTCGAGCAGCGGCTGGCTGCGCTCGCTGACGTCGGCCTGGGCGACCATCCGCGGCGTCTCGAGCGACGCTGTGGCCGACGATGCCGGCATCGACACTCGCGACGACACGAGCTCGCTGCGTGGTGCCGACAAGGGCTTTACGAGCCGGCAGCGTGGCGAGGCCGTGGCGCGCGACACGCGTCCGCCATCCTCCGCCTCGTCGCGCCGCGGTAGTGCCGGCAGCAGCGCCCGCGGCGGACTTCTCTCGCCCGCCGTCGGCAGCCTCACAGCCCTCTCCACGCTCGACGCCCAGTCGCGCGGCGAGGAGCCGACGCCGACGCAGAGCCTCGTCACGCGCCCGAACAGCCTGCGCGGCATGATCCCGGCGTACGCTCGCGGGGACAGCGGCGAGATCGTGCACGGCGACGAGAGCGACACCAACGCCGTCGCCGGCGCCTCGTCGCCGCAGTTCAAGCGTTCCGGCAGCCGCGCAGCAGCGCAGTCTCGCTCGCCCAAGGGCGTGCGCAACCGCTCCTCCGATGAGCCGGAGCGTCGCCGCCGGCGCTCCGACCGCGAGCGTGAGCGTGCCATCCGCCACCAGCGCAGCAAGGACGTCACGGTGCTGCCGCCGCTGCTCGGCCCGAGCGACCGCAGCTTCAGCAGCACGAATCTCGCCAACGGCCGGCCGCGCTCGACACGCACACAGTCGACGGCCAGCAGCGGCTATGGGCGCTCGCGCGCGGGCAGCAATGGACAGGCGTCGCAGCTGCAGGTGGGCAGCGCCGGCTCGGCTCACAGCTTCTCGCGCCCAACGACGAGGAGTCCCGGCGGCGACGCGCACAGCTACAGCAACCCGCCGAGCGCCGGCACAAGCCCGCGCCGCGCCGGCCTGGGCTGGGGCGCCATGACGACGATCACCTCGCCCGTCGAGGCCGCCGCACCACCGCCGCACGGCCTGCAGCACGGATACAGCTCAAGCATCGCGCTGGGCCACGCTGCGGCGCTCTCGGCCCGCGGCGTGCACCACCCGGCCAACCTGCACCATGGCGCGCATCACGCGCAGTTCGCGCCCTCGGGCGCCACGCACCAGCACCGCCCGCACGCTGTGCGAGCCGTGCACCACCACCGCGGCGGCGGTGCGTTGCAAGTGGGCCACATTGGCCTGCTCGGCGCGCACCCGCACGGCCACGCACCCGTCTATGGCCGGCACGCGACGACGCCGGCACGCAGCTCGACGCCTCGCGTGCCCGAGGATGGCGGCGAAATGAGCGGCGCAGCGCTGCGCGGCGCCGACGAGGCTGGCAGCACGCATGAGGTGCCGCCGAGCCGGCCGCGCAGTGCCATGTCACAGCACCGTGCTAGCACCGCCATGGGCGTGCAGCGCCCCCGCAGCGTCGTGGCGATGCGCGCCCTCGGCGGCGGCATGCAGCCGCTGGCCTCGACCAACACTCTTGCCAGCAGTGGCCTTGCGCCGCTCTCGCCTGGCATGCCGCCCGTCACGATCAACCCCGAGGTGGGCGCCCCGCCGCTGGGCGCCGGCGCACGCACGTGGAGCTACGAGGCGCTGCCGGGCGTCAAGACGTACCCCGTGCTGCAGCTGCCCGACCGCGAGACGCACGACCGCTACGACGACGGCTGGGGCCTCGGCGACGGCGGCCTCGAGGAGATGATGACGGGGCGCAAGCTGCCGCGCCCGGCGCCGCCGCCGTCGAGCACGGGCGCCGTCGCCGGCCATGCTCCCGAGGGCAGCAGCGGCACGCTGCCGCGCATGCCGAAGCGCAAGACGCTCTTCTACTTTGACGCCTGATCAGACACACTCAAAACGACACGAACCGGATCCTTCTCTCGCGTGCCCTCACTCATACGACTCCATGACGACGCGGCCATACACACGACCTTGCCTCATCTAGCCTCCCGCAACCTTGACGTCCCCCACATGTCTGCGCCCGTCCCTCTCACTTGCATCGAACACGGACTTCTCAGACTGCCTGCGCACGCCTCATACAGCGCCTCGTTGCGCTCCAATACCATACTGCTGCGCTCTCAATGCCTCTCGCTGTGTGACACGCTGTGACGGCGGCATGCCTTAGCCAGAGGCGGTCCGGCTCGGAGGTCGCGTGCCTCTGTCGCGCTGGCAGCGGGTGCGGATGTCTGGCGCTGGCAGCCGCTTGATGCTGCCGCCCTGTCGCACGACGCAGCTCCATTCTTCCCCCCTCCCCACCGTCCGCGCCTCTGTCGGATTCTGCCTTCTGGCCACGTCAGATGCAGCACCCCAGCGCATCTCCAGACCCAGCGCCAGCGCGAGCGGTGCGTCTCTGGGGCAGAGAGGGTCCGCTGGCGGAGGCGCCTCACGTGCGCGGCGCGCACGGCGCACGTTCCTTCTGCCGGCGCGGAGACTGCTGCAGTGCCCGCTCGCGAGCGCGGCGAGATTCGCGCAGCGGGCAAGGGCCGCATTAAACGAGCTGCACCCGAGTTGTAGTCGGCAAATAGAGCGGCCCGCAGAAGCTCAGGGACCTTTCAGCGCGTGCGGGCCACGCGAGACAGGCGGCGTGCCCGCGCCACCTGCGAACATCTCGCGCACGGCACGCCGCCAGCAGCAGCCCAACTTTTGCGTGCGCGCGCAAAGCCGAAGTCCGAGCTGAGCCGAGCCGAGCGCCTTCTTCCAGCGCAGCGCCGGCGCCAGCCGGCCGCCAGCGTGGAGCAGCAGCGCCCTTGCCTCGTGCGACAGCTGGCCAGCGCGCGGACACTGGCGGCGTGCGCGGCGAGAGAGAGCGTGCGCAGGGGCGGGCGCGAAGAACGAAGCATCATCTTTGCGCGCCGCACGGCCGCGCGCCTCATCAGCGCTTCTTCCTGCGCCGCTCCTTTGCGCACGACCACATACCCCCCACCCCCCACCACACATCACACATCATGGCGTGAGCACACCTCCCGCGCCCGCAGCACCTCGCACTTCATGCTAACGCACGCACCCACAGCCAGTCTTCCGTTCTCGGCTTCCCGCGCGTCGGCCCGATGCGCGAGGTCAAGAAGGCCCTCGAGGTGCGTGCCGCTGCCGGCGCACGCCTGCCACGCACACCTGCTCACGCTCCCCACCTGCAGGCCTTCTGGTCCGGCAAGAGCTCCGCTGAGGAGCTGCAGAAGGTCGCCACGACCGAGCGCCTGCGCACCTACTCGATCATGAAGGAGCAGGGCGTCGAGATCATCCCCACCGGCACCTTCTCGCTCTACGACCACGGTGCGTGCTGCGTGTGCGGCTTCTCCTGTCCTGCAGCTGCTGACTCTCTCACCCTGCAGTGCTCGACATCAGCGCCACCGTCGGCGTTGTGCCGCCGCAGTACGCCAACTCGGGCCTCAACGAGCTCGACCGCTACTTCGCCATGGCCCGCGGCCACCAGAAGAACGGCGTCGACCTGCCGGCCCAGGAGATGCAGAAGTGGTTCGACTCGAACTACCACTACATCGTGCCCGAGTTCACCGAGGACTCGACGTTCAGCCTGCAGAGCACCAAGCCCATCGACGACTTCGTCGAGGCCAAGAAGGCCGGCTACAACGCGCGCCCCGTCATCGTCGGCCCCATCACCCTCATTGCCATCGGCAAGGTCGGCGCCGCCGCCAAGAGCGAGTCGTTCGACACGATGACGCTGCTGCCCAAGCTCGCCGCCGTGTACGGCGAGCTGCTCGCCAAGCTCTCCGAGGCCGGTGCCGAGTGGGTGCAGATCGACGAGCCCGTGCTCTGCCTTGACCGCGCCGCCTCGCTCTCGTCGGAGTTCAAGCAGACGTACGAGTCGTTCGCCAAGGCCGCGCCCAAGCTCAACATCCTCCTCGCCACGTACTTCGGCCGCCTCGACAAGAACCTCGACTTCGTCAAGGACCTGCCCATTGCCGGTCTCCACATCGACCTCGACCGCGCCCCGGAGCAGCTCGACGCTGTGCTCGCCGCCGTCAAGGACAAGAAGACGGTGCTCTCGCTCGGCCTCGTGTCCGGCCGCAACATTTGGAAGACGGACCTGACCGCCGCCCTCGCCACGGCCAAGAAGGCCATCGAGGCGCTCGGCGATGCCAAGCGCGTCATCGTTGCCTCGACGTCGTCGCTGCAGCACACGCCCATCACCACCGCCAACGAGAAGAAGCTGCCCGCCGACGTGCTCGACTGGTTCTCCTTCGCCACGGAGAAGTGCGCCGAGGTCGCCACGCTCGCCGCCGCCCTCCGCGACGCCTCGTCCGCCTCGTCGATCCTCGAGGCCAACGAGAAGAGCATCAAGGCCCGCCGCGACTTCGAAAAGAACTCGAACCCGGCCGTGCGCGAGCGCCTCGCCGCCATCAAGCCCGAGGACTACAACCGCAAGTCGGACTTCTCGGTGCGCTCCAAGGTGCAGCGCGAGCACCTCAAGCTGCCGCTCTTCCCCACCACCACGATCGGCTCGTTCCCGCAGACCAAGGAGATCCGCGCCTACCGCGCGCGCTTCACCAAGGGCGACATCTCCTCGGAGGAGTACGAGAAGTTCCTCGAGGACGAGATCCGCGACGTCGTCAAGCGCCAGGAGGCCATGGGCCTCGACGTGCTCGTGCACGGCGAGCCGGAGCGCAACGACATGGTCCAGTACTTCGGCGAGCTGCTCGAGGGCTTCGTCTTCACGCAGAACGCCTGGGTGCAGTCGTTCGGCTCGCGCTACGTGCGCCCGCCGGTCATTGTCTCGGACGTCTCGCGCCCGACGGCCATGACGGTGCGCTGGTCCAAGTTCGCGCAGAGCCTGACCGAGAAGCCCATGAAGGGCATGCTCACGGGCCCCGTCACCATCCTCAACTGGTCGTTCCCGCGTGCCGATGTCTCGCGTGAGATCCAGGCGCGCCAGATCGGCCTTGCCCTCCGCGACGAGGTCACCGACCTCGAGCAGGCCGGCATCAGCAGCATCCAGGTCGACGAGCCGGCGATCCGCGAGGGTCTGCCGCTGCGCGAGGAGGACCACACGGCGTACCTCAAGTGGGCCGTCGAGTCGTTCCGCCTGGCCACGTCGGGCGTCACCGACGCCTGCAACGTCGTCTCGCACTTCTGCTACTCCGACTTTGCCAACCGCCAGATCATGGAGAGCATCCTCAACCTCGACGCCGACATGGTCTCGATTGAGAACAGCAAGGCCGGCGCCAAGATTCTGCGCACGTTCCGCGACGTCAAGTACTCGCAGGACATCGGCCCGGGTGTGTTCGACATCCACTCGCCGCGTGTACCCACGTCCGAGGAGATGTACGAGCGCATCGTCGCCTTCACCAAGGTGCTCGACAAGTCGAACATCTGGGTGAACCCCGACTGCGGCCTCAAGACGCGCACGTGGGACGAGTGCACCAAGCAGTGCGAGGCCATGGTGCAGGCCGCCATCAAGGCGCGCAAGGAGCTCGCCTAAGCGTCGTCCAAAACCAGGGAGCACTCAACGTGTCCCGCTCGTGGCTCAACACCACACGTCTCTTGCCGTGCGTAGCGTAGGCCTGCCTTAAAGCTCGCCGCACTGCGCACCCTGTCTCTTGTCCCGTCTTTCTTCTCGCACTATCCCCCAAGGTCTCAACGCTATTACTACATCGTCATCGTCCGCATTTCAACAATCAGCTTCCCTCACACATCCCTCATGCCTGCGTCGTGTATCACTATGTGTTTCGCCCTGCACGCCCGTGCGCTGGCACGTCATGTGCCTCGAATGGAATCTCGTCTTGGTGCTGCTGCGTGTGAGATTGGGGACTGCAAGAGTGTGTGGCCAGCAGTGCGAGCCGATCCGAGCACATGGCAGCGTTGCTACAGTTCCTCGTTGCTCGCTCTCAGCCATCCGATCGCCGTTCAACTGAGCTCATCATTGGCAGCCACTGACGCTGCTGAGTCCATCATCCAGTCTACGCTGTGACATGCCGTCCCTCACGCCGCAGACAGCTTCGAGAGAAGCGCACCCCACTCCGCAGCCAAGCAAGCTCGTCGCTGCGCCCATGCAGACCGCGAGATGGAGCCCGCCAGCGCGGGGGGCCGCGTGCAGGCCCCCCAAAAATAGTGTGCCGCGACGCTGCCGAGCCGCATGGCCGACGAGGCGGCGGCTGAGCGCCGCATCCACAGCGCACCCGTGTGAGAGCGCCGTCGCACGGTCGGAAGCAGGTGGCCGACGCAATGGACTGCGACCGAGGCGGTGCCAAATGGATGAGGCGAGCTCGTATGGACGACGCTGGGACCCGCAGCGCTGCGGCTGCGGCGCCGCGGCTTGGGCAGCGAGCCGGCGGCGCCGCGCGGTGCCCCTCTTCACCCGCATATGAGATGCGCCCGGCTGCTGCTGGCTCTCGTCTGCCGCGGCTGCTGCGCTCCCTTCGGGAGGGGCGCAGCTGCATGGCGCGTTTGCGCATGGGATCTGCGGCCGCCGCCAGAAAGCAGCGCAGCGCGAGGCCGCTGCTGCGCCGGCGCCTCCTGTCTGTCCGCCTTGCCGGGCGGGCGCTGCGCTGCCTCTGCCGCCTGGCGCGCTGCCTCGCCCCGGTGCCGCACCCGTGCTGCTGAGGCTCCGCACCGCCCGCCGGGCTGGCGCTGGCTGGCGCTGGCTGGCGCTGGCTGGCGCTGGCTGGCGCTGGCTGGCGCTGCCTCGCGCTGGGCTGTGCTGCATCTGCGCCTCGCCTCCTCTCTGGCGCGGGTGCGGCGCCTCCTCGCGTGTGCGGCCACAAGGCACACAGCGCGCGGCGTGCTGGCCACCTGCAGCGCACGCTGCGTCTCCTCTCCCATCCATCATCCCCGCACACACGCCTCAGCAACACCCACCCTCCACGCTCCACTCCTCTTTGCCTCACTTATCTGCCGCTCTCGCATACCCCTCGCCCGCCGCGCCAACACTCCTTTCGCGTCCTCACACTCACACACGCCGCTGCGCCGCCTGCTCCGTCTTACGCTCCTGGCCGAGCCGCACCCTCTCGCCGCTGGCAACACACCTTCTCCTGAGCTCAGCGCCATGCACGCCCACAAGCTGCTGCACGTCACGCTGCTCCTCGCCGCCGCCGCCTCGCTCGGCGCCGCGCTCGAGGCGCCGCCGGCGCGCATGGAGCGGCGCATCGCTCCTGGCCATGTCCGCCGCGCACCGGCACCCGCACCGACGCCGCAGGGCTTCGGCGGCATCTTTGGGCCCGGCGCCTCGTCCACGGCCGGCACTGACACGGCATCGACGGCCGCGCCGACGACCACGTCGGCCACCGTGGACACGTCGGCCTCGGCCGCCGCCGCCTCGAGCTCCTCTGCCGCCGCCGCCGCCTCGGAGTCCTCGGCCGCCGCCGCGTCGCAGTCGTCGGCGTCGCGCGCGTCTGCCTCGTCTGCCTCGGCCCAGGCGGCATCTGCGTCGGCTGCGTCTGCTTCCAGCGCTTCGGCAGCCTCCGCCGCAGCCTCCTTCTCCTCGGCGCAGGCCGCGCTGCTCACCTCGACCAACTCGGCCGGCCAGACGCTCACGCTCACCAGCACCGTCGCCGCGCCCGAGGCCACGTCGGCCACCGCCACGGGCAGCGCCGACGGCTCGGGCGGCGGCGGCCACCTGCCGCTCATCATCGGCGTCTCCGTCGTCGGCGGCTGTGCCGTGCTTGGCGCGCTCATCTTCCTGTGGATGAAGTTTGGCGGCAAGCGCTTCAGCGACTACCAGGAGGACGACGGTGAGTGGTGCAGTAGGTGCCTCCTGCGGCACTCGCGCTGACGCCCTGCTCCTAGCGGACATCAAGTGGCCCGAGCTCAAGGCAGACGGCGACTCGGCGGCGATGCAGCCGCTGCCGGCACGGCGCACGGGCGGCGCCGGCTTCGACATGGGCGACGACTCGGACATGGGGCACGATGCCGACGGGCGCAGCATGCACGAGTACGGCGCAAAGGCACGCGACAGCTTCACCGCCTCGAACGTGGCGCTCACGACGGGTGGCAGCATGTACGGCGCCGGCGGTGCGGGCATGGGCTACGATGACGGCTACGGGCATCAGCAGCCGACAGGCTACTACGACAGCCAGTACGGCGGCGCGTACGGCGCCAGCGGCGCCGCGCCGCAGCACTATTACTCCGAGCAGCAGCACGCCGGCGCATACAACGAGAGTGCCTACGGCGACCCCAACGCCAGCTCGTACCACCACTCGCAGCCGCCGCACGACGGCTACTCGGAGCAGCACGTGCCGAGCGCCTACACGCCCGGCAGCCCGCCGCAGGCCTCGTACGGCCAGCAGCACGCGGCGCCCAGTGCTGGCATGCACAACCCGTACCACTGAGCGAGCGGCAGTGCCTCGTCTGCGCAGCGCCAGCTGGTCCTGGCGTGGCGTTGGAAGAGCCGCCTCTCTGCTTGTGTCTCGGAAGAGCATCGCCGTGCAGCACCTCGGACGCTTTCTCCTCGTGTCCCACGGACTTCCTCTCCCTCTCACCTGCTCCCGTCTTACCCGACCTCCAACCCCGCTCTTCATTCTCCTGTCTTGGCGTGCGGGTGTGTCTACAGTGACGAGTAACAGTAATCCGATACGCCACTGCGCCATGAAGCGAGCCTTGAGCGCGCGTGTCGGTCGCTTGGCGCTTGTGTTGCTCTGCCGAGGCACGCGACCTCTCTCTCTCTCTCTCTTTCTCTCTCTCTCTCTCTCGCTCACGATCTACACGTGGAGACACGAAGCGCCGCTGTTGTCACGCTGCGAGAAGCGCAAGAGCGCTGGTCGCTGGCAGGGCCGCCTGGCGGCTCAGAGCGCCCTCAAGGCACTAGACTCAGCGGTGGCGCTGCTTCGCGCTGGGGCGGCTGGCGTGTTGTCTGTCCACAGCGGCCTGAGTCGGCCTGCTGCGCTGCGAGACCACGAACCGATCATCTGCCGGTAGTGCGTCCGCGGCCTCATCACCTGACAGCGAACTCGTGCCGCGCATCACACGAGCAGGTGTTTAGAAGCGCGTGGCATGATGATGGGGATCGCGAGGTCACAAAAAGAACAGAGAAGCAAGTACAGTGGGGGGTGGGAGTGTGTGTGCGAGAGATGAGTGTATGGAGGAGTGTGGTGGTGGTGTGCATGGACGCAGTCGTAGCGCAGGCTCCCCTTTTTACTTCTTCGAGTCCTTGGCCTCCTCCTCCTTCTTCTTCTGGCGCGCCGCGCGCATGCCCTCGTTGCGGTGCGCGGCACGGGCCGTGCGGAGCGTGCGGAAGGCGGTGGCCTCCTTCTCCTCGGCCGTGATGGCGCGCGGTGCCTCGGCGACCAGGCCGGCCGGGATCGGGAAGGCGGCGGCGACGTCGCGCGTGGAAGAGACGTTGGACAGGTCCGGGGCCTGCAGGGCGCAGTCAGTACATGCGCTGCCATCGCGAGGCAGCACGCGCCACGCACCTGGCCCTTGTTCTTCTTGTTGCGGCGCGGCAGCACAATGATGCGCTCGCGGTACGCCTTGATGCGGTCGGCGTTGAGCTTGAGGCTCTCCTCGCTCTTGTTGCGGCGGCGGTGGTCGACGGGGACGCCGATGGCGCGCGCCTCCTTCTTGCGCAGGCCGGCGGCCTTCAGCTCCTCAAGCGTGAAGCCGCGGCCCTCGCGCAGCTTCGTGTTGTACTTGAGCGTCGGGCAGCGCACAGCCGGGCGCAGCGCCTTGGTGGGGCGCAGGCCGAGAGCGGCAGCCTTGGCCTGACGGGCGTTGCGGCGCGTCTTCTTCGAGCCAGGCTGGTCGAACCAGACCTTGACCCGGCGCTGCCAGTCCTGTGTCGCGAACGCCACGCGTCAGTCGTGTGTTCTCACCGATGCTACTCATCGCGACGCCATTCCGCCAGGCTGCCTCTCCCGCCGCCGCCGCCCAGCCTGCTGTCTCGCACGCTGCCATTGGCGCTGCCTCGCCGCCAGCACGAGCAGCATGCATCCAGCACACTGTCCGCCGTGCTAGCCGAGCGTCACCCAGCGCCTTCCCCATTCGCCGCTCATCTTTGCCCATCCGCCGTCTCGCCTCCCTGCGCCTCTGGTGTGCGCTGCTCGCTGCGCGCAATGCTAACCTTGCGGAAGTGGTTGTTGTGGAGAACGTCTGCAGGGCGCAATGTAAGCATGCTGCCGCCACTGTCTCTGTCCGCGCGCGTAACGCACTGTTGTGACGGAAACCCATTTCGATGGTCTTGCTGGTGGTAGGAAGCAAAGGCAGGGGCGCGCGTCAGCACTGCTGCTCCAGCCAAGACTCGAGCCACCGCCGCCGTGCCCACGCCGAGCGGACAGCACGAGCACGCAGCGCGGTGCAGCGCACGAGAGAGAGCGCAAGCGAGTGCCTCGGCGGGCTGCGGCACGAGCGCTGGCCGGCGCCTGGCTCGCTGCGAGATGCGACGCTGCGTCGCCTTCTCTCCCTCTCGTGCGCGCCGAAGCAGCACTCGGGCTGCGCTGCGCTGCGCGATGCTGCGTGCTGATGCGCGGCGTAGACGGTGCGGCGGCGGCGGCGGCGACGGGCGGCGCTGCTCACAGGAGGGACGGGGAGGTGGTGAGTCGGAAGGCTGGCCGGCGGCGGTGCTGTTGCCAGGCGCCGCCCGCCGCCGTGACTGGCCGGCCGTGGCGCGGCGTGCCGGCTGCCGCCCAGCTGCGGCGCCGCAGCGCAGAAGGCGTCCTCCGCCGCGTGCACGTGATGCGTCGCCCACGTGTGCACGACTCCCGCGCGCGCGCCTTGTCCGTTTCGCCCGTCTCCTCGTCCCCGCTCCCACGCTCGAGCGGGCATCAGATTCTTCTCGCGTCTCGGACGGCCCTGGGCTGACGCTTCCTGCTGCTGCTCGCCGTCTCGCCGCCGTCTCCGCTCCTTCCCGGCCGCCTCCTCCACCACCGCCCACCCTCGCACCTCTGTCCAGCATGGCCGCTCGCAGTGCCGTGCGCCTTGCTGCGCTTGCACGCGCCGCCGGTGCCTCTGCCGCGCGCCCCTCGCTCGCTACTGCTGCGCCTGCCGTGGCGCAGGCGGCGCACTCGTCGTGAGTCTGCCGCGAAGCTCGCAGGTGGCTGGCTAGGCGACGTTGGTGCGGCAGCTTGGCGTCACTCTGCCCTGCTATCGTGCAGCTCGAGCTGCATGGCTGTTACTGAGCTGCTCAGCGCACCGTTCGTCCCCTCGCCATGCCCCTGCCTGCTCATACTTGCGCCTCTCTGGCCCCTCACTGCCTGTACTGACTTACATGCCACAGCACCTCGGCCGCCGCCTCGTCCTCCTCCCAGCTTCCCGCACACACGCTCAGCCAGACGCCGACGGCCGTGCCGAGCACGCTGCCATCGCCGTTCGACTTCAGCAAGACGCACGCGCCGACGCACGGGCACCACGTCGCCTCGCTGCACCTGCGCTGCTACGGCGCCGGCGACGTGACGCTGCAGAACCTCGACTTCTTCGCCGACTTTGCGCTGCGCGCCGCCTATGCGCTCGGCATGCCCGTGTCGCGCCCCGCCTCGCTGCCGCGCCGCGTCAGCCTCTGGACCGTGCCCAAGGGCCCCTTTGTGCACAAGAAGGCGCAGGAGAACTTCACGCGCACGACGCACGCGCGCGTCATCAAGGTGTACGACTCGCACCCGCACGTCGTCGAGCGCTGGCTGTACTTCTGTCGCATCCACGCCATGCCGGGTCTGGGCCAGCGTGCCGAGGTGTACAGGTGAGCATGCAGTGGAGTGATGAGGTCGGGGCGAAGGCGGGCTCGCTACTGCATGTGCTACTTGACAGCGCTGATTCTGACCCTTGCCTGCAGACACTACCCGCTCTCGCTCGCCTCGCAGATGGAGGAGTCGGCGCGCGCCCAGCTGCGGCCGCGCGTGGCGCCGCGCGACGGCAGCGCTGCCGTGACGGAGGGCGAGGGCGCGTCGGGCGCCGGCAGCCAGACGGACGCCATCCTGGTGCTGGCGCGCGGCTTGCGCGTCGAGCTGGACCAGGAGGACGCGGCGGGCGCCCGGGCGCTAGAGAGCGAGCGTGCTAGTGTGGAGCAGGGCGAGACATCGACGGAGGCACAGGCCGGTGCAGAGGCGCAGCAGGCGGGAGAGGCGGAGCAGGCGGGAGAGGCGGAGCAGGCGGGAGAGGCGGAGCAGAAGGACGGCGAGGCGGCCGCGGAGCCGGTGCAGGAGGAGAGCTCCGCGGAGAAGCAATAGGCACATCTTCAGGACTCAGACGCTTGATGCGCGACATGGCAATGACGGCTCCGGTCGCGGATCTCTAGGAACGGATGACGAGGCGTCGGAGAGCAAGAGGTCGAGGAGACCGGAGCAGGTACTGTTCGCGAATCGATGGCTCGTGCGATCGCACGCACAACGCAGCAACGGTGCAGAGAGGCAGAGGCGCGCGCACAGAGCTGGCAGCTTCCGCACACATGGTGTGAGGCCTCACACAAAGGCTGGGAGCCGCAGCTGCAGTGCAGCAGGCAGCAGCGCATCGAGGCGATGTGCCGCGCGCTGGCTGCTGCGCAATTGTGGAGGGCAGCATGCGAGCGCGAAGGGGCGTGCGCCTTCGCATGTAGCACAGCTTCACAGCTTCGCGACCTGTCAAACATCCGCGAGCTCGCTGGTCGACATGCTGTCATTGCCCGCACTCCAGACGCATTCTATGCAGCGATCACTTGATATGGTCGAGCGGCCGGTTGAAGCCTGCAAATGTAGGCGTGAGACATGCGGCGAAGTCTGAGAGGCGCTGAGGCACTCACCGCCGACGCGGTTCATGTACTGGCGCCAGGTACGCTCCTTGCGGACCTCGGCAAAGCCCTCGGCGTTGCCCTCGACCTTCTTGTTCTGCGGAGCTCGCATGTCAGCGCTGCCGCTGTGCCGGACCTTCGCGTCAGGCGCCTCACCTTGGTCGTGCCGAAGTTGCCGAAGCCCATCATGGCCATCATCGCTGCGTCGTCCTCGCCCTGCACCTCTTCCTCTTCCTCCTCCTCCTCCTGCTTCTTCTCCGCCCGTCCCTTGCCAGAGGCGCGCTCTGAGGGTCCCTCCTCGTCGTGCGCCGCATGCTCTTCGCGGTAATCGTCGCGCTCTCGCCGCGACGGCGCATCGCGCTCCCGCTCCCGCCGCGACGGCGCATCGCGCTCCCGCTCCCGCACCGAGCGCTCCGGCGAGCGCTCTCGTGCGCGTCCATACGCGTCCTCACGCTCGCGCGCCGGCGGCACGCCGCGCTCGGCGCCGCGGTACGGCTCGCGCTCGCGGCCCGGCGGCGGTCCTCGCGGGTCCCTGGCGTAGCTATCGCGCTCTCGCGGCGGCGGAGCGCGGTCGGCGTGCGCATCGCGATCGCGTGGCGGAGGAGGTGCCCGATCGCCATAGCCGTCACGCTCGCGAGGCGGCGGTGGAGCGGCACGCTCACCGTAGCCGTCGCGCTCTCGCGGTGGTGGCGGCGGACCTCGGCCGGCTGGCGGGTACGGGTCGGCGCGACCTGAGGCAGAGCGTCAGTAAGGCTGCCACAGAGCGTTTACACATGCTAGCGAGGCATCAGAGAAGCAGCGCCACGTCTGAGGCATGTCCGAGCTCGGAGCGCCATGCACACGTCGTAATGCGCCCCATGATCTCCGGCACACAGCCTGTCCTGGACTGCTTGCGCGCCGCGCTCCCAGACCTCGCGCTGCCCTGACCTGCCTCTGCATACTCACCGCCACGCATCCCGCTCAGGGGCCCACGCTGCTCGTATCCTCTCCGCGGCGGCGGGCTGTTGCTGCGGCGCGGCGGCGGCGGCGGACCTCGCTCGCCCGGCCCCGCACGGTACGGCTCGCGCTCGCCGCCGCGCTCGCGGTACGGCAGGCCGCGATCGTACGGCGCCGCTCCTCCACCGCCGCCGCCGCCACGGCCGCCGTCGTAGGCACGGTCGCGCTCGCCGTGCGGCGGACTGTCGTAGTCGCGGTAGCCGCCGCCGGCGCTGCGGTCGTTGTTGCGGTAGGACATGGCGTGGTGATGGTCGAGAGGAGAGATGCGGCGCAGCAGCCGAGCAATCCAGGCACGGCACTTTCTAGTGCCGAGTGGAGGCGTAATACAAGCCGAGACGCGCCGTTGTATTCACACGCTGCACGCAGCTCAAGTCGCCCTGCCCCGCACTCGGTGCGCCTCTCGCATGCTGCCTCACGTCCCTATCTCTCGCCAGCTCTCTACCTGCCGGCGCACCACTGCGCACTACACAGCGCCGCTCCGCACCTCACACACGCCCGCCATGGCGGCGAGCCGGCCGAACCTCGACGGCATCCTGCTGCTCGAGCAGCCGTTTGCACGCACGCCCTTTGACGAGCTGCGCCGCCAGCTGCGCGCCCAGCAGCGCATCGTCGAGCGCGACCTCGCCTGGTGCGCCACGGCACTCAGCAGCGGCGGCGCCAGTGCGGCGGCGCCCAGCAGCTCGGCGCCCGAGCCGCGACGCAGCGTCGACGGCATGAGCATCGACGAGACGCACGACGCCGCGCCGCGCTCTGACGCCGAGCGCACCCTGGACGCTGTTCTTGGCCGGCTACGGGGCATGAAGCGCAAGGTGAGCAGTGACGCAGCGTGCTCGACTGCAAGCCGCGGCGCTGCTCTGCTGCGAGCTCGTGGTGTCTTGCGTGCTGACCCTCTGCACAGCTCGCTCCTGTTGGCGATGCCACGGAGCGCTCCCTCGCCTCGGCGGCCGCACGCACGGCGCACCTGCACGAGCTGCACCAGATCGAGTCGACGTCGAGCGCTGCCTTTGAGGACTGGAGCCGTGTGCGCCTGGACCGCATGCTGTGCGACTACCTCCTGCGCTGCGGCTTCCACGAGAGCGCCGCGACGCTGGCACGCAGCCGTGGCATTGAGGTGAGCCGCGATGTCGCAGGTGCGAGTGGGCCTCTGTCTGATGGGTGCGCGGCTCCTGCAGAATCTGATCGACGCAGACATCTTCAGCGAGATCGCACGCATTGAGAGGTCGCTGTTGCCGCCACGAGACAGCACACAGCCGCGTTCCTGCACAATGGCGCTGGCGTGGTGCTCGGAGAACAAGGCTGCGCTGCGCAAGATCAAGGTGAGTGCGGCATGCGTGCCTCAATGGAGCAAGGTCTGAGCCTCGATGCAGTCGACCCTCGAGTTTGAGCTGCGGCTGCAAGAGTTCATCGAGCTGTCGCGCACACGAACGCGCGAGTCGATCACCGAGGCGATGAGCTATGCCAGCCGGCATCTGCTGCCGCTCCTCACGTCCGGCCCGCCGGGCAGCGCCAAGGGCGCAGAGAAGCTCAGCGCCGGCGAGGACGCGGAGGAGAACGAGGCGCATTTGCGCATGTGCGCACAGGTCCGGAGAGCCATGGGCTTGCTGGCCATGCCGCCTGGCAAGTGGGCATACTCGGTGAGCACAGCGCCGCTGCAGTCGCTCACAGCAGCTCACGCCCATCTGCAGGATCTCTACAGCGAGGACCGCTGGCACACGCTGAGCCGCTCGTTCCGCGAGTGTGCGCTGCAGATCCACAGCCTGCCGCCGCAGCCGATCCTGCACATTGCGCTCTCGGCCGGCCTGTCGAGCCTCAAGCTGCCGGCGTGCTACAGCCACGAGACGGCGCGCGGTGCTGCTGGCGCCACGCAGCCGCCGGCGCACCTCGGTGGCCGCACGTGGGGCGACACAACGTCGGTGCCGCTCGGCGGAGCTCCGTCCGTCACGGCGCCGGCAGTCACGCTCCCTTCGGCCGCGCCGCTGACGTCTGGCGGCCTGCTGGCATCCTCGCCGCCCTCGTCGGCTGCAGCGCGCAGCTCCTCGGCGCTCGGACATGCACGCGACAGCGAGCTGGGCGACGAGCGCAATGCCAACTGCCCCGTGTGCGACGCCGACGGCCTTGGCCAGCTGGCAAAGGAGGTGCCGTGGAGCCACCACACCAACTCGACGCTCGTGTGCCGCATCAGCGGGCGCGTGATGGACGAGAACGACCCGCCGCTCTGTCTGCCCAACGGCCGCGTGTACTCACGAACGGTGCGTGTGCGCTGTGCCGCGGAGCCGCGGAGGATATGCATCAACTGACTGTTCCTCGCAGGCGCTGCAAGAGATGGCCACGGCCAACGCGTATGGACACGTTACATGTCCGCGCACGGGACAGACGTTCCCCTACACGTCCGCGCGCAAGGTCTTCATCTCGTGACCGGCGCCGCCTCTCGCGACTCCTCGCTCCTTACGACTCCACCTGACGCTTCTCTCACGTATCATCATACCCTCGCTGTCGGCCTCGCCTCGTCCACGCAATCTCAGTCTCGACAACATGCTATGGCTGGTATCGCAGGCGACGGTCGGTGACGTGGCGGTATGTGTGTGTGTCTCGCTCAGAGCAGGTCGTCGGCGTCGGCGTCGGAGTCGTCGTCGCTGCTGCCCAGAGCCTCCTCGTAGGCGCGCTCGTTGACCTTGCGGGCTGTGCGTCCGCTGCGGCGCACAGGCGTCGACGATGCCTCGGCGGCCGGAGTGGCGGCGGCGCTTCGGCGCGCGCGCGTGGCCTGCTTCTTCGCCGGCGGCGGAGCAGCAGCGGCCTGCGAGGTCTCGGTGGCCTGGCTCGGGCTTTCGGGGCGGCGCAGTGTGTGCATCGAGGCCGGCAGACGGATGCGCAGGCGCGACGAGCTGGGCTGGGGCGCAGCAGGCGCGGCAGGCGCCTCGTCCGCGCTCGAGGAGGGCGAGCGTGCTCTCTTACGCGCTGCAGCACGGCCGCGAGTGGAAGTGGCCTGCTCTTGCTCTCCGCGCTTGGAGGCTAACGCCGCGAGCGAGACGATCTTGCCGCGCTTTGGCGCCTCGGCTTCCGCCGCGTCGAGGTCCATCGACTCGTCGGCGTCGCTTGCGCCGACCGACGCGGTGAGGTCGGCGCCACTGGCCTCTTCCATCGCCTGCGTATCCTCCTCGAGTGCGCGCAGCTTGCTGACCTCGTCGGCGACAGCTGGCTGAGCGGCGCCGCGCTTCGCCTGCTTAGGCGCCGAGGTCGCCTGTGCGTGCTCCGAGTCGGCGCCGTACTGCTCCTTGACGCGCTGAGCGATGCGCAGCGCATTGAGCATCTTCTTCCAGTTCTTCATCGCGCGCTCCTGGCGCTTGTTGAACTCTTTCTCCGCTGCGGCATGCTCCGACTCCCAGTACGCCTGTGCAGAGCGTCAGCAGCAGCCGTGACGCGCGAGACACAACGCTCACCTCAGCGACGAGGTCCTCGTACTCCTCGGGCACGACGATGCCCGTCAGGCGCGGCATGCTGCGGAACTTGCGGAATTCGAAGCCAGTCTGCAGAGAGTCGTGTCAGCCCGAGCTCAAGCAGTCGCTGCACACGACTCACGATCGCCTCGGCATAGCTGATGCCCAGCTTCTTGGCCACCTTGCCGGCGCCGTTGTACGGGATGTGCGCAGCGCCGGCGGGCAGCATCGTCGGGACGAAGAGATCGATGTTGCCAAAGGAGTTCTTGGGCACCTCGCCATCGACGACGGGCGGCGCCTGGTATAGCTCCGTCTGGTTTTCGGCGTAGAGGCCCTCCATGGGCGACTCGCCGCCCTCGGCACGCGCCTGCTCCTCGGCGCGCTTGTTGGCGAGCGTGTAGCCGCGGCTCTTGACCCACTTGAGCGCCTCCTGCCCATCGGACACGACGCGGCCCTCGTTGTACCACTGGCGCGCGCTGCGGCACGAGACGACGTTGCCGCGCGGGTACACCTTGATGCCCTGGAACGTGCCGATCTGGTGCAGCGGGTGGATGACCTCGTCGCGCTTGAGGTGCTTCTCGATGGCAAAGACTGGATGGTCCTTGAAGCCGCCGACGCTGGAGGGCATCGGCTCTTTGCCGGCCGCCTCTTCCAGCTCGACGTCCTCCGCCGCGTCGCGGTCCAGATGCTGCGGACGGTGCAGCGCCGCGATGACCGAGGCCCACCAGGCGTCCTTCTTGGCGCCCTTGCCGATCGGCGGCGGGCGCATGCGGCTGACGCGCGAGTGCAGCGTCTTTGTGTAGCGCGCCGTGACGTCCCGCGCGAAGCCGTCCTCCTCGAAAGCGACGACATAGACGAGGCGGTTCGTGCGGTCGCTCGGCGCCGGCTCCATGTGCCGGTTGCCCGCCGGCTCGAGGCGGCCGCGCACCGGGTCGACGGTGAGCCACTTCTGCCACGGCTTCGAGAAGACCTCGACCCACATCGTCGGCGGCGCCTCGGTGTCGACGACCTCGACGTCCGACACGGCGTCGGCCTCGAGCTCGGTGGCCTTGAGCTTCTTGGGGCGGGCGCGGCGCAAGCGCGGCACATGCTCGACCTCGATCGGGCCGTTGGCCCAGCGTGCGCGAGGGTCTTCTTCGTCCGCTGCCTGGTCCTTCGCCTTGCCCTTGCTGGCGTCTCCGGCGACGGACGTCGAGGCGTCGCCATCGGCGCTGCTGAGACTGCTCGAGCGGCTGCGCTGGCCCTTGGCCGCCGAGGTGGCGGGCTTGCGCGTCTTGCTCGGTTGAGCGGGCGATGCAGCCGCAGAGCCGGCGACGCTGCTGCGCGCGACGGAGCGCTTGCTCTTGACAGAGAGCTCGACGTCGCTGCGGTGCGCCAGTGACTCGGTGCCGCTCGCGGTGCCTGCGATGCTGGCCGGCCGACTGGCTGTGCCATTCGCAGCCTTGCCCTTGGCTTGGCGGCCTGTGCGCGCCTTGACTGGCGTGACTGCAGGACTCTTCGCTGAGCCTGCGACGCTGCCGTCTCCGAGCTCCCACTCATCCTCGTCGCTCGTGTACTCTCCCTCCGGCTTGCGGTTCTCCTGAATCTGCTTGGCCTTTGGCAGCTTCGCCGTGCCCGTCGCGCTGCGCTTGGGCTTCTTCTCGATGGCGCCGGTGGTGGTGGCGACTTTTGCTGCGCCGATGCTCCACGGCGCCACCTGCACGCTGATGACAAGGCGCGCCGGAATGCCCAAGGCGCGACACATGCTGCAGAAGAGCTGCGCAGACGTCTCGCGCGAGCCGTTGCGCGCCTCGTGCCGCTCGAGCAGGCTCTCGGGAGAGATAATGAGCTCGAGCGAAGGTGCCAGGTGCAGGTACGTCGGCGTCACGCTGTTGGCGCCGGGCCCGAAGAGCGTAATGTCTGGGCACGCCTGGCGCGGCGCCTTGGGCGCGGCATCGACGTCGATAGCCTTCTCCTTGCCCTTGCCACGACTCGCGCCGCCTTCCTTGCTGCGAGCGGCGAGCTCGCGAGCGTGCGCCTGGCGCTGTGCGCGCTCCTGCCGCCAGCGCTCGTCTCGCTCCGCTGCACTCTCGACGACCCAGCCGTCGACACGGCCGCCAGGCGGCGGAAACGCGCCGGCGAGCGCGTCGGGGTTCGGCTGGCGCAGTGCTGCCGTGGCGGTCATGTTCGGCTCAAGGCGGAAGCGGCGGTGCGCCCACCAGACGACGAGGTCACGCATGAAGGCCTCAAACATGCGCACTCGCTCGCGCACGTTGGCGACGCGCTTGGGATGGATAAGCTTGAGCTTGGTGCGCAGTGCCTGCGGGACACTGTCGTACAGCGCGTCCTGCCGGCGCGCGTCAGCACTGAGCTACAGCCGCACCAAGCCAGTCCTGCACCCACCTTGAGCGGATCGTCGTTCGCCCAGGAGTTGCGCACCTTGGCGTGCGCCAGCATCGCCAGCGTGCCGAGCTTATGGCTCGCCAGCCGCACGGCGCGGTCACGCGGCGTGAGGCGGTTCTCGTTCTGTGCCCGCTTCGCCTTGCTGCCGCCCGCCGCCGCGCTGCCGCCGCCGAGGTTGAGCGAGATGACGCCAGCCGCCTGACCCTTGCCATCGTGGAAGATGGCCGGCGTAGCTGCGGCACCATCACCGTTCTCAGGCTGGCGCGCTGCCTCGGCGACCGCGTACGCCGCCGAGTAGTCGGCCTCGCCCTCGCCGCCGTCCAGCGGCACCTCCTCCATCTCCATCTCCATCTCCTCTTCCTCTGGCTCAGCTACAGCGCCGCTTGGGCCCGCAGCGCTCACATCCACCTCGTCCATGTCCATCTCCTCGCCATCGGACGCCTCGTCGGCCGAGTCGGAGAGCTCGATGGCCGGCTGCGGCGGCTTGCGCGAGCGCGGCTTGCGAGCCGAGGTGCTGCCGCCTGCCTTGCCACCGCGCGACTTGACTGCGGCCGCCTTTCCTCGTGCTGGGCGCGCCGGTGCCGGTGCCTCGGCGACCGAGTCGTCGGAGAGCTCGTGGATGGAGAGCACCTCGTCGGGCGTGGGCGGCGTGGGAAAGCGGCGGGCGCCACGCCGCGGCGGCATCGCGGCACGCTGGGCCGTCAGGGCTGACAGCTGACGGCGGCGGTGCGCTGCTACGGGAGTGGTGCAGCGTGCGTGCAGCTCGGGATGCGGCCGCGTGGATGAGTGGTGGACGAGAAGCAAGGACGGCGCGGCGCGCCGGACGCGCTTCAGGTGGAGGGTCGCCGGCGCGCTCTCAGAAAGTGCAGCCGCGGCTCAGGCTGATGACGCAGCGATCCAAGCGGCCGCCGCGTCGCACGGGATGGCAGCTCGGCGGCGCCGTATGCACCTCATTCGTCGTCTCTCGTGCCTCGGCGACGCTTCGACTCAGACTTCTGCCGCTCTTCCAAGTGCTGCGCGATCATCATGCGCTGCGACATACTCTTACAGCGCGCTGCGGCACATGATGCATTGGGCATGAGAGGTGCGGCGCGACAGGCGAGAGGGGAGTGGGAAGGACGGGCCGCCACGCTTGCGTCGCGGCGGACAGGGTGGTGCGGACACGAGAAGCGAGCCGGCTGCGGCCTCGGACAGCATCCAGCCACTTGCGCGAGCCATGTCGATGACGAGACGAGACGGTACGGTACGATACGAGACGAGACGAGACGAGACGAGACGAGACAAGACGAGACGAGACGAGACGAGACGAGACGAGACGAGACGAGACGAGAGAGAGTGAAGCGGTCGGGAGCGGCGGGCTGCTGGTCGGCGGTGGCGACCTGGGCAATGCCCGCTGCTCAGTGCGCAAGCGGGACGGACCTGGACTGCGAGAGATGGAGTGTGAGCAAGAGATGCACTGCTGGACGACGGCCGCAGCGGATCCACGCACCATGTCGAGGTCCGAGCGCTCGAGGCAGCTACAGGCGCACGGGAATCTCGTGAGGCTGCGAGGCAGGAAGACAGACGTCAGCCGAGGGCGGGAGGACAACGCAGCGCGGCCGACGCACCTCGAGGTGCACCAGCATGGGCGCCGCGGTCGCCCAAGCGCTTACATGGTGCGGGACCAGGAGGAAGAGGCCCTCGCTCGGTCCGACGCCCGCAGGAGCAGCGGCAGGCACCAGAGAGTAGAGCGTCTCGCCCATGAAGGCCCACAGCTGGTGCGGGTCGAGCGAAGACCGAGGCGGCGGCTGCGCCTTGCCGGCGGGCGCGTGGGTGGGCGTGAACTGCTGCCACTGGCGCGCGTTCGCGTTCCAGAGCTGCATGGTGTGCTGGGGGGTGCTGAGGTGGAGTGCGGTGAGAGGGGCTGCTGCGAGGGGATGCCACGCAGATGTGGCGAGTGGTGGAGGACGGCAAGGAAGAGCGAGGGCCACGCAGCGCCGCCTTTTGTAGGCGAGAGAGACGGCCAAGCCCGCCTGCCGTCTCGTGCGCTGCGCCGCACCTCATCAGCAGCAGCAGCATGAGATGCGACAGGCCGGCTGCTGACGCTGCCGCTGTATCGGGAAGTCAGAGTGGTGAGCTGTGTGCGGCGCTCGAAGTCGCCGCGTCGGGCGCTGAGCTGCCGGCGTCTTCGGCGTGCGGCTGCGGCGCTCCTCGCAACTTCCCGATTGAGAGCGTGCCGGCAGCCCTCAGGGGCGCAGCCGCGACGCGTGGCGCAGAGCGCGCCTCGCGAAAGACGCGCCGCGTGCCCTCGCCGCCCTTGCTGCGCCATCTGAGCTGGCTGTCCTCCTGCGGGGACGGCTGCTTGAGCTGCGGCGGGGCGTGCCGATGATGCGGTGCATGGCCGTGTCGCTGGCGCCGTCGCTAGGCCTCAGCGTGGCGTGGCTGCCGGTGGGCTGCGCGGCGGCGGGAGACTCGCGACTGGAAAGGGAGAGGACTGCCCACTAGACTGTGCCCCATGGCACACCTCTCGGCGGCTCGGCCGTACCTGCTGGGCGCTTTTCAGCCTGCTCCTCTGTGCTGTGCCTCGGCGCGCGCGCGCCGCACTCGCCGCGCCAGCACTCTTACTGCCTGCCCCGCCCATGCCGCTTCAGCGCTGCCTCTCTCCCCCGAGCACGCTGTCCGTCGCCGTCCCGCCCGCGCACTCGCACCACCTAGCCCCACTGCAGCTGCCAGACGTCGTCATGAGCAGCTTCCTCGGCAACCCAGGCAGGAAGATTCTCATCGACCGCCAGACCGACACGCTCGCTCGCACGCCGCTGAAGCTGCGCGTCGCCGTCGGCGAGCCCGCCGTCGCTCTCGAGGGCCAGCTGCTCGCCGACGCGATCCGCGTGCGCAACGGAGAGCGCTACATCTCGGGCGCCGATGTGGCGATGCTCAACGACGCCAATCGCCCGCACATCTATCGGCGCGACGGCGTCGGCGAGATCGCGCTCGGCGGCGGGCGCACTGCAGTCGCCTTTCATCGCATCCACGCACCGCAGCGCCTTCTGCCCAGCCTGAGAATAGCACTGTCACAGGGCCGCAAGCTGCGTGATGCGTGTCTGGCCGAGCCGGCCGTCAAGCAGGCCATTGCGGAGAAGGAGAAGGTAGAGAAGGCCAAGAGGGAGAAAGCTGAGAAGAGGGTGCAGGCGGAGCAGAGGGAGGCCGAGAGGAAGAAGGCGAAGGGGGAGAAGGACCGGTGCGCAGCGATGACGCCTCGACCGCCGCCGGACAGTGAGTCGTCGGCGATGGTCACGCTGGCCGACGACTCGCGGACAGCCGGTGCAAAGACGGCCGACGAGTCCGAGACGGGAACTAGCGCCCGCCAGGATCTGAGCGTCGAGCTGGCCGTATGGAGCGGACAAGCGCCAGGCTCCTTCATTGAGTCCACTGCCAGCCGATCGCAGGTGAGTAGGACTTGTGCGCCTGCTGCAAAGCAAAAGACGCCGCGCTCCGGCTGGGAGCATCTGCTCAGGTGACACGCTGAAGCGCGGCGTCTGCTTGGGCGCGTGGGCTTGGCGAATGCTTGGACTGACCTCGTCCGTATGGCCCAGGCGTCGCGCGACATGATGCTGTGGGCGAAGAGCTACACGGAGCGCTTCGTCGCTCCGCTGATTCATCAGTACGCACCGGCTGTGGAGAAAGTGAGTCGAGCGTCGTCGTCGAGCTGGCTCTTGTCGGTCCTGTCGGCGATGCCAGGGCGCCAGTATCGCTCGACGAAGCACACGTCTCGCTTGGCGGAGCACCCGCCATCGTCGCTCAGCGAAGCGCACGTCTCACGTCGCGGAGCAGGAGCGCCGTCGTCGCTTGACGAAGCGCGTGTCTCTCTCGCCGGGTATGCTGACGCGCTCCTAGGACCTAGCGTACTCAGCCGGGCGCGTACACGACCACCTGCAGGAGTTCCATCCAGCTTCGGCACCGCTCGTTCATCGTCTGTGGCACTGCCTCAGTCTGGTGATCGGCCTCACGCCCGGACTGCATGAGGATGCGGCAAACGACGGCTTCTGCATGCTTGTCAACTTCGACGACAGCGTGTACTTCCGCATGCCGGCTCTCGATGTGGCCATAGGTGAGAGCGGCCCTCGTCCCTGCTCGCGCCTCTCGCTCCTTGCCGCCCCTCGCTCCTCGCCGCTCCTCTTCTTTCGCTCGCACTGACGCACGCGCGGCCCGACTAGACCTGCAACAGTTCGATCTGCTGCTCTTCCGTGCTCAGGACTGGTACCACGCCACGGGCATGTTCCCCGCGGCCGCGCGTGCGCCGTCGAGGCCAAGCCTCGAGCCGCTCGACGACGGCAAGGCGCCCCCCATCGGCCGCTGGGCGATGTCTCTCTACACGAGAAGAGCTTTCTTCGACACATGGAAGAAGCAGGAGATGCAGATGGCAGCGGCAACGACGAGGAAGGCGGTCAAGAAGGCGGCCGCCGCCGTCGGCGCCGACGGCGAGGACGCCGCCGAGGACGAGGAGATGGACGTCGACGTCGAGAAGCGCGTCGCGCATCTTCAACGCCGTGCGGCGCAGCTTGCGGAAGAGGAGCTGAACCTGCGCGACGCTCGTCCCAGATACAGAACACCAAAGCTGCGAAGAAGCGCCGGCTCAACATCAAGAACAACGAGGAGCAGGACGAGGACAGCGAGCACGGCGACGAGCAGTAAAGCGGCAGCAGGTGCGCAGAGCAACATCAATGGCCCACCACAGCCCGCTCACCTTCATTCTCGGCCCAGTCTCAGCCACCTGTCCCAATCTCCCTTCCTGGCTCGCTTTGTACTTGTTCCGCCTCTCCTGTCTTACACGCGATCGATTGGCGCAGGAGCTCGTCACTTCCTCGTCCCATCTCCCTCCTCGGCTCGCACTCGACCTGCCTCTCGTGTCACCCACATCCCCCGTCGGACACGGGCCTCGTCTTTGTCCTGCACCTTCTCGCCGTCTCGCACAGCATCCGTCGCCCTCGCGGCATACACCCACTCAGCCTCTTCCAGCGTCTCACTTCCCTCGCGAGCCGCGCGCCTTGCATCGTGCACGTGCGCTGCGCTTGCCGCAGTCCGTTGACGAGATTACTCGAGCGAGCGTGTGAGATCGGCAGCGTGAGGAGGCGAAGCACTAGCACTCGAGCGTGCGCGTGGAAGAGGCGGGACTGGGGCGCGAGCACACGCCGCGCGGCGCAGCGAGGCCGAGTGCGCGAGAATGCTGACCGCCGGCCGACGCGGCATGTCTGGCAGGGTGCTCGAGCAGCCGTGAGTGTCGCACGGCTGTCCCTGTGGACATTTCGGCGCCGTCGCAACTCCCAGCCAGCAAGACGGAGCGCAACGTCCGCTGGGACAGAGAATGAGCGGGACGAGGCCGCACCGCAGCGATGCAGCGCTGGCGGGCGTGGGAAAGAGAGCGGCCGCAGAGCGCGCTACTTCTAGGGCGCGGGCCGCCGCCGCGCCGCGCTCAGCTCGCGCCGTGCCATGACCGGTGCGCTTCTCTCCTCCACCACACCCCCACTCTATCTGCAGCCTCGCATCGCACCACAGTCAGCAGCACGCCCAGCTGCACACGCATCACCAGGCGCTGCGTGCCATATCTGGCGCGTCAGCGAGCCCGGCTCCTCGGACGCGCCTCGCAACTCCTGCGCGCGGCGCGCACGACGCGAAGCGCGCGCCGTGTGTCGGACGCGCGCTCGCCTCCACCCACCGACCCCGATCTCCTCGCACCCGCCACCGCTCGATTGCAAGGCCATGGCATTGAGAAGCGCCGCGCCAGCAAGACAAGAGGCAAAGGTAAGGCGACAGCAGCAGCGCTGGGTATCTCGCCGCCGCACGCAGCACGGACGCGCGCGCGCGTGAGGCGCGGGCACCGCCTCCTCGAGAGAGGAGGAGCGCGCGCCCGACGCGCGGGCCCGCGAGGCGAGGCGGGTCAGAGGCACGAATGAATAGAGAGAGAAGGGGCACGGGTGGGGCAAGAGCCGAGGCCAGGTAGAAGAGACAGGGGAAAAAAGGAGAGTGGGGGCACGCGCACGTCGAGGTGCACGGCCAGGTGCCGTCGGACGCGCCGCTTACAGCTCGTCGACCGGCATGGGTGCCGCGCGCCCGCCGAGAGCGTTCGTGACTCCATTGACAGCCCCGGCGACGCCGTTGACAGTGGAAGCCGTCGTGTTGGCCGCACTGCGAGAGGAACAGGGACACGTCAGCGACACTCGTCGGCTGCAAGCGCAGGCACGGATACGCACGACTCGACGCCGTTGCCGACGCTCGAAACGGTGTTGTTGACGGCCGACGTCACGCCAGAAACGGTCTGCGAGCGGCGAGAGAGTCAGCGACACGCCCCAAGAGGAGGCTCAGCCTCCACGAACCTGATTGACTGCGGAAGTGACACCGGCAACCGTCTGGAAGGGGCGAGGGTGTCAGCGTCGGCAGCACGCTTCTGCTGCAGCAAAGAACCCACCTCGTTCAGGACACTCGTCACATTCGATGCGATCGTCGCAGGCACGGCATTCGAGCAGCCGAGCGCGAGCAGCAGCGTGTTCGACAGGAACGCCAGCGGGCCGCTGTTCTGCGTCAGCGTGCAGACGATGCCCTTGAGCGGGGCGAGCTGCGGGATCTGCAGCAGCTGGCCGAGCTGTCCTTGGCTCAGCTGCTTCAGGATGTCGCCGAGGGCGCCGAGCAGATCGCCAGTGGCACCCGCGAGCTTGCCGAGCAGGTCCTCGAGGCCGCTGATGGGCAGCGCCGGCAGTCCGGGTGCCAGTTGCAAACTGTACGTCGTAGTGACGTCTGCGAGCGAAGGGCAAGCGGTCAGCCACGCTCGCCGGGCGCACTGCAGACGCGGCGCACTCACCGATCTGATTATACATCAGCGAGGGGATCTCGTACGTTCCTGAGCGGCCATTGACACTGGCCCCGATGGTGTTGTACGCATCGACGTTGTTTCCGATCAGAGTGAGCGAGCCGAAGAGACCGCGCGTGAGCAGAATGCGCGTGATGCGCTCCGGCGCCGGGGTGCCCCCTGCGGGATTGGGGTTCGATGTGCTTGTCGCCGCGGGCAAGATATAGGCGTTGCGGAAGGTGTAGTCGAAAGTGGCGTAGTCGCGCCGCCCGGTCTGGCTGTGCGGACCCTCGTTGGTGTTGAAAATCTGCGACTTGACGCTGCGGACTTGCAGCGGCACCGGAAGATCATTCAAAGCGGTCAGGAGTGCCTCCACGTAGGCAGGCGTGGCCCCCCCGTTCAGTGTCCCAATAAGGCCTTGAAGGAGACTTTCGCCAGTGATAAACACGTCTACTCGCACGATGATGCGGCTGCCGATACCGCGGAGCTCCGTGTTTGCGACGACGCGAGAGAGGGCCGGCTCGAGCGCGTCGTAGGGCGACTGCGGCGGGTTTGCGCCGTTGCGGCCCATGATGGCAAGCGGCGTGACCTGGATGCCGTTGCGCTGGCCCTCCGGCGGCTGCAGGTACTGCTGGAGCACCTTCTCGGCCGTGGGGTTGCCCGGGTCGCCGCCAGAGATCTGCGGGCCGTAGCGGAACTCCACCGAGAGACGGTTCTCTCCGGGAATGAGCAAGATTGGGTTGATGAAGGCACGTCCGATCTCCGTTCCTGTGAATGTCACGGGTAGCAGGAAGCGATCCGAGGATAGTGTTATGTCGCTAGGATTCTGCAGTGTTGCTTCGAGAGGAATCTATGCGTCGCTCTGGTCAGCTGCGCTCTTCCGATGGCTTGGCGTGCGCGTGGACTGGACAGTACTAACTATGATATACTCTGAAGTGGCGTCAGTAACATCGAGGCGGCCGATCTCAGCTGTGCGTCCGAAGCTGCGAGGAGAAGTGAGAAGTTAGCAAAGCGGCACGATAGGTGGAGGAGAGGCAAGAGGCGCGACGCGGCGCGACGCGGCGCGGCGCGGCAGAAGCGCGAGGCGCAGAGGCGCACTCAGGCACGCCGGCTCCCACGCCTGTGGCTTGCCGCTCCCACATTCAGCACAGCCTCATGCAGGGCCGCCGGCGACCCCGCATCACGTGCGGCGCGCGCCCTGAGCTCGGCTCTCGGAGCCGGCGACCGAGCACTTGCGCCCCGCGGCCCCCGCGGCTCTGCCTACGTAAGCAGCGCCTAGGCGTGCGCGTGCCAGCACGCGCGCCGCGCACCCAGACTCAGGCTGCTGGCGCGTGCGCATCACACCGGCGCACCCTCCTCCACCTTGCGCCCCACCACCACCTCCCACCTCGCGCCCCACCACCACCTCCCACCATGGCCGCTGACCTCGCCGCGCTCCGCGCTCCGCTGAGCGTCGGCGCCACCGCGCGCCACGCGCCGCAGCCGCAGCACATCTGCTGGCGCCGCAGCCCTTGCGCCGCACACGCCACGGTCAGAAAAGCACGCGCGTACTCACGAGTTGATGCCGTCCAGCGAGCTGGGCACGTCGAAGGGAATGCCTGTGATCGTCGGGTTGCCGATCTGCGTGATGGCGACGACGTCGGTGCTGCCGCGGAGCTGGAAGTTGACCGTCTGCTCGTTGGTCGTCGTCGCGAGGAACTGCTGGAAGCGGCCGTGGTCCTCGGGTGCCGAGACAAGCAGCTGGTTGCGGAAGTTGATCTCCAGCGGCTGGCGGTCGTTGGGGCCGCGCGACGTGCCCGAGCTGACGACGTCGGCCAGCGGCAGGTTGAGGTTCGCCGCAGTGCCGCCGTCGAAGCCGATCGCAATCTTCGGGCCGGCCTGCGCGACGGCGAGGCCGAAGCCGAAGGGGTTGGCAAACGTCGCCAGCGTGCGGTTGTTCGACACCGTCGGGCTGTAGCCGCTGTTGGAGCCCTCGAGGAAGACGGCCGTCAGGTCAGAGAGCGTGATCGAGTAGATGATCTGGTAGATCTTGCCCGGCAGAATGACGTTGGTGCGGAAGCGGCTGAAGGCGTCGCTGAGCCAGCGGACGGGCTGCCCATTGGACGCAGGGGAAATGACGGACACGCCGCGCGCCTCGAGCGTCGAGTTCTGGCCCGCCAGGAACTGCGAGAAGAGAATGCCGATGTTGACGAGGCCCTGGCCCGTCTGGCGCACGATGCGGCCGTCGATGATCGCCACAGTCGTCGCCTTGGAGGCGAGGAAGAGGTTGCGCGCCGCGATGGGGCCGACGAGCGTGCCCATAAAGTACGCATCGAAGTTGGCCGTGCCGAGCTCGACGCCGAGCGACGCCGGCGAGTAGATGGGCGCCTCGATGTTGATGTTGATGAAGCCCGGCCCGTCGCTGGGCGCCTCGAACTTGGTGATGACAATGCCGGGCAGGCCGTTGAATGCGTCCAGCGTGATGGTCTTGTCGAGGATGACATTCTGGTAGCGGATGCCCAGCGCACGCACGAGCACGCGGTTGCTGTACAGGCGCCACTGGAATTGCGCGTTGTTGAGGATGTAGTCGGCAAACTCGGTAAAGGCAGGCTCGTCGAGGATCGTCAGCTGGCCCTGCGAGCGCAGGTTCGGCACGCCGTCCGGCGGGCTCGAGCAGATCGGCGGCAGCGAGATCTCGGCAATGTCGCGGCCGTTGTAGCCGATGCGGATCGGCTCGGGGAACTCGATGTACGCATCGGCCGGTGCATCCGTCATCAGCGAGCCGGCGAGCGAGGTGAAGAAGCCCTCGTTCGTCAGGCTCGTGGCGTTGGCCTGCGTCACCGTCAGCGTCGACTGGTTCACGATGAGCTGGATGAGCGGCGCGCCGGCGGGGCCGAGCAGGTAGAGAGCCGTCTCGTCCGTCTGCGTGGGCACGGGCTGCTGGATGAAGTTGAGGTCCGTCTGGTACTCGTCGATCTTGACCGTGGAGCGAATGGGAATCGACGTGGCGAGGCCGCGCAGCGCCTGCAGCACGGCGCCGAGCGTGTCGAACGCACGGCCCGACACACACGGCGGCTGCTGGTCGTCGGGCACGGGGATGATCGTCGTGCGCGTGTCGGGCAGGTCGAGCACCTGCTGCAGGAACGGCGGCAGCGGGCCGAGGCTGGTGCCCGTGTCGCGCGCGACGGCAATCACAAAGCGGATGAGCGTCTTCGGGTCGATGTCCAGCGCGATGGGCAGCTGCTGCGACTGCGTCGTGACCTTGCCCGGCGCGCTGATCGGGTTGCTGCGCAGGTTCTGGTCGATGGTGCCGACGACGATGCCGTCGTACACGGCCTGCGCGTACAGCTGGATGATGTTGATCGACGCCGTAAAGGGGTTGGCGATGAGCACGCTCGCCTGGGCAATGCCCGTCTGCGCAATGTCGCGCGGCACCTCGAGGAACGCCTGCACGACGATGAGCTTCATCAGCGGCGGAATCTGCGCCGTGAGCGTGATGCCGGAGAGCGCCTGGATGAGCGACGGAATGGGCGTCGTCTGGCTCGTGCCCTGCACGGTTGCATCCGAGGTGATGTTCTGCACGTAGTTCTCAAGCAGCGTCTGGCCGGCGCGCACGTTCTCGGCGCCCTGCGGCGAGTAGAGAATCTGCGTCGGCACGCGGTTCTCGCCAGGCACGAGCAGGATGTCGTTGATGAGCGCACGGCCGATGACGCGGTTCTGGAAGAGCGTCGCGAACTGCACGTCGCCAGCGCCAATCGTAATGTCCGAAGGATTGAAGAGCGTCACAGCCACGGTGATGAGCAGGTACGTGGGGAAGCCACGCGCGACGTCGAGGTCCGAGACGATGGCGGGACGCGCGTTGAGGTTCTGCAGACCCAGGATGTTCGTGTTGAGGTTAAAGGGAATGTCGCGGATCGTCACGAGGCCGGCTCCGGTCAGTGTGTTCGCCGTGGCCTGGCCATTGAGGTTGAAGGTGACGATCTCCTCGCGCGTCACATCGGCGACGAACTGCGAGAAGATGCGGCGCGACTCGCCGTTGTTGTACACGGCAAAGGGCACATTGTTAAACATCAGCGTCAGGATGCGTGCCTCGACGTCTGTAAGCGTGTTCGACTCGGGGATGTTGAGCACGGCAAAGTTCTGGCCCTGGTAGTTGGCCGTGAAGGGGCCGGCCGTCGTCTTGATGTCCACAGGCAGCGTGAAGGGCAGGAAGAAGTTCGCCGTCGTGTTCATCGAGTCCGACTGCGGGTTGTACGCCGTCGGCACCGTGAAGAACAGCGAGAGCTGGTTGATGGAGATCAGACGGATGACCTCAAAGTCCTGCGACGGCAGCGACACCTCGACGTTGAGCACGCGGATGCCCTCGTTGAGCCACACGACGTCCTCGGGGCCGGCAAACTCGCCGTGCACGATCAGCGGCGTGTTGACATTGTGCACGAAGTTCGTCAGCACCTCGCCGAGCACCTCGAGGCCGAAGCCCTGCTGCGGGACGATGCTGCCGACGAGCGGCACCGTAGTGACGGCGAGCGCCTGCAACGTGAACGCGCCCTCGGCCGCGGCAGGGCCGATGAGCGAGTCATTCCGCGTGATCGTCGTGCCGAAGCGGGACAGCGCCACGCCGACCTGCGCCGGGTTGTTGATCGTGCTGACGGCCGTGAGGTGGATGCCGCCTCCGGGCTCGTTGTAGGGCACGTCGAACGAGTTGATGATGACCTGGTTGCGGAGCCCATTCAGGCCCGTGAGCTGCACATCCTTGTTGATCGTGATGCCCGGCACGACGATGCCGAGCGCCGCGACGGAGATGCCCTGGCCACGGATGTTCCAGATGAACGAGGGGTTGAGGATGACGTACTTGAGGAAGTCCGTGAAGTAGCCCACGTCCGGGATCTGGCCCTCGAGCTCGATGTTGAGCGACGAGCCGAGGTCGCCGACGAGCGAGATGTTCGGGAATGCAGCCGAGGTGAGCGGGCGGCCCTCCCAGAAGATGTCGAGGCCCTCGGGGAAGGACACGACGCCGTCGAAGGGGCCGGCATTGGTCAGAGCACCCTGCAGCGAGGCGCGGAACGAGTTGGGGCGAGCCTCGAGGATCGTCACACGGTCGATGTTGAGGATCGAGCCGTCGACAATCTTCTGCACGATCGGCGCGGCAAGCGTGGGCAGCAGAAGCAGCAGCGTGTCGTCGACGCCGAGCGGCACGTTGTTCTGCGAGAACGTGAGCGTCGTGCCGTAGTCGCCAATGACGGCGTCCGAGACGATGACCAGGTCGGCCGTGGCAGTAGAGAAGGCGTCGAGCACGTAGCTGGCCAGGTTGAAGCCCGTGTACAGGTTGGCACGCTTCTGCACGCCGTCGGCGGGCAGCGGGAGCGCGCGCTTGAGCACGGCATCCTCGCCGCTAAAGTCGATGCCCTCGTCGTCGCCGAGCTGCTCGCTGATCGCGGCGCCCGTGTTGGCTCCGACGCCCATGAGGACCTGCGCCATCTTGTCGTCCTCCTCCAGCACGAAAGTCTTCTGCTCGGCGAGGTCGCGCTTGCGCTGCGCCTCGTCGCGCGTCGGCGTGAGCGTAAAGCCGCCGAGCTGCACGACACCGTCGATGTACGCCGGATTCAGGCCGCGCTGCATGGCAAAGGCACGCAGAATCGAGAACAGGTCCGGCGGGTACAGGTTGACCGACAGAGGGACAATGGGCGACGTCGTGACAGCCTTGCCAGCGGCCGTGAATTCCAGCGGCGTGTTGATGTTGGCGAGGAAGATGCCGTGCGCCGAGGCGTTGGCTGCGATGCGCGAGATCGCAAGGCTCGAGCTGAACGGGTTCGCAAGGTCGACATGCGAGTTGGCAATGTCGTCGGTGATGCCCGTCGAGGCCAGCACGGTGAGGTTCGCGGAGCGCACCAGGCTCGTCTTCAGGCCGGGCAGCGTCGCGTTGAGCACGATGCCGCCGAGCGTGGGGTTCAGCGAGGCCACCGGCGACGAGCGATCGAAGCCCCGGATCTCGAGGTTCGTGTCGAGGCCGCTGATGAAGCGGTTCAGCGTCTCGAGGCCCTTGGGGGAGCGGTTCGGGTCGAAGAACGACGTCGAATTGACGTCGTTGCGGCCGATCTTGAGGTTCAGGTTGGGCAGCGTGGCATTGCCGAGCGCCACGCCGTCCTTGACGAGCTCAAAGGTGGCGTCACCCGTCGTGAGGTTGAGGTTCGAGGGGTTGATCGTCGTCAGCGCAACGCCGAGCGACACGGCGTCGGAGGTGCCGCCCGTCACGTCGACCGAATTGATGATCGTGGGGTACGTCAGCAGGCCATTGAGGCCGGCGAGACCAGTCGTGACGTCGAATGCGATGCCGTCGAGCAGCACGCGGCCGAGCGGCGTGTCGGTGATGGCCTTGGCCGAGCCCTTGGCGGCAAAGTTGGCCGACGACGAGTAGGTAAAGGCGTTCTGGAAGGCCACGAGCTGCTTCTGCGCCGCCTCGGTGCCGTTCGGCAGGAAGAGCTTCGACGGCGGCAGCGTGAGGTTGATCACACCGGCCGTCTGGCCGGCGTTGAGCACCTGAATGTCCGTCGACGAGTTGCCGTACGGGCCGTAGACGCTGCCGACGGGCGCACCCATGAACTCGATGTTGAGCTGAGTCGCGAGCGACAGGATGTTGAGCGAGAAGCCGAAGGGCAGGGCGAACGTGCCGACGAGCTCGTTCGAGAACAGCACGGGGTTGAAAGGCTCCTCTTGGTTGTACACGAGCGAGACGTAGTCGATCTGGATGCCCTTGATGGGGTTAATCGGATCGGGACTCTGGAAGGGAATCTGCGCCACGAGTGCACGAATGCCCTGGCTCAGCCACGAGATCGTCTCGCCGTTGGACTGGCGCGTCGAAAGACCACGCGCCTCGACGGGCGAGACCTCGCCGTTGATGTAGGCCGTGAAGAGCTCGCCGAGCAGGTCCAGCTCCGTCTGGTTGCCCGCGTGCGGGATCAGGCGGCCGGAGAGCGTCACGATGTTGACACCACTGTGTGCAGGGCGTGTCAGCAGAGCAGAGAGCGTGCCATGGCGCCAGCACTGACGTCGTGAGGTTGAGGCCGTCCGTGGACACCGGGCCAAGGTACATGCCCTTGTAGTACAAGGCCAGGTCCAGCGTGCCCACCTCGACGCTGAAGGCCGACGGGTTGACGAGCTGCGTGGTGGCAATCGTCGTGATGCCGCCCTGCGGGTCGTCACCCGGCAGCTGCAGTGCCTGTGGGTGCACCCTGGGTCAGCAGACGCTCCTCCCGCCACGGGCTGCGCCACCACGCACCAGGATCTTGATGTCGTGGAAGTTGTCGATGCCCTTGAAGACGACATTCTTGATGAAGCGGAACGGCTTGTACGTCGGCAGGAAGCTGAACGCCTCGGCGCGCACCTCCTCGCAGCGCAGCTGCCACGTAAACTCGGGCTGCGTGATGAGGTACTCGGAGAACTCGCCGAAGCCGGCCTCGTCGGTGACCTGGAACGTCGTCGCCTGGCGCACGAGCGCCGAGCCGGCGGCGGCGTTGATGCGCGCGAGCGTCATCTGGCCGAGGTGCAGCTCGCGCATGCCGCCCTCGGACGACGGCGGCGTGTTCCAGTAGATGTCGACGGGCTTGCGGAAGATGAGGCGGGCGGGGAAGATGCCCGTCTTCTTGACGCGGCCGTCGATGCTGAGCGGGAAGGACGTGTTGCCGACGTTGGTGATGTTGGCCTGGTAGACGTGCAGCTGCGCCGTGTGCAGCGCGTGGTTCGCCACGGCCCAGAGAACGGGCACGAGCGTAATGACGGCGGTGACGAGGATGATGGGCGGCGCGAGGAAGAGACAGCAGAAGCCGAGCTTCTTGGTGAAGTACTTCTTCTCGTACGGCGTGCCGCGGGCGGCGAGGTAGCCGAGCGGCGTGCCCGGCTGGTACATGGCCTGGCCGCTGCGCGCCGTCTCCTGGCTGCCGGTGCGGCCGCCGCGGCGGTTCACGAGCCCGCCGCGCGAGCCGAGCGACGCATTGTCGTCGGCCATGGCGCACTGGGCTGGGCGCCCGAGGGGTATGAAGGAGCGGTGCGAGGTGCGCCGGGTGGCGAGGGTGTCCGGAGAGGGTGAGGGTGCGAAAGAAACGGGCGGCGGCGAGCGCAGCCGGCGAAGTCGAAGCGAGCGGGAGAGAGAGTGCGCGCGGGGTCGCGCTGAAGGCAAGAGAGAGCGGCGCGCGGGGCGGCCTCTTGCGTGGCCTGCGTGCTGCTGCCGGAGGGGACCGAGACGGGGGGATGGGAGAGCGGAACGCGGAGGGAGCGGCGTGGGGAACAGGCGAAGAAGGCGTGCGAGAGCGCGGCGGGTGCAGCGAGGAGGCCGAGCGGCGCCAGGGCCGCAGAGGGGCCGGCCCTCTGACACTCGCACTCTGCGCGCCGCAAGCCGCAGCAACCAGCAGAGCCTGCGCTCTGGAGCCGCAGCTGCGATGCGCCGCGCCCGCCGCATCGCCGCATCGCCGCACGGCACCTGAGCAGGAGAGCTGCAGGCGCGGCAAAAGAAGGCGAGGCAGCAAGCGCAGGCGCGGGGGCCGAATGCGAGTGCGGGGCAGGCAGTTCAGCAGCGCAGACGGCGGTGCGGCCTGACGTGCGGGCGTGACGCCTGCGCTGCGCTCTCGGCGGCAGCAGATGCTGCAGCACGCACGCAGCAGAAGCACCGGCGGCAGTGCTGTCTGTTTGCGCTCAAGGTGCATTCAGCGCCCTTGCCCAGGCAGCACGCCGCGGCCGCAGGACAGCCGCCGCAGGCACCGGCGCCGTCCGGACGAACCCCTGCGCTGCCGTTCTGTCGCGGTGAGACCACTCGGTGCCGCCGCACTGGGCCAGTGTCGGAGCCGCGTGCACGCTGCCAGTCTCTTGGCCGCGCCGCATCAGCGTGCAGCGCAAGGCCGCCGAATGCGGTGCCGATGCCTCGCCGCTCCTCACGCGACGCGCCCTCTTGCGCTCGTCTGCCCCGGCGCCGGAGCATGAAATAGGCACCTGCGTAGCGCCGAGCCCGCCGAGGCCGCTCGCCTGGTGCCATGCGCCGCTGCTGCTCTTCTGCTGCCGCGCCCTCGAGTGGTAGCCGCAACGCCGCGTTCTGGCTCCGCCTGCGCTGCGGCCGCTCAGCGGGCGGCAGCGCGCCTCGATGCGGCCGAGCGCTGCTGGGCTGCGCTGCTGGTGGATGACAGCGCGCGTGTCAGCGCTTGCCGTTTGCAGCCGCGGCGGCAGTGCCTGAGGCAGAGCGCGAGGCCGAGCGGGGATGCGGATGCGGGGCATCGGGTCCGTCGCCGCGCGCGCGGACGGCGGGCGCACACACCATGCAGCGATCGCCGTGCAGCGGGCCTGCGCCGTTTTCTAGACCGCCCGCACTCCGCCGTCCGCCGTCTCTTGAGCGCCCTGCTGAAAGCCGGCGGCGGCCGTCGATGGCGTTGGGCCGGGCGCCGACGAGGGCTGGAGCGCGCTGCAAACAAAGCAGAGCGCGCGCGAGCAGCAGAGGACACGTCGCCGCTCCCACAGGCCAATAGGGTGCGACACACGCCCGCCTCGGAGGCCGCCGCTTGTCCCTGCAAACGAGCGTCGGGCCTCGCAGTGCCGGTGCTGCAGTGGTCCGAGAGAGGAAGTAACGACAAGCACAGTGCGCATGCCACCTGCAGCCTACGCGGCCGCCAAAGCTCGCACCGGCGCTTGGGAGGGCCGGGATGTGGGGAAGCGAGGGGCGTGCGGGCGCGCAGCGAGCCCGGGCGAAGCACCTGCCGGAGGCAGCGCCGAGGCGCGGCGGCGGCGGCGGCAGCAGACGGGAGGGTGACGAGCACGGCCCAGCGCGGGAGCCTGTGCAGATCCCCAATTCATAAATCGACATGAGTGCAAGAGGCCGATTTCTAAACGCTTGTTCCGGCGTGTCGCGCGCGCGCGGTGCCGAGCCCAGCATGCAGACGGTGCGGCACCGCGCCAGCACCTCATGCGAGCATTGCGCCATGGCGGCCACACCGAGCAGGCTGACGCGGCACCTGACGTGCTGCTGCTCCGTCTCACCTTGACTCTGCAGCGACAGGGCGAAGCGGCAGGGCTCACGGCCCTGGGAAGGCAGCGACGGCGTAGTCTCATCCCCAGAGTCCGCTAATGCACGGCGGCAGCTGCTGAAAGCAAGCGCATGTCGGACGTCTGCAGCGCTGCAGACGATGCAGCGCTGCAGCTGAGCTGCTCTCTGAGCGCTGACTTTGAGCTGCGTGTCGCCGCTGCAGCGGGTCGCACTTTTGGGCGCAGCACGTCCCCGAGCCGCGCGGCCAAGCCCCGAGCGAGAGCCGTAGCGCGGGGGCTGCCGCCGACGGATCACATGCTGCGACGATCAGCCCGAGGCCGAGGGCTCGTGCAGCACCCACGGCACAGCAGCAGCGCATCGCCCACCCTCTGCCACGCTGTACCCCGCATTCCCCGCATCAGAGGATCGACAGACTCCCGCAAATTCATGCCTCTCTGCTCCAGCTCAAGCCTTTCCCATTCCTAGCCCTCGCGGGGCCCACAGACACTGCGCAGATAGTCGAGCAGCTTGCGCTGCTCCTGTCCACCAACGCCCGGCAGCTCCTCGGGCACGACGCCGTCGACGTTCTGCCGCTCGCGGTCCGCGCCGCACTCGTCGATGAGCAGCACAGCCGTCGAGCCGTGTCCCGAGTCTGCGCATCGAGACAAGGTCAGCCAGTGGCAGCCTCATCACGCGAGCCCCACTGACCGAGCGCCAGATGCAACGGCGTGTTGCCGAGCCGATCTGCAGGGCTGCGATCGGGCGGAGAGGTCAGGAGGCTGTCCGGACGGACGCATTTCTAGCTCGCCACGACGCGCTGCTCACTTGACTCGTGTCTTCTCGTGCTTGCCCTCGACCTTGAGCGCTGGCGGGCTGTACAGCATGCGGACGAAGGCATCCTTGCCGTTTGAGGCTGCGCGGTGGCTGCAGAGCGTGTCAGCGCAGAGCAGACCGGCATGTACACATGCCGGAGAAGCAGAAGATCCTGCAGCGCTCTACGGGCGCAGGTAGCGAAGTCATGCGCAGCTGAAGCCGCAGCGAAGCCGTGCATCTCTCCGTACCTTGCGAAGCAGAGCTGTGCAAGACTCGTGTCCGACAGCAGAGCGCCCTGCACCTCTCGAAGCCACGCGAAGGCTGCCACCGCACCCAGCGCACGGACCCAGCGTCTCACATCTGCTCGTCCACTTCGGGCACTCACATAGCACACTGCTTCGCCCCATCTCTCGCGTTCACCTCGGCGCCGTGCTCGAGCAGCAGGCGCCCGACGTCGGTGTGGCCCTTGCTTGCGGCGTAGTGCAGCGGCGTGAGGCCCTTTGGCGTCAAGACGCGCGGCGAGGCGCCGCGGTACAGCAGCTCTGCGACGTTCTCGTCACGTCCTGCCGAGGCGGCGATGTGGAGAGGTGTCCAGCTGTGAAGAGGTGTCAGATCGCAGTGAAGATGTATGGTGCTCAGTTGCAGTCAGACGAGTGGCGGAGCCGGCTGCTGCGGCCTCGACATCATCGGCCGCCGGCACCGTCCGGGCGCAAGCCATACCAGCGCGGCGCATCGTCTCGGCTAGTGACTCAGCTGTGCCAGCGCTGTCTGCTCGTGAAGGCGGCAGCTGCGTGCAGGAGAGCGAGCGCACGCCGCAGCTCCGTCCTGCACCTCCTCGCAACGTGCCACTTCGTTTGCCCACTCACCCACTGGCATCCGTCTGCGCCACATCCGCGCCGGCATCGCAGAGCGCGCGCACCACATCGCGATTGCAGAAGCTGGCAGCCCAGTGCAGCGGTGTGCGTCCATCGTCGTCGAGGTGCGTGGCGGCGGCGCGGCGTGCATCACCATCGAGCGAGCCCAGCTGGCGCAGCACGAGGTTCGAGTTGCCGTCCATGCAGATGCGCCCGAGCGGCGCGTCGGCGGCGGAAGAGGATGCGGCCATGGCTTCTGAGGATTGTGAGGGGCAACGAGCGGTGCTGGGAGATGTGGCTGGAGAGGTGGAGGCGCTGTGCGGCGTGCTGGAGGCACAGCGCTCAGGTGTCGAGAGCAGAAGGCCGCGCGTCGTCCGGCGCTGTCCCGAGTCCCGCGCACCCGCGCCTCCACGGTGCTCTGGCCGCCGCTGCCGCTCGCTCCCGCGCCGATCAGCCGCCAACGTGCGGCCGCGACCGGCGCAGCAAGAGAGCGCATCCCGGCCGCATCTGCCTTGCTCAGGGCTCTTAGAGCGTTGCTGAACAGCAAGCGTCGGAGCGTCGTGCGATGCCGCCGTTCTCGCGCCGCCTGGCGTGAGCGAGGACCGCCGAGGTGCGGCTTAATGGCGCATAAAGTGCTCACACGCGCTTCATTAAGCCGCATGTGGCGCCTGCGCCGATACGGCGGCCTATCGGCGCTGCTGCTTCTCTCTCCACCTCCATCCACCATGACGGTCTCGCCGCCGTCGCACCCGCGCAGCGCAGCCGGCGGCAGCGGCGTCCTGTCGTCGGCTTCTGCTCATAGCAGCGGCACGGCGCCGTGCGGCGGCACGACGCTGGCGCAGCGCTTCCGGCGCGCCGTCATCGAGAGCGACCTCAGCCGCGCCCGGCGGCTGGCGGCGCGGGCGCTCGAGATCGCACCGGGCCCGCGCCGCCTCGTGTGCGAGCCGAGCGGCATGGAGGATGCGGCGCACGGCGATGTGTTTGGCAGCAGCGATGTCTTCGGCAGCAGTTCGCGCAGCAGCACCCTCGCCGCGCCCGTCGGCGACCTCTCGGCGTCGCGCGGCAGCATCGCCACGCTCCTCGGGCCGCGCCCCGACGACGGCGCCAGCGCCACCTTCGCCGCGCGCTCGCCGCACTCGCCGCCGCGTCGCTACGCACGCCGGCTGCTCGTGGCGCATCCGGCCAGCTCTCTGTCGCCCGAGGCGCGCGCCGTGGCAGCCCAACGCCGGGCACTGGCGCAGAGCGGCACGCTGCACTTTGACATCCGCAACCTCGACACCTGCCTGCTGCTGGCGCCGGCTGCGACGGGACGCGCGCCGGCGGCCGCCGCAGAGGCGCCACATCTGGATGGCACGCGCAGCAGCCTGCATCATGCAATTGTGCACGACGGCAGTCGAGAGATGGTCGAGTGGTTGCTGGCGTGTGGACATGAGAGGCCGGACTTTAGCACCGTGAGTGGCAGGCCGGATGGAGGGGCGATGGGTGGGGCAGTCACCGAACGAGCAAGCGATGCACGGAGCAGTACAGACAGCATCAGGCAGTCGAGAGGCCACTGCTGGCGCCCTGTCGCCCCTGCGCCGCCAGCCGAGCTCAGCTCACAACGCGCCCAGGACGCGCGCAACGCGACAATGGTCCAGCTCGCCTCCTCGCAGAATCGTCCGGATCTGATCGAGGCGATCTGTCTATCGCTCATGGCGCATCTCGCCGACGAGCATGCGCGGGGACAGTACGTCTTCCCGCCTGTGCCACCGCGGCGCAGCGCCAGCACGGACGAGGAGGACGAAGAGGAGGACGTGGACGCCGACGAGCCCATTCCGGCGCCGCTGAGGGAACTGCTGGACTGGCAGGACGACGAGGGGCGTACGGCGCTGCAGGTCGCCAGCGTGCGCGGCTTTGAGGAGTGCGCAAGGGTGAGTGCAGCGGCGCCGAGCAACGCACGCGTGCTGACACCGCGACAGCTCCTGCTCGACCTCGGTGCAGATCCTGACTTATGCGACGTCGACGGCAACACGCCGCTGCACCAGTGAGTGCCGGTCGGGCACAGGTGCCTCGCCCAGTATTGCTGACCATTTGCCGCAGCGCCGCGTCGTGGGGACAGCTCATCGTCGTCCAGGTGAGCCCGCTCGCACTGCCCGCCCTGTCTTCGCGCTGACCCTCAGCAGCTGCTCATCGAGCGCGGCTGTCAGTTCGCCGCCAAGAACACCGACGGCTTCACAGCCGCCGACTATGCCTATTCCGAGAGGTGCGCCCCTGCCGTTGCTGCCACTGTGGCACGCTCGCGCTCACGCCCGCACGCAGCTGCAAAGAAGCGCTGGAAGCCTTCGGCCGCGCACAGTGGGAGGGCCGCCGCATGGCGCGCAAGCGCGGCAACGGCTCCGCCAGCGGCCTCATCTTTCCCGGCATGCACGACGAGGCGCCACCCCGTACGTCGGGCGTCGGCTCGGCCGTGCCCATGCTCTATGCTGGGCTCGATGACGATGCCGCCGACGGCGCAGGCGGCGATTGGTCGCCGGCCAAGGTGCGTTGCCGATGCGATGCGGCGACGGCGCGGGTTTGTGCTGATGATGCTCTCGTGCAGAGCTTTGCGCCGCCAAGCCAGGGCATCATCTCGCCGCGCCTGCGCAGCGCTCGCTCTTCATGACGCCTCGCCGCACAGCTTCCTACCTCCTCTACCTTTTGCTTCCATCTTCCTGCTCCATATTCCCGCGCTCTAGACTTCACGCTATACCCTGCTCCCCGCTCTGCTCGAGTCAAATGCGTATCCCTTGCTTCCACGCTTGCATTGGCTTCGCGCGCTCGTCACGCGCCGTTCTGCGCGCTCTGCTTTACATACTCCTCGTTGCTCCGCCACGCCGCCTCGTCCACCGCCGGCTTGTTGGGGCGCTCGCCCGCGCCCCAGCCGCCCCACGGGGCATCGGCGGCGTAGCGCGGCGGCGCCCATCCTGCGGCGGCGCGCGCTGCGAGGGAGAAGTCGGGCGCCGCAGCTGTGGGCGTCGCCGTGCCGTCCTTCGGCGTTTGCATGCCCGTCTTGGGCGTCTCGGTGCCGCTGACGTGTGTCTCCTCTTGCGTCGCAGGTGCGAAGCGCGCCAGGGCCGCCGCGTACGCGTCATCTAGACCTTCGCGGACGATGCAGCGAGAAGGTCCCAGCCAGCGCTCGACACGCGCGACATCCTTGGCGTCGAGCATCGTGCGCGCCTGTGCGGGCGTATGCGTGCCCGCTGCGATGGCAGCGAGACACTCGCTTTCGTCGTCAAGCACACTGACGTCGCCTGTGCCGTGCAGCGACAGCACGGCCCAGCCAATCAGCATCATGCCCGGCGGGCGCTGCTCGCCGGAGCGCTCAAGCGCATCGACGATCTCGGCGAGTGTCGAGGCGACCAGTCGCTGATCGGACGACGAGGCGCGCTCCACGATAGCGATGGGCGTGTGGGGCGGGAAGGCGGCGCCTGTACGACCACTCGTTGCTGTGCCGCACGTGAGCGCAGAGGAAGTCTCTGCACCGGCGGCCCATCCCTCGGTGAGCGTAGCGACGACGTCTCGCAGCCGAGCGACGCCCATCAGAATGACGGTGCTGCGCGCGCGCTCGTAGCCCGGCAGCTTGACGAGCTTGCCGCCGCGCCCGACGCCCGTGCAGAGCGTCAGCGAGTCGGCGGCGCCGCGCTGCGTCACTGGCAGGCCGAGCAGGAGCGGCGCCGCCAGCGAAGAGCTGATGCCGGGCACCACCGTGCACTCGATGCCTGCCGCGCGGAACGCCAGAACCTCCTCGCCGCCACGCCCATACACGAATGGGTCGCCCTGCTTGAGGCGCACGACCGTCTTTCCCTCCTCGCGCGCAGCCTTGAGCGCCAGCGCGATGAGCTCCGATTGTGCGCCCTCCGCATTGCCGGGGAATTTGCGCGCAATGATGAGCGGCGTCGTAGGCGGGATAAGCCGCAGAATGGGCGCGGGCACGAGCTTGTCGGAGAGGATGAGATGCGTGTCGGGCGAGGTGAGGAGCGTGTGTGCCAACAGCGTGAGCAGACCGGGATGCCCGGGCCCGGAGCCGAGCAGGTAGATGTGTCCTGCGCCCGCGGCACGCTCGGGCGAGGGAGGCATGAGCGCCAGCGAATGCTGCGACGTGTCGCGCTTGAGGCCCGGTCCACGCGCCGACAGCCGTCCGCGAGGCGAGTCGGCGCTGGCTGGCAGGGCAGCAGGCGGCGCCGGCTCGACGCGCTGGCCCTCGTCGTACGTGTCGAGCATCTGGCTCATCTGCTCCTCGCGCAGACTGCCGAGATGCTCAATGGGCCAGTATTCGCTCATCTGCGCGACCCAGCGCATGCGCCGCTTGTTCCGCTCCGCCTCCTCCTCGGCGTCGAGGTCTGCATCGTCGACGGCCAGCGCCTCGGCGCCGAAGAAGGAGCTCGAGGTGCGAGAGCGTAGTTGAGGGACCGGACTGTTGAGCGGCTGCGAGTCCAAAGCGCCGTCCTCCTCGTCGCGCTCGGCGACGCTGCGGCGCTGCGTGCGGCTGCGGCTGCGGCTGCGGCTGCGCGCCACGCTCATCGACGCCCGCCTGCGGTCGCCACGCTTGGCCAGCTCGCGCATGCGCCCCACACGCTCGACGGCATCGCCGACGTTGCGCGGCAGAGCGGCGACGATCTCGCGGCGGATGCGGCCTGCCAAGCGACAGCCGCGGCCGTTCGTCGTGACCGCGACCTGCAGACTCGACGGCGGCGCACCCGGCGCGGCAGAGGCAAAGCGATGCGTGGCGGGAAAGCTAAAGTCGCACAGTGCCGGCTGGTCGGCGACGTTGATGGGGATGCGCCGCGTGCGGCAGAGACGTGCCAGCAGCTGGGCGCGCGCCATGCTGCGCTGCGCCGGCGTCGGCGCCGAGCTCGAGGCGGCGGGCACGAGCGCGGCGTCGCCCAGGTGCAGCGTGTCGGTGACGCAGACGGCCAGCAGCGCTGGTGCGGAGATGTGTGTGCCGACAGTGGCGCTGCTGCTGCTGCTGGCCGAGCTGTCCCGCCTTGCCGCAGTGCTGCTGCTGGCGGTGCTCTCCCGTGCCTCACCGCTTTCCTCGCGGTCGAGCTCGTCGAGCAGTGCCGCCCACGCCGCCTCTCCATCCTCCGCCGGCGCATCGCGCCACGCCACCTCGCCCTGCGTCACTCTCCACCTGATCTCGTCGCACGCGCCCGCCTGCCCGCGCGCATCGAGGCCGACGACGACGGGCTGTGCGCCAGCCTCGAGGGCGGCAAAGGCGCGCGACGCGGCCAGGCGGCCCGCGCCGAGGATGAGCACGCGGCGCCCGACGGGGCGGAAGGAGAGGAGCAGCGAGGCGGTGGCGTGGGCCGGGGCGAAGGGCGGCGCGGCCATGGTGCGTGATGATGGTGGGAAGGCGGGGTGGGAGTGCGGCGCGAACGCGCGCCTCCTCTCCGGCGCCGCACCGCCGCGCGCTTATCAATCGCGCGCCTCTCGCTGCACCCTGTGCACGCCTCGCTGGCAAAAGAGAATGCTGTCTGCCCAAGCATATGTAAGAGTGGACACTGCCGTCCTCGATCAGGCGACTGCAGCGTGAGTAACGGGCATCTCGGCTCTTCCTGCGCCTCCGTTTGTGCCGCGCAGTGGGGGCGTGCCCGCGCAGGCCCAGATATGGCCAGGGTGCGCTTCGCGAGCACACAACGAGGGTCACGTGTGGCGAGGATGACGGGCATGCCGTGGGATGGCCAGGCCGTGCTTCGCAAGGGCTGCGACGACTGCGCAGGCGAGCTCGTGGCCGCCCTCTTCCTGCATCTGCAGCGAGCTCGAGGGTCTTGCACATGGCGTCGGCCGAGGAGCAGGCGCGAAGAAGCTCTCCTCTCGCACGGCTGCGGCTGGGAAGGGTTAGGAAGGCGCAAGGGTGCGCCTGGCTCTCACGCGCGTCTGGCCGCGGACAGCCACAGCGCAGAGGGGGAGCGAGAAACGCCGGGCGGGCGAGCGATCACAAGCAGCGTCGAGGCGCTGCGCCCGTGCCTGAGGAGGTGTTGCTCTCAGCGGCCTCGCTTTCGCTCGCGGTGACGCGCTCACGCCAGTACTGTAAGAGTGCAGGCAGGCGGCGAGTGTGCCGCGAGAGAGGGCACGGGCCGTGACGCGCCGCTCCACCCGGCCCGAAACTCTTGCGCCTCTCAGCCGCTTGGCGTTTCTGCACACCCTTTCCACCCAGCACTACCACCACCTCGTCCATACCTTCGCCATGGACGCCTCCGACTCCGTCGAGCGCACGCGCCTCAACGTGCTTGGTGCGTGCTGCTGCTGGTGCTGGCAGTCGCTTGGAGACGCGCCATGCCTCCACACCGCCCGCCGCGCACACTCCGCTGTGCCGTGCTCACACGCCGTCTTCCCTCAGAGCTCGCGCGCAACCTCTACTCGCACGACGCCGAGCTGCTCGCGGGCGCCGTCGACAAGGCCTTTGCCTCCAACGCCACGTATGCCGGACACGGCCTCAAGGTGCGTGCCGCCTCGGCTGCCCTGCAGGACGCCGTGCTGATGCGTCTCCTGCCCGCGCAGATCTCAGGCGCAAGCCGCATCAAGCACGCGGCGGCACTCAACAATGCCATCGACGTCGGCTCGGCGCCCGAGCTGAGCGCCGAGGATGTCGAGTGGGACGAGAGGTGCGTTGAAGGACGGGCGATGGGGTCGAGAGGGGCGGGGCGTGTTCAGAGCGCATCGCTCCACTCTCTCGGCGCCACGCCCTCAGCGCTCTCGCACCGCACCATGCTCACCCTCGCCTGCAGCTCCAAGACAGCCACGCTCTCGACGGTGCGCTACGTGTCGCCGCGCGGCATGCCGCTCTTCTCCTTTGCCATTCCCGTGCGCACCGTGCTGCACTTTGGCGGCCCGAGCAAGTCGCTGCAGGTCACGCACATCGCCGAGGAGTGGCCGCTCGATGCGTTCCTGCAGCGCACGCCCGTCGTTGGCACGCTGTGAGTTTGCTTGCTGCTGCGCATGGCGGCATGTCACTGACACTCGCCACAGCGAACGCACGATTTTCACGCCGCTCGCCACGCTCGCCTTCGTGCAGCTGGCGGGCATCTACCACGCGCTCTCCTCGCACCTCTCCTCGACGTCGCGCAAGCTCGTCGAGCCCACGGCCGCGGCGGCAAAGGTGCGCGTGCCCGCCGGCGTCGAGCGCGGCTTTGTGCGCGGCACCGAGGTGGCGCAGGGCTGGGGCTCGGGCCTCGTCGAGCGTGCCGTCAACCTCAGCGAGGCACCGCTGCGTGCGCTTGAGCGCGCTGCGCAGACCAGCACCAGGTGAGCAGGCGCGGAAGGAGCCTTTGTGCTGCACATTCTGACCCCTCGCACTCGCAGCATCCTGAGCCGCGTCTCGCCCATCGAGCTGCCGACGCCCTTCATCTACCAGGCGCCGGAGCGCAAGCGTCCTGCGTCGTCGTCGCAGAGCAACGGCAAGAAGGAGGAGAAGTCTGAGTCGAAGGACGACGACGCCAAGAAGGCTGAGAAGCCGGAGCAGGACGAGTCGGCGGCCGCCGAGGAGCAGCCTGCCGCCGCCACGGTGCAGGTCTCGGCGACGGCCGAGGAGCCGGCCAAGGAGATCAGCATCCCGGCACGCGTCAACAACGAGGCGCCGCAGGCCGAGGCCACGACGCAGCTCGAGGAGCCCAAGGCTGCAGACGCACCCAAGGAGACGCTCTTTGACCGCATCGAGGTGCCCGACCTCACGACGGGCCACGCAGCGAGCCAGAAGCCGCAGGGCCACCTGCTCGCCGTGCCGACGAGCCCCAACGTCGGCGGCGGGCACAGCTCGGGCAGCGAGGAGGAGCACGAGCACGACGACGAGGAGCGCAAGACGGGCGGCGGCGGCGGCGCGGGCAAGAAGAGCCGCCGGAACAAGAAGAAGAAGAGCAAGAAGGACAAGGACGCCGCTGCGGCGCCTGCGGCCGCGCACGAGAAGCCGCCGACGTTCAAGGAGAGCCTGCAGTCGTAAGGAGCGCACTCGCTGCTTCTCGCACGTCGTCTTGCCCTCGGTCGTACGACATGCTCCCTCGTCTCTGTCGCGCGACCCACCTTGCTGCCTCGTTCCGCATCACATCCTGTCTCGCCCCATCGTCTCGTACCACCCAGCATGTCCCTCGCTCCCGCGTGTCACGACCCTCACGCGCACGACAAAAGCATAGTTGCATCTTGTCCTGTTGCCGTGACTTGTGTCGAGGTGTGTGGAGCGATGCGAATGCGCTCTCATGGTGTTCGCAGGTGTCGGCGGGGCCGGGAGAAGGTGCCGGAGCCGCGGCGTGACGTGGAGGTGCCGCCGCCGCTGATGCTGTGCCCCTGTGTCAGCGCCGCCGCGGCGCCGCGGCATGGCGCACAGCCGGAGCGCGGGCGGGCGCGGGCCATGCCTCTTCCCCGCGTTCCACCACCATCCTCCATCCTTCCACCCTCACACATGCAAGACACGCTCGGAGCGCTGCTCGCCGTCGGGCTCGTGTACGTCGTCGTGCGCTTTGCCTTTGGCAGCAGCAGCGGCAGCAGCAGCGCCGGCAGCGGCGGCGGCGGCGCCGGCGTGCCGGGCGGCGCCAGTGTCGCGCCCCAGGCGGGTGCGCAGAGAGGCGCGGCGCAGAGGAGAAACATGGCGGGCGTCAGTGATGAGATGGTGAGTGGGAGCGCACGGCGGTGCGAGAACAGTGCCAGACGGGGCAAGCGCGGCGGCGGCAGCAGCGCCAGCCTGGCTTCGCTCGCTCCCGCAGAGCGCCGCTGCCACAGCCATCTCGCAAGCCAGCCAACCCAACTGTTGTCCGGCAACTGACCGCGCTTGCCTTCAGGTTCAGGCCGTGACGTCGATGTTCCCGCACGTCTCGCCCGAGGCGATCCGCTACGACCTCGCACGCAGCGGCAGTGCCGAGGCCACGGCCGATCGCATCCTCAGCGAGGGCGCGCTGCCGAATGTGAGTTGCGCTGCTTGCCAGGCTTTGCGAGTGCAGGCGCTGATGTAAAACGCTCGCAGCCGCCAGCAGGTCTCTTTGGGCCTCCGCGTCCCGCACCTCCGCCGCCGCGAGCGCCCGAGTCAGCGTCTGCTGCCTCGTCCGCATCCGCACGCACCTCGCTCATCAAGTCCTTCAACCTCGAGGCGCGCCTCTCTGCGCCTGCGCCGTCTGAGGCGGCACCGGCGCCGGCGGCGGCAGAAAAGGGAAAGGAGAAGAGCAAGGCAAACTGGAGCGACGAGCGCGCGACGAGGGAGCGGGAGCTGAGGGCGCGAAAGGAGGAGATGATCCTTGCGGCTAGGAGGTGAGTGTCGCGTGATAGAGCATGCGGCGAGCGCGCGGACTGCCGCCACAACTCGCTCTTGCGCGGCCCCCTGAAGCTGACGCCCCCGCCCTCAGACGTCTGCAGGCCAAGCAGAGCGGCGCCTAGGCGTTCGGAGATGGCTCGCAAGCAGTGCGCTCGCTTGCAGCACTGCACATGTACGAACACGCTGCTTCGTGTAATCAGGATGCCCGTAACCATCAGTGAGCGCGTGTGTGGTGCCTGACAGCTCAGCCATGGCATGAGCGCTCTGGCAGCTCATGACAGGCGATCACGCCGACCTCGGGCAAGTCATCGCATTTCTCGCTCGTCTGCACAGCGACGCACGATCTACGCGGCTCGCCACGGCATAGTAAGGGTGCGTATCCAAAAGATGGGAAGTCGAGCTCGTATACGGTCCAAGTAGCGCGCCAAGTCGGCGGGTCGACGACCCTTGCTGGGTCGCTTGGGTCGCGGGCGGGGGCGAGGGAGTCATTTCGTCTCGTACATCTGCCAGTCGTACTTGATCTTGCTGCCCCACATGCTGCGCGGGGCGCACTGCGCCGCATGCTGCACGTCGACGAGGCTGCTGTCGCCGCTCGAGGCGTAGTGGAGCATGTTGAGGCGCGACGCACTGGTGACGCGCGACCACGTCGCGTAGCCGGCGGCGTTGGGCGAGCCGGTGCGCGCAAAGGCAGTAAGGCGGGATTGCATCTGCGTCGAGGCGGCCTGCTGTGCCGAGGTGGGAGAGGGCGTGGTGCCGAAGATGAGGTACTGCATGAGGCAGGTGAGTCAGTGTCGATTCGCAGCACGTGCAACTCGAGCACACCACGCACAATGTCGTCCTCGTGGCAGACGTGGCTGTCCGACTTGGTGCAGTAGTCATTGTCGGCGTTGGAGATGTAGCGCGCGCCGACGTCGTGCTGAGCCAGCCAGACGGGCGTGCCAGCGCTGGCGAGGGCACGGGCGTTGCGCTGGCTCGAGCATCGCCAGAGGCCGTCGGTGCCGCCAAGCTCGAACTGCGAGCGCGTCTCGTCCTCCGTGGTGCCGTTCGTAGCGTACGGCGCCAGGAGGGAGAGGGCATCTCCTCGACCGGCGTTGAAGATGAGACCGAGAGCGACGGAATAAGGCACCGGGTAGTTGCCTTGCCGCAGCGTGAGGATCGTGGAGCCGGCGTGGCTGGGAAGGAAGAGAGCGCCGGCGGTGGCGCCGGCCTCGTTGGCGACCGTCGAGATGAGCACCGCCTTGCTCGTCTTGCCGCCCGAGGTGATGCTGGAAGGGAAGTAGTCGCCGAGCATTGGGCGCCACGGCGTGCCGCCAGACACTGCCGGATTGGCCTGCGGCACGGTGCTGAACACCTCGGTGCTGGCCGCGAGGATCTCGCTCTTCGTCTTGCCGCGCGCACAGGCGATGTCGGTGCATCCGAGGAGCGCCATGGCGCCGCCGCCGAGCGCATTGTGGTCCGTCTGCGTCGCCATGCCGTAGTAGGCCGTGTCGGAGACGAGCACGGCGCGTTGGAAGAGCGGCTGTGCCGCCGGCAGCGTCAGCAGCGCACGCACCATCTGTGCGCCGCTGCTCTGGCCCATGACGGTGACGCTGCCCGCGTCGCCGCCAAACGAAGCGGCGAGCGCACGCAGCTGCGTCAGAGCAGCGACGACGTCGCGCAGCGCCATGTTGCCCGCCACCTTGTCGCCGCCCGGAGCGCCGCCGGCGGCCTCGTCGAGCGTGGTGTTGGACTGCAGCCAGCCGAAGAGACCGAGACGATACTGCAGCACCACGACGATGACGTTGTTGCGGCTCGCGAAGCCCGACGCATCAAGACCGGACGCCGTGCTGGAACCTGCGACGCCCGAGCCGCCGTGCACCCAGACCTGGACAGGGATTAGCGGTGGCGATGACGCTTAGCTTGAGATGGACATACCAGGATCGGAAGCTTGGCGCCCGAGCTGACCGTCGCCGGGCGGTAGAGCTGGCTGTAGAGGCAGTCCTCCGACGGCTCCTGCACACCGCGCGGGTCGTCGTCGTACTCTGCGAGGAGGCGTGAGCCGCAATGCAAGGGCTAGGCGTCGTTCTGCTCACGGTAGCATCCGGCGGGCTTGAAGGTGCCGTCGTACGTGCCGCTCGCAGCGAACGCCGTGATGGGCTGCGGGTTCGCGAAGCGCAGTGCATCGACCGGCGGCTGGGCGAAAGGAATGGTGAAGCGCTGAGCGCCGTCGGCCGCGGCGCCGGCAATGTCGCCGAGCGGCGTCGAGACCGTGAGGGGCGCATCGCGGTGGAGAACCGGACCGGCGTGCGCAAGGAGCGCGGTGAGGAGAAGGAGAAAGGGAGGGAGGAACATGATTAGGAGTGGCTGGGAGGGTGAGATTAGAGCGACGGGCGGGAGGAGCGGCGTATTATAGCGAGCGGGAATCTTGACGAGGCGTGCCGGGCTCGGCGTGGCAGCGACTAGGGTCGCAGACAGGCTTGAGAGAGGCAGGGTTCGGCGAACGGCCCGAGCGCAGCTCAGAGACGAGGGCTTGATGGATGCTCGGCGCTGAAGTAGCGTCGCAGCGAAGGCGTTGACACGCCCGGGGATCCGAGGGTGCAGCGAGGAAACGGGCAAATCACGCGCAGCGTGGGAGAGAGCAGAGCTGGCTGGCAGCGTGGAAAGTATGTGGAGCGGACGAGCTACGATGGCTCGGGCGTGTGTCCGGGAAGGTAGCGAAACGACGAGATGAGAGAGCGATGTGGGAGAGGGCTGCGAGGTGAGGCCGACGCGGTGCTTTTGACTGCGAGAGGCATGCCTTGTCCCCGAGCGGCCGCTCGACGCTGCCATAGGCTGCTGTCCCGCTCACTCAGACGTCAGAGGGACTTAGGAACGGAGCCGGTCCGCTCAGGAGCGTATGCCGAGGTGCCTTGTTTGCGACAGAGGAGTGCGCCGCGCGCGTCTAGGGGCGGCGCGAGCGCCACCGCTGCTGGGCGCTTCTCCTCCGAGCGCCGGCGGGTCTCTCGTCGAGCTCAGCTGCCAGGTCACAGCCTTGTCCACAAGCTCGAGATCGGCATCATGCGCAGGGCTCCAGAGCCGCAGCAGCGCAGTGGCTGCAGGCTGCAGTGCGGGTGTCCCCGCCCGGCTGAGGAGGCGCTCGGGCCTCGCAGCGCAGCACGCCAGCACAGCGGCGCCGCTCACGGCAAACTGCCGCCGCTGCGCCTGTCGGCTGCCGGCACCGAGCTGCAGCCACCCGCTGTACGCCTTGCCTTGTCCTCTCTTGTCTCTCCCTATGCGCTCAGGGGGTGGCGCTGCTGCAGGCGCGCGGCACGGCTCGGCACGCAGCACAAGGGAAACGGCGCGGGTGCGAGGACAAGGGAACGACGCGCCGTCCGGAGGCCTCCGCGGCGGATGTGGTCAGCGTTCGGCAGACCGGACCCTTCCTGCGTCACACGGCCCGAGCGTCAGACAAGCGCACCGTTCGAGAGCCGACACATCCGAAGGGCGTCGCATGGCAGCAAACCTTCCGCAGGCCAGGCGGGTGCAGGCGAAGGTGCGGCCTCGGCGCCGGCACCACGCGCAGCACCCACACAACCGCGGCCGCACGGACATCGGAGGCGGCGGATCACCGCGCCAAGCGAGGGTATCGTGCTCCATTGCAGTGGGTTGGCAGTAGCCAGACGTGTATAAGTGAGAAGCGAGTCCAGTGTGCGAAGCGGAGGTTAGGCAAAGAAACCCTGACGGTCCTCCTTGCGCGCGCGCGACATGTGCGCCAGTGCGAGGTAGAGCTTAAAGAGGCGCGCTGCCTCTTCGTCCTGCGCGAACGGATAGCTGGCGCCCAGCTGGTACACGGCCGCGAAGCCCGAGACGACGGCTGACTCGTGCATGTTGACGAGTGTCCATCCGCCGGCGTAGCTGAAGAGACGCGTGAGACGAGGGACAAGGGTGGGCGGAGAAGAACGGCAGAACATACCGCGTGTGCTGCGTGCCGTTGATGGCCCACATGAGCGCCACCGTGCCGACGAGGTGCTGCCAGCGGTGCGACTGCTGCTTCCACCACTTCTCCATCAGAATCTGCGGGGCAAAGGCGTGAGCTTGGCACATGGCATGCCGCGGGAGTGGCGCTTACCTTCTCCTTGTCGATCTCGTCGCGGCTCCACCGGTGGCTGAAGCCGTCCCGGTCGAGGAAGATGGTCTGGTAGATGCGCGGCTGCTCGCCCTCTTTGATGTCCTTGAGCGGATGCTCCTTGGTCTTCCACTCATCCTTGCCCACGCGCTCCGTCGGCGGCGCATTCTCGAGCGTGCGGCGCGCTCCCTTGCCGACGGCCGGGTCGCCGTAGAATTGCGGCTGGTACGTCGTCAGGTCAAAGGACATGGTGATGGAGCCCGGGTCCTTCTCGTCCTCCTCGATGAGGTAGAGCGGCTGTGGACAACGGTGTCAGCAGGAGACGAGACTTGTGCATTGCACGGCAGACGAGGCTCGAGCATCGCACGCCACACTCACCGCCCAGTTCTCCTTGGCCCACTTGAACGACTCCTGCGTCTCCTTGTCCTTGCGGTCGGCGTTCCAGCGGTCCGTGTGGTCGAGCTCGTAGTGCTTCTGCATGTATGGCTTGTCGTGGTGCTGCGCAGGGACCATCAGCACCGGGCCATCGGGACAAGCCACGTGCTGCTCACCGTGACGCTGATGTCCCAGAAGTACTTGACGTTGCCGAGGATCTTGTTCTCCTTCCAGCTCGGGCCGGAGCCAGCCTTGAGGATCTTGAGCGCCGAGTCGGCGTCACAGCACAGCACGAGCTCATCGAACGACTCCTCCTCCTCCTGCTCGCCCGTCGGCTTGCCCTCCTCGTCGGTGGCGCACGAGCGGATCACGACGTTGGCGCCGCCCGCCTTGCGTGCAGCAGCACCACGCAGCACGGCAGTGACGGCGCGCGAGGTGCGCACCTTGACGTTGCCCGCCTCCTCGACGAGAGTGCGGAAGGCGCCGTACAGCCGTCCGAGCTCGGGGAACGCCAGCATGGTGGGCAGACTGGCGAGGAAGCTGTCGGGCGAGTAGTCGAAGATGCGCATGCTGGGGTCGAGGAAGACACGCGCCAGGATGGCACTCGAGATGTGCCGCGTCTCGTTGCCCGTGCCGAAGAAGAGGGCGACGAGCGGGAAGACGATGCGCTCGCCGAACGCCGGCGGGTAGCGGAAGAGCGGCAGCAGCTTGGACACGGGCACGAGGGCGAAGATGGGCTCGAAGCGCTTGATCGTCGACAGGGTGCCGCCGAACTGAGGGGGTAGGCGTCTCAGTGACGCTGCGAACACTGGCACAAGCGCCACACCCGCCGGCGCCATCTCTGCTCCGCCACACCGCCACGCGGCCACTCACACGCTTGATGTTGTCCTTGTGCTCCTCGATGAGCTGTGTGGGGAAGATGTTGGTCCAGAAGTTCTCGCCCTTGCCGAAGCTGATCTGCATTTCGATTTCCTTGCTCTGGAAGCCGAGCACGTCGTGGAAGAGGTTGAAGGTGTTGCGGAACGTCTCGGGCGCGCCCTGCACGCCCTCATTGAGGTACTCGGCGCCGAAGCCGGGCGGGAGCGCGTGCGACGTGGCCGAGCCGCCGACCTGGGGCGCGCCGTCGTACACGGTGCCCTCGAAGGCGTCGGGCGAGAGGGAGAGGGCGTAGGCGGCCGAGAGGCCGGCACACCCGGCGCCGACGATGGCGACGCGCTTCTGCTGTTGCGCGGGCATGGTGAGTGTGGTGAGGGTGAGGGGTGTGGTGGTGTGAGGCCAGGGTCCGGCAGGGTGCGAGCCTTCATGTCATGTCATGTCAGGCGAGGCGAGGCAGCGGCCGCGTTGGGTAAGAGGTGGAGGTGCGGCGCCTGAGTCAGCCCAGCGACTTTCCAGGCGCGGCCGGGACTCGGGCGAGCGCGGCGAGTCTGCAGTCCGCCTCACTCTCGCTGCTTGTCCCTCGACCACCAGCTCCTCCGCCCGCCATGTCCGCAGCACAGACCGACGACAACATCTCCTCCATCGCGCCCGGCTCCTCGACGGCCGCGCCGCCGCCCGGCGCGGCAGGTGCGCCGTCGGCGCTCGACTCGCTGCGCACCTTCTCGCCGCGCGCTGAGGCTGCGCGTCTGAGCGCCGGACGCATGCCATGTGCGCGCAAGAGCCTGCTCTTTGGCATCGGCACGGGCTTGGGCGTGACGGCCGTCGGCGCTATCGCCGGACGAGGTGAGTGCATCGGGTGATGAGGGAAAGGACCTGCACACAGCACGAGGCCGTAGCGGGGCTCCTCGGCGTCCGCGGGCATCAGCTGCGCATCGAAGAGCGTTGTCTGTGCAAGCGGGCTCGGGCAGAGCTCGGACCTTCTGGCTGGGGCGGTGCCTGGGAGCAGGGTGCGAGTACGAAGCTTTGAGAGCTGACGGCCTCTCGTGATGCAGGACTGCGGCCAGCAGCGAATTGGGGCGTAGGTGCCTTCGTGCTGATCAGTCTGACGAGCTGGTGAGTGCGGCCCTGGCGCGCAAGCCAGCCAGTGCTGACGACCGACCTGTGCCGCGCGAAGGGAGTCATGTAGGAGATCGCTGGCAGCCGAAGCCGAGCGGGTGCGCATCATGATCGACAACCACTCTTCGCGGCGGCGTCCGCGCTCGGCGCAGGATGAGGGTCCCGCGACTGCAGCGGGGCCTGGGCAATGAGAGTCATGCAAACGGCACACGGCATCGGCAGAGTGGCCTGTCCGGCGCGCCTCGGCACACAAGAGAGTTGGAAGAGCTCAGTAGAGCGGCATGTTTGCATCCATCGCGCTCCATGCCCTCAGGCCGCCGCGCAGGTCCTGTATCCGCAGCGCATCTCGCCCTTGCTTGGCAGCTTCCTGCTGCAGCAGCGCCGCCGCCGTCACCGAGTCGTTGCCGCGGCGGCACACGAGATAGACGTCTTGCGCTTCTGCGCCCGCAAGCTCATCGAGCTTGGCTAGCGCATCGCTCGGATTGCGCCGGAGTGTCGTGAAAGGCAGGTCTGAGGTGAAGTCAGACGCATGCAAGCTGAGAAGTGTGGGCTGCACTGACTGTGAGAGCCGGAGAGATGGGCGATGCCGAACTCGACCTCGGGACGCACGTCAACGAGCACGGCGTGAGGATCCCTTGCGATCGTGTCTCTCAGCGCCTGCCAGGACAGTCAGCAGACGGCAGGACCGGCAGCGGCACTTTTCTCACCTGTGCGCTGAGCCGCTCGATGCCTGCATTCCGCGGAGCCCTTGGAGTAAGGCGGCAGAAGCTCACGTAGTCCTCGGACTCCAGCGAGGTGATGACGCTCGGCCCGCCCGCTGCCTCGCCATCGCCACACGATCGACAGGTTGCCGCGCGTCGTGGCCGCAGCTTGACGCTGCGGTACGGCGGGAATGCCAGCGGGTTGACCATCGTCATGGCCGTAGGTGTGACTGCAGGCGGATCAGCGTGAGAAGACTCATGCGCTGGACGCAGCACGTACCGTCGCCGACGCCAGCCAGTAGCCGCACAGTCTCCAGCGCCTGCATCGTCCCCACAAGCCCAGTGATGGCGCCAAGCACGCCGCCATCTGAGCAGTCCGTGACGTCCTCAGGCGCTGGAGCGACGGGAAAGAGACAGCGATAGCATGGTCCTCGCTCCTGGCTCTTCTGTTTGCCCTCGCGAGCCGGCAGTAGGCAATCGGCGTCAACGGCTGGCGAATAGCGATGAAGCACGACGAGCTGGCCTTCGATGCCTTGCGCTGCGCCAGAGACGACCTGCACGTCGGAGAGCACAGCTGCGTCGGAGATCAGGTAGCGAGCCAAGACGTTGTCGGTGCAGTCGAGCACAATGTCGTGTGCCGAGATGAGCTGCTGAGCATTGGCTGCGCTCAGCGCGGCCACGACTGGCTCGAGCGAGACGTGCGGGTTGATGCTTCTCGTTCGTCAGGATAAGGAATAGCGTACAATAGCCTCTGTTGCACTCACGCACGTCCAGCGATACAGGCGGACTCGGCCTTCGGCATGCCGACTCGACTGTCGGTGTGGAGGATCTGGCGCGCGAGATTCGACGCCTCGACGACGTCGTCGTCCACGATGGTGATGTGACCTGCATGCTGTTCAGCGCCGAGCAGCGGCGATCGTACCGCGCAGCCGCTCACCCACACCAGCGGCCGCCAAATACTGAATCGCCGGACAGCCGAGCCCGCCGGCGCCCACTACGAGGACGCGCGCCTCGCACAGGCGCAGCTGCGCCTCGACGCCGAAGCCCGGCAGCACGAGCTGGCGGCCGTAGCGCGCGTACTCGGCGTGCGACAGCGGCAGCGGCGCCGGCGACACGGTGGACATCTTGATGTGCGGCACTGGGCCTCGTTGTGGTCGTAAGACACGGTCCCCAGACGCACTCCACACCAAGGCATTCCGTGACACGTCACGTGGAGCTGTTCGTCTTTCTTCCCACGCTGCACGGCGCGGAGCACATCGCGGAGTTGCGACGGAGCCTGGTCAGCCCCGCTGTTGAGATGCTTTGGGGCGATCGGGATGGAGGAGGTCGGGATCGTGAGTGGGGATGGCTCTGCACAGCTGACGAGGCGCGGGCCCGAGTGTGCGAGCCTGCGACAAGAGCCTCTTGCGGGCCGTCGAGGGCGCGTGTGGCTCTCGCTCGTGCGACGCAGGTCCGCTACGAAGACTCGACTCTCACTCGCTGCTGGGCCAGGTCGCAGCTGCGGCCTGCGACAAGTGCCTCATGCTCATGCTACACCTGTCTGCATGCATCGTGCAGACAACGAGAGCTGGCATGCAGCGGCTCGCGCAAAGCCAGATGCGTCTGCGAAGCAGCGGCGCGTCCATCTCGGCCGCCGGCGCGGACCTGAGGCTGCAGCCGCTGCATCCGCTGCTGCCTTCGCGCTTCTGGCCTTCTGCCACCAAGCACCGCGCCGTCATGCGAGCTTAGCGCCGTCCGGGAGCAAGCGTCTTGGTAGGCCCGCCAGTGGTGCGCCACACCGCTGCACGCTCGCTGTCAGTTCTGCACGACGAATTAGCGATTCTTTATTGCTCTCCAAAGTCTGCGAGTGGGAAGAGGGTATGAGCGCTGCGAGAGGAGGAAGCCGCGGCTGCTGCTGCGGCAAGCTCGACTCACCGGAACAGAGGCGTGCCGCAAAGCCATCCCACGAGCGCAGCCAGTCCGGCGCCTGGGTCGCCTGGCTGCCCACCGCATAGCTGCCCGTCTCGCCGAGCGCCGCGTGCGCCATGGTGCGCGGCGCGCCGCCCATGTGCGAGAGGGCCCAGGCGATGCGCCGGCCGTCGTCGTCGATGCCGTCGCGCTGGAAGATGAGCTCGGCCTGGAAGAGCCAGTCGTGCAGCAGGGCGGCGTCGCCGGCCCATGTCTCGCTCGGCGCCGCGGCGGCGGCCTGCTGCTGCATGCGCAGCGTCGCTGCCAGGTGCTGCAGCGTGTCGAGGAGCATGTCGGCTGACTCTGCGCAGCGGCATGAGCACGAGCGGCTGGTGGGCAGCTGTATGGACGCTCACCAGGCATGCTCAGACGCCGCTGTTCTTGCTGATACTGCTGCTCCTGCTGCGCGTACTCCTGCTGGTACATCTGCTGCTGCTGTTGCGGCAGGCCAGCGTCACTCGGCACGTATGGAGCTGCGTTGCCCATGAGGCCCAGCGCCGCAGCGGCGTGCTGCTGCGCCTGCAATGCCTGCTGCAGCACCTGCTTCTGCGTTGCCTCGTCCATCGCCGCGGCTGCTGGCGCGTGCTGCTGTTGCTGTTGCGAGGAGCCGACGGCCTTGGCCTGGGCCGCCTGCGCCTTGGCCTGCGCGAACGCCTGGAGGAGCAGCGATCAGCCAAGCACACACAGAGAAGCGGCATTCCTCCTGCACCACGCACCGCCGAGTCGCGCGTGCGGAACAGGATGGGCGATCGGACACGGCGCGGGCCGTGCTGCAGGGGCAGCGACGGGCGCGGCGAGGTGGGTTGAGGAGTGGCTCGAGGAGAAGAGGCGCTCGCGGCGCTCGCGGCGGCTGCGGCGTCGGCCGGCCGACGAAGTGGAGACGCGAGCTAGGTCGAGTCGAGTGTGCGTCGTGGTCAGAGGAAGAGGAGCTGCGGCGGTGCCCGCATGCCGCAGCGAGGAAGCGTCCGTTGGGCAGAAGTGTGCCGGCAGCGAGAGAAGAGATGAGGAAGTGGGCTCGCAGCGCCGCCAGCACCTCGCAGAAAAGAGCTCGGAGCCGCTTGCTGGTGGCTGAAGAGAAGAAGCGCCGTGCAGCAGGCTGGCTCGAGCGCAACGGAAGCGTGAGGGGCAGCACTCTCTCCTCTGATGCGGCACGGCGCCAGGCACGGCCACTCACTCCGCCGTTCCCCGCTCCACCGCCGCCGCCCAAAGATAGAATGCGGCGAGGATGCAGACGAGCCGCCGCCGTAGCCGCAGCAAGACGAGGTGCTTGAGGAGGAGGCAGAGCCCACGCCATCTCGCGGGCAGGAGGCATGCTGCGCTGCTGCACCTGCAAGTGGAGTGCACCTCGGCAGCAGCATGACGCAAATGCGCGGCACACGGGCGTGGCGCCGCCAGCGAGCGCTCCAACGGCAGAGCAGCGCCAGCCGGCGGGCACGCGGACTCCGCGTGTGCCTGCAGGCCGCATCTCCGAGCGAGCGCTTCGCTGGCGAGGTGCAGTTAAGCCGCAGCTTGCTCTGGGAGGGGGGTGAGGCAGACGAGCAGCTGTGCTGCGGCGTCTACGGCCGCCCTCCTCTGCCGTCGTGCTGGCGCTCTGTTCGCCCGCACGTCTCGTCTGTCAAGTGACGCGATGCTGCCGCTCCGAGCGCCGAGGCGGCACCGCACCGCTGCACGCTGCTGCAAGCCACTCCTCCCGCACTGCAGATGGCGAGGACGCTAGCGCACCTTCGGAGACGCCTGCACTGCTCGGGTTGCGGAAGCGCACTTGAGCAGCAGCTAAGCGGCAGCAAGAGACAAGAGAAGCGACTGCGGCACGGCCTCAGCATGGCGCCTGCCGAGCAAGCAGCGTCGCAGACTTCTGACTGGACATGCGAAGAGCACCTCGAACGCGGCCGCGCTGCGGCATTCAGGAGGTGCTCGCGACTCGCGAGCCGGTGTCCTGCCGCCGGCAGGCGAGCGTCGCATCGGGCCAGCATCAGAGGTTGCAGGTGATTGGGGCCAAGCGCTGCCGTCAGCACGGCTCGGTGCCGCGCCTGATGATGATGGTGTGCCAGGTGGCTCGCCGTCGGGCGACGTCGAGATGCCGACGCCCCACGCGCAAGGCGAGGAGGCAGCAGGTGCGTCGAAGCGTCTGCAGCATGCGCGACATTCGCCACGACGCTTCGGACGCACCATGCTGCTCGCCGCTGGCTTGGCATGCCGTAGCTCGCCACCCATGCCTCTCTGCGCCCTGACGTCTTGCAGAGGTCATGCTGGCAGGATGTTGCGTGGAAAAGGTGGGCTGTACCGTGCGCTGTGGGTGCCCTCATGTGCTCCCGACGGCTGCATGCACAGCCGGCGTCCGGACGTGCTTGCGGCCGCGAGGCAGTCCGGAAGATTTGCGAGGAAGCAGCAAGCGGTCGTGCGAACTCCGACATGCTGCGCCTCCCTGTCTTCACCCGCGCACGGCTCAGGACCAGACGTAGCACAGCCTACATTTCTTCGTCGTCGTCGAGGCCCAGCTCATCCGCAATGTCGAGCTCGGGATAGTCGCCTACCCGCACGCGCTCCGGCCGCACAAACGAGGCGTGCTGATTCCGCGCCTTGAAGTACTCGACGCCGGCGACGCTGCGCGAGAAATGATGTGAGCAAGTGCACACGCGTGTGAGGAGCGCAAAGCGCGATCCGACGGCGGGACCAGCACAGCCCTGGGCGCCATCTCCGGGACCACGCGCACTTGCTGCGTGCCAGACACTCACCTGCCATTGCCCTTGCCGCACGGCTCGTCATACTCGATGCCGACCCAGTTGCCCTTCGCAAAGCTCGTCGTGCCAGCGAAGCGCACCGTGCCGCGGCTGCCCTCGCCCTCCTTCGCGTCGCCCGCCTCGCGCAGCACGACGCAGCGCTTGCCGGGCACGATGTCCTCTGGGATCGGTGCGGCTGGCGGAGCAGAGGCGGCTGCTGCCTGCACGGCGGGGTCGAAGCGGCCCATGCGGTTTGCCTGCTTGTACGCGCGGACAGTGTCTGCGGTGCGAGCGTGAGAGGTGCACACGCCGGCGCCTCGCATTACCACTCACCTCTCCGCTGCGCATACGTGTCGTCGTCCATCTCCCACTTCTCCACGCTCTCGTCGGCGACGAAGCGCTCGCTGCTGCCTGCTGGCCGAGCATCCAGGACCTGCACGCAAGCGCCCTCATGTGCGCCGATGGATGCAAGTGTCGGCTCTTCAGCGCCGGGAGCCGCATCATCTGCGCGAGGCAGGTCGGCGAGGCGGATGGCGCGAGCTCCCGGATCGTCGGTGCGCGCCGAGTGCAGCGAGAGGATCTGCGCCTCGGCGGGGATGCCGCTCAGCGTGTAGATCTTCTGCCGCAGGCCCGAGAGCGGCAGCGAGCTGGGCAGCCGCAGCTCGGTGGCGATCTGCGCCGAGGGCGAATGAATGTGCAGCGAGAGCGACATGGTGGCCGTGGGCAGGTGCGTGTGGGTCGCGGCGGCGGTGGAGCAGGCAGAGGTGTCGCGGTCGCGAAAGAAGGACCAGACCCGCGGCGGCGTGCGGCTGCGCGGCGCGCTAGGCGCCAGCTTTTTCCGGTGCTCCGTGCGCCGCGTCCGTGGACTTCGCTTCCGCCTCGGCAGGTGCAGCCTCCCCAGCGACAGGAGCAGCTAGCAGTGCTACTGCAATGCTGGTCAAAATGCTGGGATGATGAGACGTGTTGAGCTTCTTCAGCCCCTTCCCCTTGCGACCGAGCAGGTGGACGTGCGGCCCGACCTCTGTTGGCCGTCGCGGTGAGGGACGCGTTGCTGTCGCGTGTCTTTGCGCGCGTGCGTGTTGCTGCTGCCGCCGCTCGCTCACATGCGGCACGGCGCTGGACGAAGCCGCCCGGCACTGCCAGATCTGGCGCCGCTCCCTTCGAAGGCCGGCCGGCCGTCGCTGGATCCTGCTTCCTTCTCAGCCACCACCTCTCCGCGCCAGCAACATGGCCACAATGCTGCACACGCTCAAAGTGTGCGTCACCGACGATGCCACGTCTTCGCACCCGCTCGTGCTCGCGGCCCGCCGCCGCCTGCGCCTGCCAGCACCCGGCGAGAAGGGCGAGCTGCCGGTCATCTGGCGCATGCAGCACCAGTATCTGCTCGATGCAGTTCTGGAAGATAGCAGCGTCTGGGCTGGTGCCTCCGCCGCCTGGTCCGAGGCGCTCGCTGCAGCGAGGCACGCTCGCTGCAGCGAGGCACGCTCGCGAGCTCGCGGACGAACGGGCCTTCTGGGACAGCGTCAAGACTGGCTCCACGGTCTCGCATGCCGACGCCTCCGTCTGTGCGGCTGCATCCGCTGCATCGGCCTGGCCTTGTCTCAGCGAAGCGCAACAGGCTTCTCTTGCTGCGCTGCATGGCGTCCATGCCCACAGCGTCTCGCCGGCCTTCTCCTCGATCTGCGACAAGGACACGTATTTCGCCGCGTCGTCGATCTTCCGCGAGACGCTTCTCGCGCCCGCTGCGGCCAGCTGGACCATCGCTGATGGCGCGCTCGGTCACGTTGCGCTGCTCCTCGGCGTGGCCGAAGCAGCAGGCGGCGGCGGCAAGGAGCAGCCCCAGCTGGGTCCAGTGCCGCCGTACGCTGCCAAAGAAGTGCCTCTGAATCTGCCGCGCTGGACAGTCAAGCTGGGCGCGAGCGCACCTCTGTCTCTCGCAGAGCATGCTCACCTGGCTCGCATGTCGTTCGCCGCCATTGCGCGCATGTCCGACCAGCACGCGCCCGACGCGACTGCTTCGACCTCGACGTGGACCGTCTGCCTGAGCGAAGAGCAGCTCTGCGCCTTCGAGCTCGCTGCTCGGGAGGACTGGCTGCAACGCCTCCTACCGCGTCTCGTCGAGGGGCCGCACGGCGCACTGGCCGCGGCCGCCAGCGGACGCCTGCGTTCTGCTCTTTTCAAGAGCTACGAGACGGCGCACGCGAGGCCCGACGTCCACTCTTACTGGACCGCTCGTGCCTGCATGGTCTGCGGCCTCGAAGTCGCGTACTGCGATGCCACTCACATCGTCCCGCCCTTCGTCGGCAAGTGGCTGTACGAGAGGGCCATGCAGCCACTTGCGTGTTCCTCGACACCGGAGCCACGCGTCCGCATCGAACAGCTCAGCCTGCTGGACGCTCGCCTGGGCGCATTTGCACTTCGCGGGGGCGACAGTCGTGAGCCGACCAGCGAGCGTGACGCCGGGCTCAACGCGCACCGCAACGGCTTCTTCCTGTGCAAGTTCGAGACACCACTCTTCAAGAACTTCTCGATCGTGCTCACGCCCTCGCTCAACTTTGTCCATGTCACGCGACCTCTGTATCGCCGGCCCCATGCAGACGTGCCTCACGACAGGACTCGACCGGCAGTCGGGTGGCACGAGCCCGTGCCGAGAAGCGATGCGACTCTGTTCCCGCCTGAGAAGTATCTGATGGAGCAGAAGCTCCCCGCCGTCCATCTCGCGGCGCACGGATCGATGTGCGCCCTCTACCTCACCGAGGAGTTCTGCAACAACTTGCTCGGACATCCGACGCTTGAGCGCGCGGTGCAGGACGGCCGTCGAGAGACGCGAGAGAAGCATGAAGATGAGAGCGAAGCAGAGCTGCTGGAGCGTGTCAAGCGCGAGCAGGCTGCCGAGCTCGAACACCAGGAGCGCTGCGCGCTGGCGTACCGCACCGCGCTTGCGCTCTTCGCCGCCCATCCGCAAGCTCGCGCGTCGCAGGGCAAGGCTGTGGCCGAGCAAGCCATGCAGGAGGCGGCACACGCCGAGGGATCAGACGAATCAGAGAGCAGCGGAACTGTGACGCCGACGGGAACTGTGACGCCGACGGGCCCAGCGGAAGACCAGAAGGCGGGCCTTGCGGGTCTGGCAATCTTTGCGGCGTTCGCGGCGGCGCGCCGCTAGCGGCCGCGGTCGGGCAGGACGGATGTGAGTGGAGGTGAACTGTAGGAGAGGAGTGGAGCAACCTGTAGCGATACCCCTGAACTCGATACCATGCTAGCGAGGCTGTGTGTCGAGAGGCAGGCCCGGAAGCAGGTGTGCGGCAAGGACGATACCGTGGGAACAAGGTGGAGGCGCCGCCGAGTCCGAGTTCCGCGAGCACTTTGGCTGATGAGGGGCACGGGCCGCCGCAGCGACACGCCTGTTTCCCGACCACCACACCTCTGCAAAGCCTGCAGCACAAGATCAGGGCCGCAGCAGCAGCGCCATGTCGAGCGCCTTTGCCGGCCCGTCGGCGTACCCAGGCGCGCTGGGCCAGCTGCGCTCGGCGCCGCGCCTCACCTATGCCGCCGCCTCGCGCCTGCGCCGCGAGCAGCAGTGGCGCGAGTCGGCCGTGCGTACGCTGGACCGCATCGCCGTGCTCGGCGGGCCCAGCGACGAACACGCAAGCAGTGTTGTAGGCCACGAGGGCTGCGTCAAGTGCGTGCGGAGCCGGCGACGCGGTCCGGCTGCGGCTGACACGCCCTGCAGTGCGCTCGCTTGGTCCGACGACGGCACGCTGCTGGCGTCCGGCTCGGACGACCGGCGAATTTGTCTCTGGAAGCTAGGCTCGGATGGCGTGCATCAAGTCGATGCTGCTGCGAGCGGACGTGCTGCGTCTGGGAGAAGCTTCTCGCTCCGCGACGAGGAGCGTGGCTGGCCCGACCCAGGCGTCGGCCTAGCTACAGTCGTCGAGACGGGACATCGCGCGAACAGTGCGTGTCGTGAGATCGAGACGAGACTCGGCGCTGACACTTTTGAGCAGTCTTCTCTGTCAAGTTTGCGCCGCACAGCACGTCGCGCTTCTTCACCGCTGCTGGCGACTCGCAGATGCGCGTCTTTGACCTGTCGCTCAGCAGCGCGGAGCAGCACTCTCGCATCACGCCGACGGGCAGCTACGACGTCTTCCCAGAGCGTGGCGGCGCATGCACACGAGTGCTCAAGTGCCACACCGCACGGGTCAAGCGCATCAGCGTCGAGGTGAGTGGGCCGTCGTGCGCCACAAGCTCCCGGCTGACGTGCAGCAGGGTCCCGACACCTTTCTCAGTTGGTGGGTAGGGGCGCTGATCCTCATTGCCCTGACTGACATTCTCTGCAGCGCGGAAGACGGAGAGGTGCGGCAGACAGACTTGCGCGTGAATCACACCTGCAAACGCAGCCGGTCGTACGGCCAAGGATGCCCAGCACCGCTGCTGCGGCACTCGATGGAGCTGTACTCGCTCTCCGTCTCAAAACAGGAGCCGTGGCTCTTTGTCGTGGCCGGCACAAGCGAGTATGCCTACCTGCACGATCGGCGCATGGTGCCGCGTCTCATTCAGCAGGAGTGGGGCGTTGTGCCGCGCGGTGACGACGGCGCGCTCACGACGTGCGTGCGTCGCTTTGGCCGGCCAGACGAAGGGTGGGACGTGACGGACAAGGCAGGGCGAGACGGCTCCTGCCATATCACTGCAGCCAAGATCGAGGAGACGATGGGCCGCGACGTGAGTCTGACGCATGCAAGCTCTCGCATATCCACTGATGTCCGCGTGTAGCTGCTGCTGTCGTATTCCGGGGCAGACTCAACAGTCTACCGCTTCAACATCCATGACGAGCCAGGCAGGACACATCACGATGTCTCGAAGCACCAGCCAAGCATCGACGAGGTCGCTGCGCTTCACGCACGCATTGGCACGGCTCGAGTCCGCGAAGATGAGGCGGCGAGCCCAGAAGAGCCTTCGCGGATGGACGTCTTTCGCGCTCGCATCGTCGGCGCGCTCTTTCCACGGCCGTCGGACAGCTGCGATCCGCACAAGGTCGGCTCGGACCTGCTCACGCTCGGCATGCTGCGCGAGGTCGTTGAGGCGGACCACGAGGCCGTGGCAGTCTGCCGAGCCCTCGTCCATCTCGCGCCGTGGGCCAGCGGCCCCGCCGACTTCTCCGCCCTTTCGACCGCGGCGCTATCGGAGCTGGTCATCGAAGACCAGCCGCCTGTTGCGCCTGAGCTCTGCGCGTTCTTGCGCCAGCTCGCCGAGTCGACCGATGCGCAGGCCACGTACGAGCAGATCTGGAGCGTGGGCGAGGCATACGTGCGCGAGCGCTGGCCGCAGTCGTGGGACAGCGAGCGCCGTGCACGCGCTGTGACTGTCGACATCCGCGAGCTGCTCGGCGATGACGAGGGCCAGCCGCCGCCGCAAGACATGGGGGCGGATGAATGGACTGACGAGGACGAGGTCGAGGGCATGAGTGTGGACGACGAGACGGACGAGAGTGAGGAGGAGGCGTCTGAGAGCAACTCGGACTCGGACGACGGCAGCGAGAGCAGCGAGCACGACAGCGAGCAAGGCAGCGCCAGCGAGACGGGCAACGCGGCGTTCAATGCGCCTCTGACGCATCCGCGCCAGCGATACCAGGGGCACATCAACGTCGACACCGTCAAGCAGGTCGACTTTGTCGGCGACGGCTTTGGTGAGTGGCCGTGACGAGTCTAGTCTGGGCTGCTGCTGACGTGCCTCACCAGTCGCGTCCGGCTCCGACTGCGGCCGCCTGTTCGTGTGGAGCAGCGAGACGGGCGAGCTACTCGCAGCCATCCGAGCCGATGGCCAGGTCGTGAATGTCTCGGTGGCCCATCCGACGCTGCCGCTGCTGGCCGTGTCCGGCATCGACGACGAGATCAAGCTGCTGGGGCCTTCGACGGCGCGCGCAATCTGCCGCGAGGCAGATCCGGACGTCGTGGCGCAAGCGAACAGGCGCAATGGCGGGTGAGTGGAAGAGGCCAAGCGTGGGACCCTGCGTTGCTGACTCGCGCCGCAGCATGCGCAACAGCTTCGGCTACTCGCGAGGCCTGCTCGCCTTGCTGCAGCAGCAGGCGACGATGGGCCCAGAGGCGCAGTGTCCGACACAATGACATTCTATGTGCGCGCCGCAAGCTGGCGCAGGTGCTCGAGCTCGCCCGACTGCTCGCACAGGGTGCGGAAGTGCCCGTCCTCGCGCTCCAGCAGCGTCGCGGGCGTGTCGAACTCAACAATTTCGCCGGCGGCCAGCACCAGGATGCGGTCGCACACCGCCACCGTCGAGAGGCGATGTGCGATTGTGAGGACCGTCGAGTCCTTGAAGCCCTCGCTGATCGCCCGCTGGATCGCAGTGTCGGTGTCGAAACTAAGGAGCGCGTGTCAGCGAGATAGCGACGAAGGCGCAGCGCCAAGCGACTCACTCCGTAGCAGAGCTCGCCTCGTCCATGATGATGACGCGGCCGGCCCGCAGCAGCGCCCGCGCCATGGCGATCAGCTGCCGCTGGCCAGCACTGAGGTTCGTGCCGCCCTCGAGAATGACAGTGTCGAGCGACACAGTGGAGCGCTCGTCGTCGTCGCCCTGTAACGAGGCTGGCGCACTGCTCACGCGGCTGGCAATCTGCGACTGCGATGGCGGTGTGCGCAGGTGGACTCGATGCAAAGCTACAGACGAAGCGTCAGCAGGGAGCTCGCTCTCGCGAGCCTGTCGCGCTCACCTTCCAGCAGCTCCTCATCGGGATGCTCGTCGAACGGGTCTATGTTGGACCGCACGGTGCCGCTGAAGAGCGTGGGGTCCTGAGGAATGATGGACAGTCTAGAACGGAGGTCTCGCAGGCCCAGATCTGCGATGCTGATCCCGTCTATGGAGATGGAGCCCGCGTCGAACTCGACGAAGCGGAAGAGGGCAAGTGCGAGGCTGCGGAAGGTCAGCGCTGTGGCGACGAAGTCTGGCCGGAGCACTCACGTCGACTTGCCGCTGCCGGTCCGGCCCACGATGCCCAGCTTCTCGCCTGGCCGCACCGTAAATGACACATTGCGCAGCGCCGGCTCGAGGTCCGGCGCGTAGCGGAGCGTCAGGTTCTCGAACTTGATCTCGCCTCGCGCAGGCCACGAGGCCGGCGGCCGGCAACCGGTGATCGCGGCAGGCTCTTGCTTGGTGCGCTCCGGGCTGATGAGGTCCTGCAGACGCTCGATGGAGTTGAGGTCCTGATCGAGTGTACTCTGGAAGCGCGACAGCCAGTACACGGCGCCGACGACTGTCTGCAGCGAGGTGAGGGCGACTGGAGAGGGTGTCAGAGTGCACGGCTGTGTGTCATTCGGTTGTTCACTCACCACCTGCGAGGCCGGCCGGGATGCCGCCGTTGAGCGCTGCCACGCTTGCCGTGGCTGTGCCGACGGCACCGAGTACGTCTAGCCGCACGAGCGCCCATCGCGAGCTGAACCAGAAGAGCGCAAAGGAGCTCGACATCTGGTCCAGGTTGACGAGGAACTCTGCGAGCAGGCGGCGCTCTGCAGCGAACGCGCGGACGGTCTCAAGGCCGGAGAGCAGCTCAGAGAAGCTGCAGTGGACATGTCAGATGCGAAGCCGGCGACACACGCTCGTTCTACACACCGTGCAAAGATCGGCGAGCGGCTCGTCGACTCGATGCGCCGGAATGAGCGAGCTGTCGCAACGTATCGCCGTGCGACCTGCCAGTTGATGAGCGCCAGGAATGCGACGGGCAGCAGCATCGTTGGCAGCGTGAGGGTCACGACGACGAGCGACGTGAAAAGGCCGAGAATGTACACGCTCATCGCCTGCAGCGTGTCCGTGCAGCTCTCGTCGACCTGGCTGACGTCCTTTGACATTGTGTTGAGCACGCGGCCGCGCCTGTGGAACGGAGTTAGCATGTGGCGCCGATATCTGTTACGCGCGACTCACGGAGTCTGATCGAGCCAGCGAGACGTCGCAGACATGAGCGAGCCCAGCGCCTGGCCAAAGATGCGCCGAGCAGCGCGTCGTCCGCCGCCTTGCATAATCAAGATCACGCAGAGCATGAGCAGGAAGCCGACGGCCTGCAGGCCCACGAAGCCGAGCAGATACAGTAGAGGAGCCTCGTCGCCGCGCATTGCTGAGAGCGCTCCTTCATGAGCGATGTGCACCGCATGATGCAGCGCTCCGAGCGCCGGCAGCTCAATGAACGGCAGCAGCAGACTGCGAGCAGAGGCAGTGCCCCACCAGCTGAGGTAGAACTTCTCGCCGACATCGGTGCTCTGCCGCAGCAGCATGGCGCTAAACGCGAAAGCCAGCGTCGCGTAGCCAAAGGCACGCAGGTACGAGACGTACACCTTGAGCTTGGTGCCACCGGTGGAGCGGCGCTCCTTGGACACGAGCTGGCCTGCATCGGTCGAGGCCGCGATCTTTGGCGGAGCCGCTGTTGCATCAGCGGGCGTGTTTTCCTTCTCGCTATCAGTGGCGCTATCGCGCACGGCTGGCGCGAGATGCCCAGAGGCGCGCAGCTCGTCGGGCGAGCCTTGTGCCTCGATGTGCCCGCGGCTGAGCTTCACCACGTGCGCGCACGGGATGGTCAGCGCAAGGTCGACGTGGTGCGTGACGAGCACGACGGTGCGGTCCTTGAGCAGCGGTCCGGCAAGAAGGTCCTCGACGATGCGTTTGCCCGTCGTAGCATCAAGCGCACTGAGGACATCGTCGAGTAGGACAGTCTGAGAGGGGGCGTACACTGCTCGTGCCAGAGCAACTCGCGCGCGCTGCCCGCCGCTCAGCGTCAGGCCGCCCTCGCCGATCTCCGCTGCGTCGCCGCCAGGCAGGATGGCCAAGTCTGGCGCCAGGCAGCAGGCCACGAGTGTCTGCTCGTAGCGCGTCGCCTCGAATGGCGAGCCAAAGAGAATGTTGTTCCGGATCGTCGCGTTCTGCAGCCACGGCCGCTGGGCGCAGAAGGAGACGAGACGGTCGCGCGTCTTGGGCAGATACACGGCGCCGTCGTCCTCCATAATCATCTCGCCGAGCAGCGCCGAGAGCAGCGACGACTTGCCGCTGGCTGTTGGGCCGACGACGAGCGAGAGCTTGCCCTGTGGGAAGATGACGGACAGGTCGCGCAGGGAAAAGGGCTCCGCGGGCGTGGCTGTGCCAGATGTTGTCGCTGTTACTGCTACCTTCGGCGTCTCGGGTGCGGGCTTGGAGCGTAGACGCAGCTTGGCAGCCAGGCGCGCGGCAAAGGAGCTCTTCTCGACGGCTGCGACAGGCACGTCTGCAACTGCAGAGACGGCAGGCCATCTGAACGTGGCGCTCTCGAAGCCCAGACGCCCGTCTGTGACGATCTTGCTGTCGCTCGCCGCGAGCGTAGACACCCAGGCGGGCACCTCGTCGCTGCGCAGGTAGTCCTCGATGCGCTCAAGCGAGACGCGCGCGTTCAGGATGTTGTTGATGTACATTGGCAGCACCGAGAGCGCGTTGCGCATCGATGTGATCACGGCGATCGCGGGAAAGGCGACGGAGATCGTGAGGCGATGGCCGCTCAGCGTGTAGGCGAGGAAGGAGAGCGAGGTGATGCAGGCCGGCGTCGCGCCCCAGAGCACGGAGTTGAGGGCTGAGAGACGCTGCCGCTTGCGCAGGAGCGACAGCTCGTGCTCGCGTGCCTCGATGATGCGCGCCTTGAACTGCTCCTCCTGCGCAAAGTAGCGGATAGGCCGCAGCGCAGAGAACATCTCTGCGATGAGGCCTGTCCGGCGATCGCGCGCGGCGCCGAGCTCGCGCGTGATGCGCATCGAGCGGCGCGTGAGGAGCGACTGGAGCGGCGTCGAGATGAGCAGCACCGAGAAGCCCGCCAGCGCGCTCCAGCCCAGCAAGTTGTAGAGGAACACACCGGCGACGAGGATTTCGATGGGGCTCGAGTAGAGGAAGTAGGCGCCAGCGAGCAGCACCGAGATCTTCTGCGCGTCGACGGCCATCAGCGAGACGATGGCGCCCAGGTCGCGTGCTCCGGCTGCCGGCTTCTTGGGCGCGCCTGGTGCCGCAGTCTCAGCCTCGCCAGCCTGCTGATTCGCCCGCGTCCGCAGTGCCTTGTTGTAGATGAGGCTGATCAGCTCGCCGCGCGTGCGAATGCATGCTCTGCGCCCGTGATACAGGTGCTGCAGGTCAGTCTGCGCCTTGAGCACGCTTGCAGTAAAGGCAGCCAGCGGCAGCAGGTATGCCGAGGACGGGACCTTGCCAGTTGGGCTGCTCGCCGCCTGCGTGATCGCCTCGAGGATCCGCTTGAGAAAGAACGGCCCGCTGACGGACAGCGCCGCGGACACGAACGTGAGGGTTGCGTCCGCGAAGACGTCATGGGCGTTGGCGATCCACAGCCGCTGGAGGAGCGTGCCGGACAGCGCCTCCATCTTGCGCAGGATGAGCGCGCTTCGGCTGGAAGCAGAGAGGGCAAACACGTCGCCGTCGTCGAGATCGCGCTTGAAGCCCTCGTTAATGAGCGGCGTGAGCCAGCTAAATGTGACCCACTCGAGCAGCGTCGCGTAGTCCTCGCGCGCTGGAGGCGGCACACCGGGCGCGAGAGGCGGCGCCGGGTACGGCGAGAGCGGCAGCGACGCGGCCAGCAGCACAAGGACCAGCGCTGGCAGACCTGTGAGGACTGGCACCAAGAGTGGCTGTCTGAGCAGCACTGCGTCGAGCAGCACCAGCAGCGCCGCGACCAAGTGGCACAGCCCGATCAGCAGCGTCGCCCATGGCGGCGTGACGGGCGGGCTGCGCAGCGTGCGGAACAGCACGTAAAGCTGCAGGCACGTCAGCAAGACGACAACCACGGCGGCCCGCGTCGACTCACCCAGCTGAAGGCGCTTGCACCCGCATAGTCCAGTCGCGCCGCCGTCCACGCCAGCTCTGCCGCCGCGATGACCGCCAGACCCGCCGTGACGCTCCTCGACGCACGCAGGCGCGGCTCTGCGCGCACGCCGTCGCCGAGCAGCGGCGCTTGCTCATCTGCGAGCCCGTCATGCAGCAGCCGGTGCTGCTCCTCGATCTCTGTCGCTTCGGTAAGGCCGTGCTGCCGCAGCGCAGCGGCGATGCTCTGCCGTTCGACGGCGCGTGCCTCGGCGAGGTCGTCCTCGTCGACAAAGTCGAGCAGCAGCGGGCGCGCCAGGCGAGGCAGGCGGCGAGACGAGGCAGGCAGCAGTGCCGCGACCAGCGCTGCGCCCGCCACGCCTGCCGGCAGTGCGCCGTCGAGGAGGGAGAGGGCCAGTGCTGGCACCGGCATGATGGGTGTGAGGGGCAAGAGGCAGGCGAGGTGAGGCTGCCGCTGCCCCTGTGGTGCCGCCGCGATAGGGTCCGGTGTGGAGAACAAGCGCGCAGCAGCGCCGCCGCGCGGCCGCGCACTCTTACTGCCGGCGGCTCGGCAGTCTCGCGCTGACCTCACGGCCGCTAGCGTGCCTGACAGCGTGGGAACGCTGCCGAGTGCGAGGAACGGCGCGGCGGCAGCCGCGCGCGGATTCTTCTTCCTGCTTCAGCACCACCACGTCCACTGCAAGCCCATCTCGCATGGTCGACCCAACAGCCACAGCGGGGCCCTCGACAGCCGTGTCGCTGCAGCGATCCCGCGAGTTTCTGGCACAGCGTCTCGAGCCGGACCTGCGCGAGGCGTACGCTACCGTGGCGCGCCTGCAGCAGGAGCAGCGCGACTGGATCGACGGCGCACGACAGCTGCGGGCGCTGCAAAGAGGGCCACAACGGGCAGAGCTGGGCGAAGGAGTCAGCATCGACGTCGTCGTGTGAGCGGATACGCTTCAGATGCGCAACTGCGGCGCTGACGTCCTCTCGCAGCGCCGAAAACGGTCCATTGCCGCGTGTCGATCTCGGCCTGCCCGGCACGGAGATGTACGCTGAGCTGACGCCCGAGGAGGGCTCTGACTTCTGCGATCGGCGAGCTGCGCTTGTGCTGCCGAAGATCCGGCGAGCTGAGGAGCGCGTCGGCGAGATCGAGGCGCACCTGCATCTGGTGAGCCGCATCTGCCACGTCCCTCCTGTGCGCCGCTCACATCCTCTGCAGGCGGCACAGAGCATCGCACAGCTCGAGGCGCTGCAGTCTGGCGAGAATCGCTCTGTCATCGATGGGCTCAGTGTACCGTGATACGCCGTGAATGCGAGGCATGAGCATCGAGGAGGCGAGGCGTGAGCAGCGAGCCTGAAGCTGAGCAAAAGCAGCGCTGAGAGAGAGGCACGGTCATCAAGGCGAGGCGCGATCATCGAGACAAGAGCAGCAGCGGCGTGAAGGCGAGGCATGAATTGAGCGAATGCCAGCGTGCCTTGTAAGTGGACAGGGTGAAGAAGTGCGGGTGTGAAGGAGAGTTGGGGCGAGCGGGTGACGCGGAAGGTATTAGGGGCAGGAGACAAGTGAGACGGATAAGTGAGGGTGCTGACGGGTGTCGAGGGCCAGGAGCCGACGACGAAGAAGGCGAGGGTTGGCGCGGCGCAGCGACGACGAGGCTGGCTCACCGGCGCGCCGCGTAGGAGACGGTCAGAACGCTTAGGCGAGGTTGAGCGGGCGGCGCTTGGAGCCCGGGTGGCGGCGCTTCTTGAGCGGCGAGCCGCCGAGGCTGTCGGTGAGCGCCGAGAGGCTGTCCGAGTCGGTGAGCGCTGAGAGGCTGTCGGTGTCGGTGAGCGCCGAGAGACTGTTCGTGTCGCCGAGCGAGGAGAGGCTGTCGGTGCCGGGCACGGCGCCGAGGCTGTTGAGGCTGCTCGTGTCGGTGGGCGCGTCGAACGAGGGAAGGTCACGCTTGCCGAATGCGCGGGCCTGCTTTGCGGCCTTGTACTGCTTCTTGGCCTGGCCCTTCTACTTCTGCTGGCTGGCCTGCTGGCCACCGGTGCTCTGGTCGTACTGAGCAAGCTCATAGTAGACCTCATTGAGGAGCGGCAGCTGCTCGAGCAGCGACTGCGGCGTGCTGCTGCCGTCGTCCTGGCGCTTGCGCTGGGAGTCGAGGCCGATGGGCGCCTGGCTTCCGAGGTAGATCAGCTCGTTGTAGAACTCGCTGACGTCCGCGTAGGCCGACAGCGGCGTGGACCCGTCAAGCGACTCGAGCTGGTTGTACAGGGCGTCCAGGAGACCGTATTGCGACAGCACACCATCGTCCTGGCGCTTCTTGAGCTGCGAGGGCTGAGTGTCCGTCGAGCCAGTGCTCTGGTCGTACGCCTGCAGCTCTACAGCGGTCTCATAGAGCGTCGGCAGCTGCCCGAGAAGGCTGTTGTCGGTAGAGTCGTCGCGCTTGCGCTGCTCGCCGATGGGGTCCTGCTGGTCGAGGTACGCCTGCGTATGGGGAGGGCATCAGCACCGCCGCAGGCAATGCGAGATCCATACTGGACGCACCAGCTCGCTGAGCAGCTCGCTCAACTCAGAGTACGAGGACAGGGGCGAGCTTCCGTCAAGGCTGATGAGCTCTCCCGCAATCTCCTGGAGCTCGGGATAAGAGTCCAGGACAATGCCGCCGTCCTGACGCTTCTTCTGCTGCTGCAGCTTCTTGGCCTTGAAGCCGCCGAAGTTGGGAGCCTGGCCCGTGAGCGCGCTGAGCTGGCCGGTGACACCGTTGAGCGAGTCGAGAAGAGCACGCTTCTTGAAGCCGCCGACGCCCTCCTCGAGGTTGCTGAGCTCGCTCGTGACGCTGTCGATTGTGGACTGGAGGTCGACCTGGCGCTTCTTGATGTTGCGCTGCTCCATGAGCAGGTCGCGGCGGAAGGCCAGAAGGTCTTGCACCTTGCCCAGCTGGCTGGCGCCCGACAGAGCGCCTTGCTTGTTGTCTCCGTAGAGGTTGCCGACGACGGAGTTCAGGTTGACGCTGTCGAGAAGGCCGCGGCTCTGGGCGGGCACGCCGCGACGAGAAGGGCCTCCGGGCTGGACGCCTCCGTCTGCCAGAGAGTCAGCCGAAATCTCACCGTGGAAAATGCTCTCTGGACTCACTCTTCGCGGTGACCCACGAAGCCGGGTCGGACGTGTGGCCCTTGCCATCGTAGACGCAGGTGTACGTCGTGATGGTGTCGCCGTACTGTGAAAATGCTTAGTGGCTGAAGGGCGACACTGTGCGACAAGACTCAGACACTCACGCCGCTGTCGGACTCGGTCGAGTTGCTGCAGTCGAGCTTGCCGTACCAGACGTCGAGCGAGATGTTCAGCTCGCCTGCGTTGCTAGCCGACAGGTACCTACGGAGGCAGACGTCTCAGTGTGACATTCGATCGCGGCAGCGACGGCATGCCGGCCTGTCACTGAGCGACTGACCAGTTTGTGGCAAACAGGTCGTCAAGCGCGAAGCCCCAGTTGGACGAGTACGTGCCGTTGCTGTTGAAGTCGTACTTGCCGCCCATGACTAGGCGACGCGAGATGAGGATGAGCGGATGAGCGAGGACAGCGCTCGGCGAGACACCCACCTGCTGTCTGGAAGTCGCTGTTCTGGAACTGCGCGCCGCCCACGCTGTTGATGCCGTGGATTCCATCAGTAGTCACGTTGTTCTCGATGAAGGCCGTGACACGCTCGAAGAAGTCGTTGTCCTGGCTGGGCGTCGTGAGGACGTGGTTGGTGTCGGCGGCTGAGGCAAGGCATCAGTGACCTGCACGTGTTCCCGATCCCAGCATCACTGACTGATGAGCAGCTCAGCAGCGTTGGTGTGCGTGGCGTCGAGCAGGCCGCCGACGATGCCGTACAGCTGCGAGCCCGTGTAGTTGATGTTCGTGCTGAAGCCGATCGGGTTGTCCTCATCGCTCGGGTTGCCGACCTCGACGCTGCCCGTGGCGAGGTTGGGGCCCCAGGTGATGTCGTAGTCCGAAGACACGTAGCTAGGACACAAGGCTCGTCAGCCCTACGCACAGCCTAGCGAGGAGCCCGCTGCGGCTCACCCAACGCCGTCGACGGTGCCGTTGTACGAGCCATCGAGGCTGCCGGCGCTGTTGTCGCCGGGCGTGGCGAGGGTGACGGTCTGGTTGTAGACGTCGCCTGCCGCCGAGGCGACAGAGGCGAGCGCCAGTGCGAGAACACCACGCGAGATCATGGTGCGGGAAAGGAGCGTAACGCGAGCGGGAACGGGGGGAGGAGGAGATGGGAGAGGATGGAGAGACAAGTGGAGAGGTGCGGGGATGGGCCTGCTTTTAGCTCTTTCCCGTTGCGTCTCGACGCGGCTCTGGCGTGCGAGGTGACAGCCGATGGCGAGTGTCGAGGCGTGCCTGAGAAGCGCCGGAACGCGCTGCCTGATGCAAGATGAGTTCGCTGCAGGTACGCTGTGGCCGTGCCGGAGGCGAGTATACCCCGAGACAGTCGCCTCGCTGGCGCCTTGGGCGATGCGGATGCCTCCTCGCGCGAGGGGCAACGGAAGCGCCTCGGCGGAAGCTGCTGCTGCGCCCAGGCGCCTGCGAATGTTCCTGGGTGCCTTGCCGGGAATGAGAACTCGGTGCCGAGACGGACCGAGTGTCTGGGACCGGCCTCCGTCGAGTGAGGCTAGGAGCCCACTTTGCCAGCGCGCAGGACGCCAGACAGGGGCCTCCGGGATGAGAAGGAGCCGTGATTGGCGGGCCGCCGCGTGCAGTGCTCGCTTCCTTCACATCTCGGACTCTCCGGCTCCAGCATCGCAGGCCACGCGGGGACCTGAATGCCCTCCTGTCTCTGTACAGCGAAGTGAGTCTCCTGAACCGCTTCGCTGCTGCGGAGAAAGCAGGCCTCGCCCCTGCCGACGCGGCGCTCTCGATGCCCTTGGCCGTCCAGGGGCGCGCTCTCGCACGGCCTCAGGGGCCTCCGGCTGGCCCATCCGCGCTGCTCTAAGCGCTTGGCCGCGGCTGTGCACGCCCCTGGCTGCGAAGCTGTGCGCTCGCCAGGCAAGATCAAGGCACGCCAGCAAGACGAGTGCTTGGTGAGGATGTGATATCCGTGCCTCCTCTCGCTCTCCTCTGCGGGCAGCAGAGAGCTGACCTCGCGATCGTGACAAGGCGCGCGTCGGAGGCGCCCCTGACTCTTCATCAGTCTCACCGAACGGCGGTCACCCCATTCGCCTGCGCTGGCCGAGTGCCGGTGCCGCCGCACCCCGAGCCTCCTCTCCGCTGCGCTCGTGCTCCCTCTCAAGAAGTCGCGGCGGGAGAGCAGCGGCTGCCCCTTTCTCTGCCGCTGCTTCATCTGCTGCCTGTGCTGGCAGCGCTGGAACGCTCGCAGCAGAGCAGGAGAGAGGCCGGCGGAGCCACGAGCTCTCGCCCAAGACGACCTCGCTGGCGACATCAGGCTCACGGACGGCGCCCTGCGGCGGCTGTGGCCGAGAGATCAAGATCCGCCTTCTCCGCTCTCCTTCTCCTCCGGCGCACAACAATAGGGGCAAGAGATCTAGATCTCCGGCACGCCATACGATTACGAGCGAAACGAAGCGGGTATTCCTCTCCTCTCTCTCTCCTCCTTCTCTTGGGACCTCCTAGTGGATGCCGAGGTGATGAACAAACTTGGCGAGGCCGCTCTCGCGGCCCTTCTCCTGCGCCTTGGCCTCGTGATCCGCCGCCACGCGAGCGAGCAAGCTCTTGGGCCTGTCGCGCTCCGACTTGGCGAGAGAGACGGTGCTGGCCGTCGCTGCCGTCTTGGCGCTTTGCGCATCGTCGTTCACCGGAGCAGACGCTCGGGACTCAGAGTCCTTGCTGTCCTCGGTGCCCTTGACCTTGGCGTTCTCCTTCTGCAGCTGATGCTCCTTCGACTTCTTCTTGGGCTTCGCCTTGGACGTCAGCTTGCCGTACTGCTCGAGCGCCGCAAGCATCAGGATGGACTTGGACAGCGTGACGCGGTCGAGGTTGACGCCGCTCGTCTGCAGATCGCTGACGAAGTAGCGGAAATGCGCAGTGCCGGCTCGGTAGTGCCCCGAGAGTGGGCTCAGGCTCGTGAGGACGCCGTCCTTGGCCTTGAGAAGGCCTGCGGAGAGGACGCGCCCGCCGCGAAGGAAGGAGGAATGCTGGAAATGCCCGCTCTTCTTGATGCCGACGAAGAGCTCGTGGCGGCTGTTGAGCACGTAGATCCACGTGTTGTCTACAGAGGGTCAGCGCATGCCCTTCACCAGCAGCAGCGGCGCAGGCGACTCACCTCCAATCGTCTTGCGCAGCAGCGCATCGCCCCAGTTCTTGCTGCTCAGCATGCCCAGCCGCTTCTGCTTCTTCGACTTGTCGCCGCCATAGTGCGCCGCCTCTCTCTTCTGCTCCTCCTCCTCTTCCGAGTCCATCTCCGAGCTCGAGAGACTCGAGCTGCTCGAGCTGCTGGGCGAGCTTAGACTACGAGCTGCATCGTGGCCTCTCTCGTGCGCACGCGCCTGACGGCGCTCCTCACGCAGTCGAGCTTCCTCCTCTTGCTCCTCTGGGCCGAGCTCGACGATGCCCCGCCCATGTCCGAGATCCTTGTGCTTGCCTCGCGTCGTGTCGACGGGCTTGCCGTTGCGGCGCCAGATGAGCTTGCCGTCCGTGACGTCGACGACGTAGTTTGCGCGCTGCTCGACGCTCAGGTATGTGACCTGCTCGCTCTCGAGACGCTCGCGCGGGCAGTCATCGAGGTCCAAGTCCTTGCCGTCGCCGTGGTCGAGCCACTGGAAGAAGTTCTGCTTCGTGTCGCTCGCACACCAGGCCGCGTGGTACGGCTTGAGGTTCGAGCCATAGCGGTGCTTGGTGTCGACCATCTGCGGCGCATCGTCAGAGCAGCCCAGACTGCATCTGCCGCATCACTCACCTCCATCCAGTGCTGCTCCTCGAGCTGCTTCGAAAGCCCTTGGCTCTTTGCGCCGCTCGTCCATCTCTCAATCAGCTTGAGGCCGAATTCTCTCCGCCCAGCGATGCTCGGCACGTTGTCCAGCTTGCCATCCTCATTGGCACCCGGCACATCGCCGATCATCGGCGAGTCTTCCTTGCCATCGCCCACTGACGGCCCACCCTCCACCGGTCCATCATCCGCCGCGCCGCCCTTTCCGCCAGCGCCAGTGTCGGGCGAGCCGGCGATCTGGCCCACGAGGAGGCCGCCACGACGCCAGCGAGAGCCCGCGTCGTTCTTGCTGCCTCCCTGAGCTGCCTTTGCGGCGCCGTTGAGGCGCAGACGCGTGAAGGCGTCGTCCCAGCGGTCGTCGGCTGAGAGGCTCATGCCCTGCAGCGAGCGGCGCGTGCGGTAGCTGGGAAGGGGCGTGAGCAGCGGCAGGGGCTGGCTGCTGCAGCACATGCTCACCCGCGGTAGTTGCGCTGGATCAGCAATGCCGCATCGCGCTCGCCCTTGGTGTCGTGAGCGTCGCTGCAGGCGATGCCGGGCGCTGCGTGGCTGTGCGAGGCGGCCGCCTGGTCCTTATCGGCCATGGCGAGAGGAGAGTGGAGAGGCGAGTCGTGGAAGAGTCGTGAAGAGAAGCGAACGGTGAGGTGCGAGTCGTGAGGTGGTGGTGGTGCAGAGCAGAGCAGCAGACGGAGCAGAGCAGAGGGAGCAGAGAGGCAGAGCGGATGGCAACGCGGTGGTGATGGAGCAGCGGCAGCCCGGCGTCGGCGAGGCCCTCGCCGTCCCCTCATGCGCTCTCCACGACGGCATGACGCGCAGCGGCAGCCACCGCTCTCCGACACGCGACTTTACCCGCTGCCTGCCGCTGCTGCCGTGCTCACACGCCCTGCCGCGGCTCCGCCTCGCTGCATCTGCGCTTGCGATCGCGCGCCAAAATAGGCGCAGCGCGGGCCGCCGGCACGGCCGGCAGCGGTGCCTGGCGCATGGGCTGCCGCTCGGCACACTCGCCAACTCAGCGCGCAGCGCTTCCATCCGCGGCAGCTCCTTTACGTGCCTGTGCTTCTAGACCACAGACGGGGAATGACGCACAATCTGCTCCGCGACGAGGCAAGGCGCAAGCTGCATGACTACTGCAGCTCCAGCGGTGCAGACTGCGACGGCCGAGAAGGAGGCCGGAGGTGATGCTGCGCCTCGCGGACCCTCGGCCTTGAGCCCACCCCGCATCGTCAGCGGCACGCTCACAAGGCTGTGCCGCGAGGCTTATGTAAGCGGGAATCTTGGCCCTCCACTAGCGTGAGCTGGTCCGAGCGCAGGTGTTCTCGACCTCGTCGACTTTCGCTTGCCTCTTCTCCTCACTACATCAACACTAGACTCTGACCGAGGACCAGCCAGCTTCTCGAAAGGCTCCACTTCAACGTCAAGCTCGCAGTATCCACGCAGCTACCTTGCACCGCCCCACACTTCCAGGACCTCTCGGCAATCTAGCCCAGTATGTCGATGACACTCGAAGGCAACGGCCCCGAGCGGACGCCTCGGCCCACGCCCCAAGTGGCATCTGCGCACGTGTTGGATCTATTCAAGATGACCGATCGCGTCGTCTGCGTCACTGGCGCCGCCTCCGGCATCGGCTATGCCGCGTGCGAAGCTATGGCAGAGGCTGGAGCGCACGTCGCGATGTTCTACAACAGCAACGCGGCGTGTGTGCAGAAGGCAGAGGCGCTGGCAAAGCAGTGTGGCGTGAAGGTGAAGGCGTATCAGGTGCAGGGTAGGTTGGCGTGGCAACTTGCGGTGAAGCAGGGCTGATGAGCCGTGATTGACAGTCACGGATGCCGAGGCGGTCAAGATGGCCGTTGATCAGGTCGTCGCGGATTTCGGAAAGCTGGACTGCTTCGTGGCCAATGCTGGCATGGCCGTGTCGAAGCCGATCCTCGAGATCAGCCTCGGTAAGTGTTCAGCACGCCCACAGCTGAGAGCACGCTGACGCAGTCTCTAGAGGACTGGCGCAAGATGTCGGACGTCAACTGCAAGTGTCGGCGGGCTGCTGGGAGCCGGAGCCTCTGCTGACGCTGCAGCGACAGACCATGGTGTGGCATACAGCGCAATGGCAGCGGGTGCAGTCTTCAAGAAGCAGGGCTTCGGCAACTTCATCGGTGAGCGCCGGAGTCGCCGCCATCACGCGCGTGGACTGATCTTGGGAGTCCCCAGCGACGAGCTCAATGAGCGCATCGATCGTGAACGTGCCTGTGCTGCAGAGTGGGTACAATGCAAGCAAGGCGGCGGTCACGCACCTCTGTAAGTCACTCGCCGTCGAATGGCGCGACTTTGCACGCGTCAACATCGTGTCGCCGGGGTGAGTCTCAGCCTCGCACTCTCTCCTCTATCCCTTCTCAGCCCTTGCAACAGCTTCCACCACACGGACATGGGCGCAAGGTAAGCTCTCCGTCCTCTGCGCAGCTTATGCGGTGTTGACGGCCACGCAGCCCCGGTGTCGTGCAGGAAGCGCTGCGCATGACCCCGCTTGGCCGTCAGGGAGACGTGCGCGAGCTCAAGGGCGCCTATCTCTACCTCGCTTCCGACGCAAGCTCGTTCTGCACTGGCACTGATCTGCGTAAGTCCCTCGGGATGGTGCGGCGTGCCACTACTGACAACGAGCCGCAGTCGTCGATGGCGGCTACACGCTGCCGTGAGGAGCGATGGCAGATGAGGAAAGGTGGAACGACGTGAGATTCTGATGCGCAGCGCAGCGGGAGGAAATGGCGATGGTGCGGACATGATGAGGGCGAGCAGCGTGGTGTGAGGTGACGACGTGAAGAGCACGGAATGAGGACGGAAGAGAGGCTACATGAGGTGAGAATGCGCGGTGGCGAGGACAGGTGACGCGATGAAGAGTCGATCGTGGAAGGAGGCGGCGTGGACTTGAGATGCTTCAGGAGCGAGGACGGGCTCGAGCACTTCAGTCGAGGTCGCGAGGACGCTTCTTGCGACGGCGCTGCTCGCTCGCAGACTGTGCGGAGTCCTTGCTCTGACTCTTGAGGCTTGCTGCGCGGCTCGACGACACGCCGGCACCGCTTGGTGCGTGACTCGAAGCGGCAGGCGCGGCACCGCTGCTGCCCGACACGCCGACACTGGTCTTCCGTAAGGGCGTGTCTGAGTCTTCGTCGGAGGATATGATGAGGTTCTAGAGTGGTGGGTGAGCTCCAACAAATCAAAGAACCGGCACCAGGTAAGCAGCGCTCAAACTCACACGTTGATTCGACACACGGGACCGCTTTGCTGACGCCTTTCCGACAGACGTGCGCGCAGCGTTCGCGATAGTGTTCTGAGTGGTCTGCGACAGAGGCGCAGGCGAGCCAGTGATGACGGCGGGCAAAGCAGCGGCAAGGGCGGTATCGCCTGCTTCTTTGCTCTGCGCGTTCGAGAGCACAGGCTGTTCGGTGTGAACGTCGGACGCGTCGCCGACTGACGACAGCTCGGAGATGGCAGCGGATGCTTCGCGCGACATGACAGCGGCAGCGTCCGCATTGCTCGAAGCCACAGCGGCCGACGAAGATGCTGTAGACTGCTCAATTCTCTGATCTGCAGACGCTGCGGCAGCAGTCGCAGGTTCGGGTGCTGCCTGCTCGCTGACGGAGGGCGAGCCGTCCAAGGAGACGCCGGCATCCTCGTCGAAAGTCGCGCTGCGCCGCTGCAGGCCCTCATGGCCATTCAGCGACCCGCCCTGCAGCGTCGCACCAACACCGTGCCAGCGAATCGACTCTGGCGATGTTTGATCCTCGGCGCCGTCCGAGTCGCGACGAGAGAAAGATGCGAAGCTCGGTAGGGTTGAGAAGGAAGGAGACACTTGTGAGGACTGCTGTGCTTCGAGACGCTGTAAACGTCCTTGCAGGTCGTACGGCTGCTGCAGTCGGGCCTCGGTGAGCTGCTGCTGCAGCGACCGGAGCTGCTGAGCATGCTGACGCTCCGTCTGCGCGTGCTCTCGGTCGGCTTGCAGCAGAAGAGCGGCAACTTGCGTGTCGAGCGCGGCTCGCTGTGAGAGAAGCGCGGCGGCTTGTGCTAGCGGCCGTTCGCTTGTCGTCACGCGCAGTGGAGGCGGTGCCATGCTTGGAAATTGCAGGCCGGAGAAGGGGCCTGCGGAGGACCCAGCCGAGGCAGTTGAGCGTGCCGAGGCAGGGAGTGCATGAGCAGAAGCCGTGGCGGTGGCGCTCGCCGGGACGGCGGGAGTAGCGGCGCTGGTGTTCGCGATCGGAGCTGATGGTGCTGGAGTCGCCTTCCTCTGTCTCTTCCTTTGCGCCGGAAAAGCTGGAGTCTGAGTCGTCGCAGACGAGCCGGACGGACCAGCAAGCGGCGTGGCCTGCCTCGAAGCGACAGCAGGGGTAGACGTGCGTGCAGCCTTCACGCCGTAGCGCTGCACGGCGTCACTTGAGTAGCGATTTATGTACATCTGTTGGCATTTGTGTCAGCCTAGCGACGAAGCGTGTGATTCTAGGCTGGTGACAGACCTCATGGAAGAGCTCGAACCAAGACTCCGCTCGCGTGGCCGCTCGACGCTCCTCCAGAAAAGTCATGCGTCGTGCGTCGGTCACGCTCAGAAGCTCAATCTCTTCGATCGTCAGCTCGCGACTGCTCATCTTTTCCGCCAGCTTGAGGTAGCGTGCAAAGAGGCAGCGGCTCAGCGCGTTGCCCGAAAGCCAGTACTTGCCGACTCGTGCGTGCAGGCTCTTCTCAGGCATCACGAGCTCTTTGTAGTCTTGATACTCCGGTAAGATCTGAGGAATAAGACGCCGTGCCGCGTCGCGATGCGATTCGTGCGAGCCGGTGCTACCGCCAGTGGCATCTACAGCCTGTGCGGCGTCTTTGCTACGCGGCATGAACTGAAAGCACAGCGACGGCTCGTTGTAGAACGCCTTGAGCACCAGCAGGTCGGCGGCGGGCGGCCAGTCGATGTCGTCCGCGCCCTTACGCTTCTTCGCAGACGACACCGTCGCCGGCCCCAGCGCAGCAGTCGATGTCTCGGATTGCACTTTGGGCGAGCCTGCTGCGCTCCGGCGTGTGTTTGCGTCGTCAGACGGGACGGCCACAGGGCGTAGAGGAGTGGAATGCAAGGGCGGCGCTATCACGCTCGATGAATCCGTGGCTGCATCGCTGCCGAACGCGCCGTTAGGAAGGAAGGAGGTCGCGGCGAGGACAGCAGCGCGAGTCGCATCATCGCTCAGCTTTGATAGCGAAGGAGCAGGCAGAGACGTCGTGGGAGCTGCTCGTGCGACGGGCTGGACCGACGAGTGATGCTGATCAAGCTGCGAGCCAGATGCGGACGCTTCGGCTTGAGGCATCGCGTGCTGACGTCCCGGCTGAGTCGAGCGCACAGCCAGCGCGTGCTCATCGAAGGACTCAGGCGGCTTGAGCCCGGCTTCGTTGCCGTCCACGGGTGTGCCGTCGACGGACGAATCGAGCGGCCACTGCGGCGCGTCTTCATCGCACATGTTGTCCATCGCGTCCGCGCTGGAATCAGAGTCAGGCCTGCTCATCACGAGCATTGTGCGACAAGAGCGACTCACAGACTGCCGCTTGGCGAGCGGATCCGAGATGAGTCTGCCGCAGCGCTCGAGCTGCCCTGTGCGTCTGCTGGCCCGCGCTGCACGCCGCCTGGCTTGGCGCGGCGCCAGAGTACCTCGCCGGAGCGAGTGACTTTGCTGCGCACCTTGCCGCGCAGCGCCCGCGCTGCAGATGCAGGCGGACGACAGAAGTAGGAAGGAACAGAGGAAGAAGAGCACTAAAGCGCAGGATGAAGTGATGATGTGCGCGAGCGGCGATGGTGGAGGTGAGGAAGGAAGAGCTCGTGACACCACGCCTCATGGCTATATCAGGAACCGTGCGCGGGTCGCGTCTCCCGCCTCCCGCCGAGCGCAGCGACCTCGCCGAGCGAGTGGCCCGCACCTCTGCGCTGCACTCAATGCCTTGCGAGCCAAGGGAAGTGCACAAGCTAGCTCGCTACGAGCGTAGTCTAGGAGAGCAGCCAGCTGATGTCTGAGCACGGCGTGTCGATCGGCAAGTCCCCTGAAGAGAGCTTCGCTCAAAGCGGCTTCGTGTGCTTTGCGCAGACCGGCTCCCAAGCATGGCGCTTGACCCCTCAATCAGCACTCGAAGCGAAAGCCTCGAGTATCGCAGTCTCATGCTCTGCGACTGCAACTGGCAATCGCGCATACTCAAGGGGCGACGACGGCTCACGCCTCACAAGCAGCACTCGCACTTCCTTTCCTTGCGCTGCCCTTCACTGCGGCCGCATCTTGCGAAAGTCTCTTCTGCCCATCGATTGCATGCCTGCAGCGTCGCCTCACAAACGCTCATGTTGGCACGAGCGTCTCTCGCACGAAGCGATGAGCAGGCTTCTTTCGCGAACCAACTCAAGACCAGTCAAGCTCCAAGCAAAGTGGCTCGCGACACATCGATTGCCACATCTCGCTTTTGCTCAGTAGACGTTGGGCCAAAGCCGCTGTCCCACTTTCTTCATGTACTCGAAATACGGCTGCGGCGCGAGAATAGGTGAATCAGCTCGTGCTCTGTGCTGTGCCTCTCTAGTCCCAGCAGCTCCGCTAGGCTCGGCACCGAATCTCTCGAGATCCGGCACTTTGCGCCGAGACTCAGAGCTCTGTGCCTCTGAGGACTCGGCGCTGTGCCCCGCTCGAGACTCGGTGCTGTGCGCGCCGCCAGACCCGACATCGTGCGCCTCACATCTCTCGACTCGGGCTGTACTCACCTTGCCCGTCGCCTCGTCCAGCAAGAACATCCTCTCCTCATCATCGCATCGCTTGCGAATGAGCAGGACAGTGCCGACCACCGCGGCGCCCACGACGCCCATGAGCGGCAGGCGGAAGAATTGAGGAACGCCAGGCCCGTAAGGACCAATTGCGAGAGAGATGCCGCTCATGCAGACGAGAATGGCGGTGTAGGACGGGTGCCGGACGTAGGCGTACGGACCGGTGTCGATGATCTGCAGAGGGAGTTAGCGCGCCAGCGCAGCGAGACAGCCATGCGCAGCGCAGGCTGGTGTGCACGTGAAGACACTCGAAACGGACGAGCACAGCGCGACCCACACCTGATGCGATCGTCCTTTCACTACGCGGATGTCCTCTAGCACTCGTCCTGCAGCAGCTCAACCCCTCCACTCTCCAAGCTTGGCGCACGACTCACCTTCTGTCCCTTCTGCACCTGCAGATCAAAGGTAAAGTAGTGTCCCAGCTCCTTGTACGTCCAGATCCTCCCCGCGCCGCCAATCATCGCCAGCATGCAGGCGAGGCGGAAGCGGCCTCTGTCGCCCGATGCGATCCATGCGTGCAGCGGCACGGCATGGAAGGTGAGGGCGCGGACGTGCCAGAGCGCTGCAAGGGCGAGAAAGACGTGCACGAGGCGCTCGATCTTTGTGAGGCCGAGCGAGGAGATGAAGTCGTTGGGCTTGGCGCTGCTCTTGCCGGAGGAGGAGGGTGCATCCTCCACCTTCTCCTTGGCGGGCAGGTGCGGCTTGGTGGTGCCGGCGATGGCGGCGTACGTGGCGCCGCCAAGACACGCCAGGTCCAGCGAGAGGTTGAGCAGAGCCAGCAGGCCTGAGAGATCCATGATGCGCGGCAGACGACGGTGGTGGTGAGAAGCAGCGCACTAACGCTGGCAATCGCGATTGCCTCTGGGCCGCTTTCAGAGCCCGCTCGCGGCCGAGCGGCCGAATGCACGCGAGGTCCGTGCGTTGTGCCGCCTCGCGTGGCGTGCCGGCGCTGGCGTCACCTCGAGGGTCCATCTTCCTCTCCTCATCCTCCCTCCCCTCTCTCTTATTCGGCCGCCTCACACACGCTGCACGTCACGTCCGTGCAGCAGAGGCATGCAAAGCGTGCGTGCCAGGCTGCTGCTGAGCGTCTGCCTGTGCCGAAGCTGACCTCTCCTCGCCCCGCCAGCTGCTCCGCGCCTCTCCTCGTCTGGCGCTGCGTTCCCGCCTCGTCCTGCGCACTTCGCCGCGCTGCTACTCCGCCATCGCTCCTGCTCCCTCAGCTGCTCCCTCCACTGCCCCTCCGCCCACCTCTCGCGCCGCTGCCATGCCGCACCACGCCGGCCCCCACATCTCGCCGTTCCCGACCGACGGTCTGCTGCCGAAGCAGACGTCGCAGGCGTCGGCCTTTCTGGAGAAATACCCAGAGTACGATGGACGCAACGTGCGCGTTGCGATTCTGGACACGGGCGTAGACCCGGCTGCAAAGGGCCTGGACGGGAAGGGCAAGGTGGTCGAGGTCATTGACTGCAGTGAGTGCGCGAGAGAAGAAAGGGAGAGCGGAGCTGTGCTGATGATGAAGCAGCGGGGAGCGGTGACGTGTATCTCACCAACGTGGAGCCGCTCAAGGAAGCGCCGAGCGGGACTGTGGCGCTCAAGTCTCCTCGTACCGGGCGTACTCTGGTGCGTAGGTCTGCCCTGCCGCGTTTGGTCCCTCTCTCACTGCTGGGCCCTTCCCTCGCCAGCTGCTCGCTTCCTCGCTCAAGAACCCGTCGGGCAAGTGGAAGATGGGCACGCAGGCCGCGTACGCGCTCTGGCCGCGCGATCTCGTAGCGCGCCGCAAGGCAGAGCGGAAGAAGGAGAGCGATGTGGAAGCTGCGAGACTCGGGGCGCTGGTGCAGCAGGCCGTCTTTGAGGCGGAGCATGGCAAGAAGCCTGTGCCGGAGAAGGCAGAGGCGAAGGAGGGAGACGCGAAGAAGAAGGGCGCGGACGATGTGGACGCTGCAAAGAAGCAGAAGGATGAAGAGGCGCAGAAGCGGGCTCAGCGCACGGAGGAGCTCAAGGCACAGCTCAGCGCGTTCAAGGAGATGGCTGGCTCGTTTGAGGATGCCGGGCCGATCGTCGAGGTCGTCGTGAGTCGCCTCGCCCCTGCCTTCTCTCACTCTACTCACACTTCGGCAGGCATGGTTCGACGGCTCTCACTGGCGTGCCATCGTCTTCGGCGGCGAAGGCGAGCTGCACGACCCTACGCTCGGCATGCCCAAGGAGCGCCTGGAGCCGCTGGGCGAGCAGACCATCGACCTGACGCATCGCCGTCCCATGGCCGACTACAACCTGGAGCACCACTGGGAGGCGTTCGGAGAGAAGGACTTGATGACGTTCAACGTCAACTTCCTGCATGCCACAAGCGACAAGACGGCGGAGGTGGAGGCGGTCAGCATGTGAGTGTCGCAGTGGCGTGCTGATTGATGCAGAGCTCATGCGTCGAGCGCAGCGTCTGCAACTCGGGCTCGCACGCGACGCACGTGGCGGGCATCGTCTCTGCAGACCGCAAGGATGACCCTTCGCAGAACGGCGTCGCGCCGGGCTGCCAGATCGTCTCGTGAGCATCGCCAGGCGTGACCGTCTTTTCACCGCACCAAACTCATTCTCTGCTAGCCTCTGCATCGGCGATGGTCGGCTCGGCTCCATGGAGACGCAGCAGGCGCTGCTTCGTGCTGCACGTGCCATCATCGACACGGGCTGCGACGTCGCCAACATGAGCTTTGGCGAGTCGGGCGCCTGGGGAGCAGACAACAAGGGCGCGTTCGCCGAGCAGCTGCGTGACATTGTCATTCGCGAGCGCGACGGTGAGCTGCTGCAAGCACAGCACACCCTGCGCCACGCTGAAACCCCAGCGACAGTCCTCTTCGTCTCCTCCGCCGGTAACTCCGGCCCCGCGCTCTCGACGCTTGGTCAGCCTGCGGGCACGACGACGGGCGTCCTCACCGTCGGCGCGTACGTCGACGCGGGACACATGCAGCAGGCACAGTATGCACTCGTGGAGGAGGGCATCAAGAGCAGCACGACGACGTGGTGCTCTCGCGGCCCCACATTTGACGGCGCAAAGGGCGTCGACATCTACTCGCCCGGCGCGGCAGTGACGTCGATTCCGAGGTATTGCCTGCAGGTGAGTCTACTCGGGCGTGCTGCTTGAGCACCGCTGACATGCATCTTGCCGCTGCAGACGACGATGCTGTGAGAAGCGCGTTCATGTCCCTCGCGCCTCATCTGCTGAACCATTCGCTCCTTTCCCAGCGCGAACGGCACGAGCATGTCGTCGCCGCACGCCGCAGGCTGCGTGGCGCTGCTTGTCAGCGGCATGAAGGCCAAGGGCATTCCCGTGACGCCTGCGCGTGTGTTCAAGGCGATTCGCGCAACTGCCAAGGACGTCAAGGACCCGCAGGGCGTGGTGAGTCTGCTCGTGCGCAGCACTTCGACTGCAGCTAATCTCCTCTTCGCAGGGCTTCTTCCGCGTGGCAGACGCCTTTGACTACATCGTCAAGCACGCCGACCGCGCCGACGCCGACGCCGAGTGGCGCATCTCCGTCACGCCAGCTGGCAAGCCTCCGGGTCGTGCCGGCACGGACCAGCGCGGCATCTACCTGCGAAAGAACGGCACGCATGCGCTCAACCAATTCACCGTCACGGCGCAGCCGACGTTCAAGCAAAACGAGACGGAGCGTGCGCAGACGCTGCAGATCGGCTGCTCGCTGTCTACCACGGCGTCGTGGGTCAGCGCGCCGGAGTTTGTGTGGCTCGGATCCAAGGGCAGAGGCTTTGAGGTGCGCGTGGACACCACAGGCCTGGCGCCCGGTCTGCACGTCGCTGCCGTCGAGGGCTACGACTCGGAGAGCGGCCTCAAGCTCTTCGAATGCCCCGTGACGATCGCCAAGCCGACGCCTCCCGCGCCCACGGTCCACTTCGAGCGCGTGCGGCTGGACCACGGCAAGGTCGAGCGGCGCTTCGTCAGCGTGCCCATCGGCGCGACCTGGGCCGAGATGCGCTTCCGCTCCAGCAACCACGAAAAGGCCGGCACGTCTGTGCGCTTCTGGAACCACTCGGTGCAGATGCTGCCGCATGCGCGCCTCAACGAGGTCGAGAAGGCCTTCGTCATGGCGCTCAACGAGAACGAGCCGGTCACCAAGAAGGTCAGCGTTACCGGCGGCGTGCCGATGGAGCTGTGCCTCGCGCAGTTCTGGGCCAGCGCGGCTGGCTTTGACCTCGAGGTCACGATCGATTGGCATGGCATCTCGTTCGCTACCCCGGTGCGCGGACGCGACGAGACGACGCTGATTGGCGGCGAAGGTATCGCTCGTATCGAGTGCACCTCGCATGTCCGCATCGAGGCATTCTCGCCTGCCATCTCTCTCGAGCAGCGCCGCTCTTTCGCACGGCCCACGACTTCCGAGCTGCGTCCTCTCACCTCGCCGCGCGACGCTCTGCCCGACGGCAGTACGCTCTGCGAGCTCGTCCTGACCTACCCTCTCGAGATCAAGGAGGACTCTGCGAGCATTAAGTATGGCCTGCCGCTGTCCAACCATCTCTACGACAGCGCGGTGCCTCAGCTCTCGGCCATCTTTGACGCGCACAAGCGGCGCGTGCACTTCAGCGACGTGTACAGCGACGCCAAGGCGATTGACCTCAGCAAGGGCTCGTACACCGTGCGCGTCGAGCTGCTGGCTGCCATGCCGGTGCTGGAGAAGCTGCGCCACATGTCGCTCCGTGTCGATACGAAGCTGGCGAAGCCGGTCTCGCTTGACGTCTACGAGGACCATGTGGACCAGTACGGCGCGGCCAAGCCGGCCAAGTTCGCCGGCGTCAAGCTGCTGCAGGGCGAGACGAAGGTGTTGTGCCTCGACACGAACATCGAGGGCGATGCGCTGCCCAAGGGTGTCGAGGCAGGCGACGTCCTTGTCGGCACGATGACGGCGTCGGGCAACGAGGCAAAGGGACAGCTCAGACTCGTGGTGCCGCCGGCCATCATCAAGCCAAAGCCGGACGAGGGCGCGTCGGGAGAGACACCGCCGACGGTGGCGGAGCTCATGACCGGCCTCGTGCAGAAGGTGCCCGAGAAGGAGCGCGACGCGTACATTGACCGACTGCTCAAGGAGTAGTGAGTGACCAGCGAAGCAAGAGAAGGGATGACGACAAGCTGCGGTGAGGCGTAGTGCTGACGCTTGCTCTTCCTCGCAGCCCGGATGACCTCGGCGTGTTGGTTGCTCGCCTCAACGCAACGAAGCCGGACGACGCCGCCGACGCCTCCAAGGTCCTCTCGGCGGCGCAAGCGATCCTCGACATCGTCGATGAGCAGTCTGTTCTGCTCTTCGCCGGCGCCAAGAAGCTCCCCTCCACCGAGCAGTCTGCCGCAGAAAAGCAGCACGACGCGCAGCAGAAGAAGCGTCGCGATGCCTACGTCCTGGCGCTCAACCGACGTGCGCGTGCACTGCTAGCGCGCGACGAGGGCAAGGCGTCGCCCGACTTCGAGAGCACCTTTGAGCGCTACAGACGCGTGGCGGACGCCAGCGACAAGGAGTTTGCGACGGTGTACGTGCGCTGGGCCATTCAGCACGAGCGCTACGGCACGGCTCTCGTGCAGGTGCGCAAGGCGCTCAAAGAGCTGGGCAACGGCGCGGCCAGTGCGGCGGACGAGGTGCGCAAGCTGAGAGCGCTGGAGCGGTGAGTGTGCTGGACCCCCCCCCCCCCGTTTTTGGCTTATGCCGCGCTGTGTTCCGTCTGCTGACGCTCGATACTCCTGGCAGCGAGCTGGCAGGCGAGAAGCTCGGCTGGCACTGCCTGGCCGCTAACGCGGACCGCGCGAGGGTGTTCGAGTCGGCGGCGGGATACATGCCCTTCTAGGCCCTGCCCTTTACATCACCTCGAGCGCCTCGGCAAGGCAGGGCTCGAGCGAGACAGCGTAATCACAATCCCATTATCCGTCTCCCTTGCCCTCTGCCCGCAACATCTTCGCTCCCTCATCCAATGCAGCACTTGCGTCGATCCTCACTTCTCCTCCTCCTCGCGAATCGTGCGGCGCTCGTAGAGCCACTCGTAGTCCTCCTTGCTGCGCTCGATGGTCTCGAGCACGTCTTGTGGCAGGTCGGCCTTCTTGGCCTTCGAGCCGGTCTCGTCGTCCTTCTTGAAGCCCGTTGATTGCTCTGCCTGGAAAGCACGAAGGAGGAAAAGAGTGGAAGCGTGTGAGCCAAGAGCGGGGCGAAGCGAAAGCGGTGTCACGCTCGCGGAGCGTGGCAAAGGTGAAGCCTGAACCCGCCCAGTCTCTCCGCATCGGCCCTCCTTCCGTCTCAGCGCTCGCACTCACCGCTGCATGGAAAGTGCCCCAGCTCGAGAACTCGGGCACGCTCTTCTTCTCCCAGCTGAGCATGCCCTCGTCGAACGGGAAGCCCACGGCTTCGCAGTACAGGCGAATCGTGCGTTCCGGATTGGCGAGCAGCACGCTGGCATCGACGAGCGGCGGCGGCTGTGGTTGAGACTGCACCTTGCCGGGCAGAGAAGAGGCGGAGGGAGAGGGTGGCGCAGTGTGGAAAGTGGACTCTGGGTTCGAAAGCCATTGGTAGAGAATGCGCAGCTCGCTGCGCAGGGCGGGATTAGAGAAGAAGGTCGGGCTCAAGAGGAGGATCACTCACGCATAGCCGGCCTCGGCGCCATCAAAGTACTCGAAGCCCGCCGCCTTATCCTGGACGCATCTATCGGCGTAAGGTCAGCCACTGCGCTGCTTTCACACCTGTCTTGCCCCTTCTCGCCTCACTTGTAGTAGCTTGGCACGCTCTTCTCCGGCGTGCGCACTAGAAACGTATGCTTGAAGCGCCGGAGCAAGTCCGTCGGCACCACGGTGGGGTTCTCGAGCGTGTGGCGGTAGTCGACGCCGGCCTGCTCGGCCGAGGGCGTGCGGTACACTTTCGAGTCGGGGTGCAGCGCCGAGAGGACTTCGCCGGAGAAGAGATATTGCGCCATGTCCTGGAGGCAGCATCAGCAGATGGAAGGCGAGCAACGTTGTGCGCACAGAGCGGCCCCACGCTGGGTTGCTGCATTGGAGCCTCTCACACGCCCATCAGCGCCTCGCTGGCGCTCATGCCCTCCGGCCCTCCACGCTTGCCCCTCCCTCCTGCTCCTCTCCACACGCACCTTGGCGAAGATGTACTTTGCGCCCTCCGTCTTCGCCGTGCCCTTGTTGTACACGTCGGGGTTGAGCATGTCGCGCAGCGTCTGCTCGACGGTCTCGTGGTCCTGGCCGCTGGCCTGGCACGCGGCCTCGTCGTAGCGCTGGCAGGCGCGCTGCGGGCCGTAGTAGTAGCCGCCGGCCGTCGGCTCGTGGAAGCAGCGCGTGGACTGGGACTGCATGAATGCTCGCTGTTGCGAGGCGGAGCCGGGCAGGGCGGAAGCAGTGAGCAAATGCAGCGGCAAAGGCACGCTCGGAGTGGAGAACGACGCACCTCAAAGGCAGTGGAGCAGCTGCGCGGGCAGCACCAGACGATGACGGGCATCGGCTGCTCGCCGTCGCCGTTGGCAGTGGACGTGGACATGTTGATAGTGTGGTGACGTGGGTAGAATGAGTGAGGTGCGTTGCGGTAGTAGCGATGGGGTGGTCGAGAGGCAAGCGCGGCTCGGCTCGAGAGCTTGAGGAAGGAGGGGTGGAGAGAGTTGAGCCGTGCATGAGCCGGATCGGCGCTGCAGCTCGGGAAACGTGGGCCCTGAGCCGGCGGCTGTTCCTGTCCAAGACGCCGGAGTAACGCAAAGTGCTGACGTCTTCCCGCCCTCCTTCTGCCGCATTCACAGCGTCACTGTAGCAGCGTCGACGAGGCGTCGTTCGGGCGACCCAAGGTCTCGATAGCGGCAAAGGCGATCTGAATGCGGACCGCCTCGCGCGCGAGCCGGAGCACCGGCACGGGCTCGCTGCATCCGACGTTGCGTTCGAGGTGGAGCATGGCGGCGTGGGAGCGGAGTTTCGCGGCCAGGGCTCGGCGTGCAGCAAGACTCGCGATGTGCCGGAGCGGAGCACAGCATTTCAGTGCGACAGCACGCCTTGCCGCGGCTCAACTCGCGCGCGACCCTGCAGCGCGAAGCGTCTCCCTTGCTTTTGCGCTCGAGATTCGCGCGAGGACGGGTCTCGTGATGGGCTCGAACGGAAGGCTGTGAGCTGCACGATATGCTGAGGCTCTCGCTCAACGTTGGCGAGTCGACTGATAGGAGCAAAGAGCATGGCTGGATGGCCAGCTGGCTCGAGAGAGGATCCGGCGCAGCAGGCATCGAGGCGGTCCATGCACGTCGCTCGCTTTATCCAAAGCCCCTCCGCTCTCCACGCCCTTCGTCTTTGAGCATGGCCACGCTTCTGTTCCAGCATCTACACCTTCCATGATGCCTCGCTTGTCGAGCGTCAAGAAGTCAAGGATGAAGGAGGCTGCGGTGAAACAACAGATCCGATTCTCCCTCGCCCGTCCTCGCAGTCGCCCTTCTCGCTCTAGCCCTCCCTCTCTCCATCCCATCACTGTCCCCCGTCGCCGTTTCCTCGCGCGTGTGCAACGTTCTGCAACGCCTTCTACAGACCCTTGTCGTAGTTGCCCTGTCTGTCAACGCGATGCGAGTGTCGTCAGCCATCTGCTTCTTGCTCCCTATATTCACTTCCAGCTCAATCCTCTCTTCTGGCCCGTCTTTCCCCGGTGGAGAACTCACGCATAGAAGCCCTGCAGCTGCGACACAATCTTCTCCAGCGCGTTCAGCCATGCCTCGAGCTCGCTCTCTACTCGCTCCGGCGGAGAGCCAAGCTTCTCGTAGAAGTCCTTGCGCCACGGACAGGCCTTCATTGCCAGCTGCGGGAGGTGAAGGCGAGTCAGCGTGAGAAGCAGATGGCTGAGGGTTCCAGGGCGTGGAGAGCGAGCTGGCAGAGTACGATCTGGCTGGAGCGCCAAAACCAGACGCTGCAAGCATCATGGGCAGCGCGAGGACGCGCGTGACCCTTCGCTCCTCACGTCCTACGATCCACTCTTCCATCATCCATCACCGCTCATCCGTGCCAGCGCGCTAGGACCCGATCGTGCCCCCGACGCGTCTCGTCGCTCTGCCCCTCCAACTCTCTGCCTCTCGCTCTCTCTCTCCATCCCGCAGCGCGCGGCAAAACTCACTCCGAATGCACCCTTGACGACAAAGTTGTGATACTTGCGCAGCGTGCCCTCGTATGCCTTGGTGAACGACACCGTCAGCTCCTCGCTCTTGTCCGTTTGCGAGCGACGCAGCGCTTGGGCTGTGAAGTCCAGGCCGCTGCGAGTGGCGAGAGCGAGAAACGCGTAAGCGTGGAGCGTGCGACGACACGAGACAGATGGACGGTCGTGATCTGCGCACGGATTGCGACTTGCCCTTGCCTGCGCCAAACACATGTGGACCCTATGATGTGCTTCCAGAGCTAGGTCTCCGTGCGCGGGGCTCCTGCGGGCCAGATCTGCCTCGGAGATTGTGCGCCTCGCCTCCTCGCATACCCCAGCTTGCTATCTTGCCATCCGCCGTCTTCCCCCCCCCCCCCCCCCTCCTCTACCCCCGCGCGCCTCAACAACTCACCGAAGCAGCCACATCAACCCCTCGGTCGCCACACGCTTCTTCTCGCCCGGCTTGCCCTCGTTGGCCACGAGGCGCTCGAGCGTGTTGCTCTCCATCGGCGAGGCCAGGAGACGGTCTCTGATCTTCTGAGCACGGCGAAGACGCAGAGGCGAGACGCGCGGAGTGGAGAGACGAGAGAGCGTAGGGAGCGCGTCAGCTCAAGCGGAAGAGCGCATGCAGGTGCGCGACAAGAGCGCGCCGAGAAGGTTGCCTTGCCGCATGGCAATCATGCAGCAGCGTGCTGTGCGCTCGGTAGCCATCATGCTGCGAGCGTGCACCCGACTATCGTGCTGAGCCTGCGCTTCCCGACTCGCGAGCGACGACGCCGCGTCTGCTGTGCTCGCCCTCTCTACGTCTGGCCCCCGCGCCCAGCCTCGTCACGTCGGCCCTGCCGATGGCCCATGCACCCTGCATCTCTCGCCTGATCGCGACGCACCTTGACGTTCCCGCGCATGTCGTTCTGCACAATGGCAAACGCCGAGCTGCCGAGCAGGTCGAAGAGCTTGACGAGGCCCTCGGTGGCCTCGAGGAAGGCCGACGTGTCGACGCCCTCGTCGGTGAGGGGCACGTCGGCATAGGACTGATGCCGCGCAGAAGGGTCAGCGGTGGAAGAGGCGGAATGCAAGAAAGGAGACGCACCTTCTTGACGGTGTCGAAGTAGGTCGTCATGATGCCTGCGCTCCGTTCTTGTTGCGTGAATGTGGTGATGAGGCAAGGTGCGAGGCGGCGCGAGGGGCGGGAAGCGAAGCGCGAAAGGGGCTCGTGCGCGCAGCGTGCGCTTCTGTTGCTCCCGCGCCGCCACCGCCACGCGCCAGCACGCCGCGCGCGCCTGGACCGCCTCATCAGCGCGTCTGCTCGCGCAAGACAGCTCTGCGCGGCGTTTGGATGCAGCACGAGCATCTCGGCATCAGCTTGTGCAGAGCGCGCAAGAGCAGCCGAGGCTCGGGCCTGGCATGCGCCAAGCTGAAGCGCTGTTGGCTGCCCGTCCCCGCACTCAGCCCCGCGGCGGCGTCACGTGCGCGGCGTCCATAGCATGTCCCACGCTGCTCGCTCGCTCTCGGGCCGGCGTCGAGCGACATGCGACGGACGTGCGCGCCGGCGCCGTCTTTGCCTCCTCCCCTCCATCTCTCCCACCTGCAGCACCCGCACGCACACTCACCATGCCGCCCGTCGTGCAGCAGCCCGGCGCGCCTCAGCAGACGCTGTTCCAGAAGCGTGCGTTGGCCTGCCCTGTCCCTCTCTCTCTCTCTCTCTCTCTCTCTCTCTCTCCTGCTGACGCTTGTGCTGGCAGTGTCGATGGGCGCAGCAATGGGCACCGGCGTGGGCCTCTGCATCGGCTTCATTGGCGGCGCCTTCCAGATCCTGCGGTGAGTGCAGCAGCGAGCAGGATGGCAGTGAGGAGCGGCGTTGACACGCTTGCTCTCTACCTCCTCTTCTCGCGACGTTCTGCATCTCGTCGCTCGCTCTCGCCTCCTCTCTCTCTATCCTCGCTCGACGCCTCTCTACTCTCTCACGCGCCTCTCTGCTCTTCTCACTCTCGCCCTCGCGCTCTTCGCTACACCCTCGTCATCGCTCGCTGCGCTCCCATCGGGAACAGCGCCGGTCCAGGCCCGCGCGGCACCCTGGCGACGCTGGGACAGTTTATGGGCACGAGTGCTGCCACGTTTGGGTGAGTTCGCATGCCGGCTGCATGAAGGACGGGTCAACCTGGAAGGGTTAGGAGTGAAGAGGGAGGAAGAAGGCGCGATCGGGCGGTAGGGCGGTGAAGCAAGAGAGCGCTGCAGAGGAGCAGAGAGGTGCAGGCATGGAGCGGCATGGCCAGTGGCTCTGAGCACAGGCACAGAGTAGTCGTGTCAAGAGCTGCGAGGACAGATAAGCAGACCACGCAGCTTGGGCCGAACATGACTCGCCCGTCGAGCGCTGTGCCAAGCAGCCCATGTGCGGCATGGAGAGCTGCATCAGGGAGCACAGGGGGCATGCTCTCTCGATGCTGGGAGCGAGACTGCAGACATGAGAGGAGAGAGCGCCAGGCTGCATCCCGACGGGCAGGGACAAGCCTAGGTGATATGCCAGCCCATAGCGTCGAGCCATCGCTTGGGCTCGTGTCTTGAGCTCGTCGCTGCCCGGCCTTGCACAGCACATCTTGCGCTTCTATCGGAGCGTCATGCGGGCGACTTCTTCTCCCTTCGTCGCTTCGGCACCTCGCTCGTCACTGATTCCCCCGCATCCAGCTTCTTCATGTCAATCGGCACAGTGATCCGCACCGACTCTTCACATGCGCTCGAGGCACGGGCATACACCGCAGCGTCGCGGCCTATGCTGTTGCGTCCGGAGGTGAGGGCGCATCTGCGGCGGAGGGAGGAGGAGTGAAGGGGTGCGCATGCGCGTGAAGGAGGGAGAAGAGGAATGGCATTGAGGTCTTCTCTTTCAGTTTGCGCGGCGGCGGGGTGAGTGAGCTGGAGAGGAGATACGGGCACTGAGGAATGGCAGAGCGATGAGCGCTACACTCGCGGCAAAGAGCGCTCGTTGCTCGCTAGCAGTGCGCGCAATGAGTGTATTGGTCTGCCGTGAACGGGGGCAGCGGGCACGGGACCGTTGTGTGGTGTGGATGTGTGGGACTAGCGAGACGAGATGGTAAGTGAAGATGCTGGTGACGAGATGAGGAGGGGAGGCAATGAACGTGTATGAGGAGGCGAGGTCGCGATGCGGAGCAGTGTCAAGTTGGTAGCGCCGCGAGGCCCTTGAGGCTGCGAAATGCGCTGAGCAGCGCCTTAGAGCAGCGCAGCGACAGCCAGGCAGACAGCGAGAGCAGCGACGCCGGCACTCGAGGCGCTGAATGCCGATGCAGCGTTTGTGCCGCTCTGCGTCGCGCTGGGCGCCGAGCCGCTCGACGAGCGACTCGAGGCACCTCCGCTGCTGCTTCCCGCCGCCGTCGAGCTCGACGCCGGCGCAGCGCTTCCGCTTCCGCTCGAGCTCGGCGCCGCAGCTCCCGGTGCAGTCGCAGCCGTCGGCGCGTACGTGTTCGTCTCGCCGCTGCCCTGACCGAACACGGTGGACGTCGGTGCGCCCGAGATGGGAGACGTAGCGAATGCGACGTTCTGAGGCGTGCTGCTGTTGCTCGTGATGAGAATGACGTCGGTGTAGGATTGGATCGCTGCGTTGTCCACAGACGATGCGCGCATCGTGTCTGCGCATCACCGTCAGCCGCAGCATCGGCGCAGAGAAGCAAAGGACTACGCACAGTTTCCCTCCCATCCACTCGGCACGATGAACGAGAAGCGTCCGCACGTCTTGCCGTCGACGACGACGCCGATGCCGTAGCCCGAGTCGCAGTAGCCGTTCTGCGACGTGCCCGGCACAGTGGCGATGTGGTGTGCGAGCGTGGAGCCGGCGTCGGACATGAGGTCCAGCGCCACATCGCCCGATGGCGGGTTGAGCCAGTTGGCGGTGAGAGAAGATCCAGCCTGGAGAGGGTGTGAGCATGGGTCGAAGAGACGGAGTGCGACAAGGAACATCAAGATGCGCCCCAAGCGGCGATTGAGAATCACGTTGCCATGCGGCATGCTGCTTTTGTCTAAGACTCTCGCCGCGCCACTTGTGCCGCCATCGCCTGCTTCATCCCTTCCGACGGAGCTCCTTCTTGTGCTCCCTCAGTCTGCTCGGCCTGCTTTGGCCCTGTCCGCTCCACCGCCCCCTAGCCAACGCTCCTGGCATGGTTGCAGGCGCAGAGTCGAGCAGCACGCACGGGCCTCTACGTCTCAAGCCGAGGCCGATGCGTCTCCTCTTGCGCCTCCCACTGGCGTGCTTTGCCGCCTCCGGATCCTTGTTACCATCTTCACCTGGAGTGCGCCTCATCGCCGCTGCCGCTGGATGCGTGCGAACTGGCGTCACTCCACTCTCTTGCACCGCTTCCCTCGCCTCGCCGGGGCGCCCCGCTCTTCCAGATGTCGCGACACGTCGCCCCACTCACCTGCACCGTCACGGCACACTGATAGAAGTCGCATGCCGGCTCGTTGAGATACAGCGGCTGTGTATGCGAGGCGATCTGCTGTCAGTCTTCTGCTTGCTGCCTTACCTCCCTTGCGCTGCGGCGGCGCGAAAAGCAACGCACCGAGGCAGTGTCCTGCGTCTGACGCGGCTTGAGCGCCTGCGCAACACGGTCGGGCACGAGCGCGGCTTGTGCGGCTGACGCGCCGACGGCGAGGAGAAGGAGAGAGGAGCGCATGGCGGAGCGGCTGCTGCTGCTGAAGGAGAAGAGGGAGACGCGAAGGGTGGTGGTGGTGAGAAGACAAGCCCCTCTCTCTCCTGCGGCGAGGATTGGTCAGAGTGAGGCCCCTCGAGCCACTCCACCTCGAGGCGCAACTCCGCAGCCGCCGGCATCCCGACGCCGCCGCCGGCACGCCGCGGCTCGAGCGGCGCGCGTTTGCAATTTCAGCCGCGTGGGGTGAGCTTCTCGAACGAGCCCTTTGGCGCTCTCGGCCGCTCAGCGAGGAGCCGCGCCGAGCCGCACTCCTGCGCCCTTTTCCTCTCGCTCTTCGGCGCAAGAAAGGGGCCGTGCCTCACGGCGCTCGAAGGTGGCTTGACGAGGGGCAACTCGAGGCGCGCGGCGGTGAGAAGGAGCTTCGGCGCGCAGCGTGCATGATGCTCCCGCGCGAGAAGCTTTACGCGTGTCGCGTGCTCTCTACGCGCTCGAAGGCCGTGCACCTTTCCTTCCTTCACCTCTTCTCTCGCGCCATGTGCAAGCACATCCTCAACGCCCAAGTCTCCATCCGCGCTCCGTGCTGTCGGAAATTCTTCGATTGCCCACAATGCCACGCTGAGAGTTCGGCGAAGGAAGACGGGCACCAGCTGCGCCCGACGACGGAGCTGGCCATGCTCTGCAAGAAGTGCAGACGCGCATTCCGCGTGGATCTGGAGCGCGCCGAGGAGGCGGACAACTACTGTCCGCATTGCGATAACTGCTATGTGAGTGGGCAAGCGGAGAGCGAGAGAGCGAGAGAGGAGGAAAGAGAAGGGGTAAGGGGCAGAGGCAAGAGCAGGGCGAGCGAGTGTTGAAGAAGGCGCTGTAGGACGCTAGCGCCCAGGCAGACAGCAGAGGCGGCGAGGCTTGACGCAGGAGTGAGGCGGCGTAGCTATGAGGCTGCAGCGTCGACAAGGGGTCTGGGCGGAGAAAGCTGGGCTGAGGAGCAGGCTGGACGAAGCGAGAATGTCGCCAGGGAGTGGAGGTGCACTCAGACGCTACCTGAGCGCAAGAGCAGGACACTTTGCTTCGCGCAGAGCCGTGGTGCTCGCAAGCGTGTTCGAGTCGCACTTGAGGCGGGAGCTGGCATCGTCTCTGCGCTCGCGCGGCCCGTCATGCATGGCTTCCTCGGCGATGACTGCTCAGGTGCTGCCGAGCAGCGGACGCGGGCAGTCGGCTGCGACAGTGAGCGCTCTCGACCGGAGCTCTGCGCATAAACCACGCGGCGCTGTGCCGCTCTCGGCTCGAAGCTGGTCTCTGCGCAGCTCAGATGCGACATCACGCCAAGAGCTGCCGAGCTCTTTGCGCTGGAAAGGGAGGCCTCGATGGACTGCGCGTCGCTCGCCGCTCCTTCTCAATGGCTGTCTGACTGAGCCTCTTGGCGATTGCAGGTGATCGAAGCAAAGACTCCGGCGCCAATGCTGGGTATTGAAGGAGAAGACGCAAGGATGGACAATCGGTGAGTGTCTTGTGTCTCAGTCCCTCTCTCCTCCGTTCCGCTTCGTCTCTTCCGTCTCGCGGCCCTGTCGCGCTCGCAGCCTCGCTCACATCGCTCTCGCAGCATGCTGAAAGACGACCGCCTCTACGACCCGCGCCGCGACTTCCACGCGCGCGAAAAGGCCGCGCAGGAGTCGGAGCGGCTGGACGCGGGCGGCGTGGCTGCGGCGCTGCAGCAGCGCGCGCGGGAAGTGGGGAGGCCGAACATTGAGGGACTGGATGGTGCGGGAGGCGGAGTGGAGGGAGGCGTGGTGAATGACGAGGAGCTCGATTGGAGCATGTAGAAAGATAAGAGAGGAAGCGAAATGATACCCCGATGTTGCAGCATTTGACGCGAGCAGCGCGAGCAGGATGGCGTTGAGGGAGAGCCCCGCACCTCGAGCTGGCCGGCCACGCTGTCTCGCTGTAAGCTGGCGTTGGCAAAGTGTGCAGCAGACAAGCACCTGACGAGCCGGCAGAGCATGCGCAGAAGCACCGCCTGTCATTTCCGCGATGTTCCGCCCCGTGGCTGGGCGCGCGGCGGGCGCACGTCGCATCGCCGCTCTCGGCGCCGGCTCTCGGCGTGCCTGCCGCTCCCACACCACCACCACCACCACCACCACACCTCTTCCCCCACACATCTCGCCCACCATGGCCTCCAAAGTCCGCCAGACGTTCCGCCAGACGTTCATGAAGAACTGGTGCGTGGCGCAGCGCGATGCAGCGGGCGTGCTGAAGGGCAGAACGCGGACAGCGTAGAGCGCAGAGCGCAGAGGGCCGAGCGGCGAGCGGGCGGCGACGGCGACTGGCGGGCAGCAGGTGCGATGGCGCAAGCGACGACAGGTGTGCGCTACGAGGCACATGTGTCGACCCTGCCTCTGGAGCATCGTAGCTGTGCCTTGCGCGCCGCCGCACCGCCTCTGAGCAGCGACGCACCAGCGTCTCTTGGCACGCCCTGCTTGCCTTGACTGTGCAATAGCGATAGGGCGATGGCGACGCCCGAGCCGTGTGGCGACCAAGGTCTCTTGCCTGTGCAGGCGATTCTCGACGACACCGAGCAGGTCCATCTTCTCTCTCAACTCCCCTCTGACCTCGCCTCGCTTCTTCGCCCTACTAGGTACTCGCCCGAGGTGCTGCCCATTGTCGCCGTCACGGGCGTGGCAGCCGTCGGTGCCGGCTGGTACATCTCGCGCCTCGCACGCGGCCCGGATGTGGTGTGGGACCGCAAGAACAACCCGCAGCCCTGGAACGTGAGTGTGCAGGCGTGGCGATGGAGCGGCGCCGTGATGTGCAAAGGCGCGCAATGAAACGGTGATTGCGTGTCACGCCATGTGTGCTGATCCCTTCTCCCTCGCTCCGCAGAACGGTACGCAGCTTGAGCTCAGCAACGCGCCGAAAGGCGGCGGTGCGCAGTGTACTGACCGCTCTTCACTCGCAGTCACGCCGGGCACCAACACCAAGATGATGTCGGTCAACGTGAGTTTGCCTGCGCCTTTCGTCCCTCACATCCCTGCTAATCCTTCTTGCACGTCCACAGCAAGAGTTCGGTAAGCCGTTGCCTTCGCGCTCTCGCGCCGCTTGAGCGCATTGCTGATGTGAATTGTGCTCTCCCTCGCAGAGCGCAAGTACAAGCGCGACCGTCTCTAAGCCATTCGCCGGCGACGACCACGCTTTGGCTCATCGATCGTCCGAGTCGAGGAGATGGGGAACTGCGTTTGAATGAGGAGATGGGAGGGCCGCTTGCGCGCACCACATGCGGCGTGGGGAATGGCATCGCGTCTCTTTGCTGCTGCCTGCGCGGGTGAGAAAGACGGAGGGAGGACTCAGGCGAGTGCGGTCGGCTTGGAAGGAGAAGGATGCTGGAGAGTGGATTGGGCCATGGTCGTCGCCAGGACAGAAGGACAGAAGAGCGGCGCGTGCTGTGAAGATGGAGGAGCGCTGCACGGAGAGACAGCGGGATGTTGCCCTGACTCGCGCCGGCCATCTTCACACGTCGAGGCGCTTCATTGATCTGGCTGAAGGCATGCGCATGAGAACGGCCGGCGAGCACGAGAGAGGCGCATGAGGACGAGCTGCTTGCTCAAGGTGCGCATTCCGACCGGCACCGTGACTGTGCGGCGCGCGTTGTCCGAGCTGTTGCGCACGAAAAGAGCAGAGCCGTGGTGGCTGTAACGGCGGCCCGGGAAGACGTCAAGTAGCGTGAGGTTGGCCAGGTTGTGCGGCGCAGCTGCAGCCAGTGCGGCGACGGCGACGGCGACATCGGGCCGTGCGCAGCTTCTTGCTGGCGCTGTCGGCGGACGAGCCGGAGCGCTTGGCGGGCACTTGCTGTGGCGCTGCGGCAGCTACGGCCGGGGCGGCGACGGCGACGGCGACGGCGCCGACAGAGTGCTGGGTGATCGGCGCCTGCGCCGCCTGCGCGATGCGCAGCGCCACAGCGGCTGGGAGCGGCGGCAGCGTCAAGGCGGCCAGCCAGCACCGTAGCAACAGTGGCAAGCGTCGTGCTGACCGTAAGGCAAAGAGTGAACGTGAGGGGGGATCGGGCTGCAAGCGCAAGTGGGGAGACGGTGTGCTGGTTAAAGGGACAGCAAGAGATGGAGCAGGTAACAACTTCCACATGTGGAATGTCAATACAGAGAGCTTCTGCAGGCTGGACAGTATCTTGTGGCACTCAGCAATGTTGTTGTGGCTGCCCTGTAGGCATCCAACCAGGGTGCTGTTGAGGAAGGCTTGTTTGGAAGAGAGAAGCTGGGTTAGGGTGATTTAGGGAGAGATCACAGGAGGAGGGGCAGTGGGGGCAGGTGCAGCAGGTGCAGAAGGGTACTGCCTTGCCGCACAGTTTGCACTCATGCGCATGGATCAGTGTGCAGCTGTAAGCCAGCCACTTGCTGCAGCGCAGAGCAAAGAGAGGTGAACTGCATGGGACAAGCCACACATGCTCTCTCTTGAGTGGAACACAAGTTGGTAAAGGGCAAGGGGTAGGAGTCATGTAATGCAAAGCACTGCAACTTGCTGCTGCTCTCCTTGTCCATGTTTGACATGCCGTCAGGAGGTGCTGGCCAGCTGTGCACATGATTGATGCGCACAAGACAAACTGCAGCTGTTGGGGCAACTGCTCTTCTGCAGCTTTTGAGCAAGTAGAAGAGAGGAAGGTAGAAGGCAGCATACAGGCCCTCCTGCAAACAGAGGATGTGCATGTAGGAGCTGGTCAACTGGTCAGACATCTATGTGCTGCAGCTGAGCAGAATGCCCTCCATGCCCTTCAGGTTGGAGCGGAGCTGTGTAGCAAGATATGGCTGCTATGTCCCCTCTCACTACTTGAAGGGAGGAAGCAGCAGGTTGAAGCCTGCATCAAGCACCCAACAAGGGCTGAGTGCCTGAAGCGGCACAGAAGGAGATGCACATCATTGCAAAGAATAGACTGACCAGCCCATTGCAAAGCTGGCCAGGCTCAAGCTCAGCTGTGAGGTGCAGCCAGCAACTGAGCATGCGCAGCAGCATGGTGATGCTGAAGCTGGCCTGCTTGAGGCTGCCTTTGCAGATGAAGAGGGGCAGAAGCATTGCCTGGTGAGTGACTGCAATGACAAGAGCAACAAGGTTCTTGTGCACAGTCTCTGCTGCCTGCACAGAGGCAGCAAACGCTGTTCCATACCACCAGGTCTAGACACAGGTGCAGGGTGTCCTACTTCAACACAAGTATAGCACCTGTAGGGAGCTCTGTTCTCTGGTGCGTGAGGGCGCTTGGGAGGGGTGAATACAGAGACCTGAGAAGACAGGCTATCTGCTGGCTGTGTCATATCTACCCTCTGCTTCCAGGCAGCTAAGCAATTGGCCTGATGGCCAGGCACATCCAACTTTGCCTCCTTGCCTCCTCTTGACTACGCCACTGGTGAGAGGATCTACTACCCTGGCCTTTTCTTTCTGATGTTCAGCGCCAAGATTGATCCGCTGTGCTTTGACAACCTCAGCAAGATAGACTGTGGGTCAATGTTGGAGGAATGAGTGTCCAGCTGATTCAAGTGATGGCAGCTGCAGCGCTGCAGGCCATCACTGACACTTCTTGTGCACAAGGCTGGATTGTTCTTGACCTCTCTCTTTGCACCTTCTCTGCATCACAACTGACCAAGGACAAAATCAAGATTGTGCGCTGCTGGCAGCTAGCCAATGGCAGACTTCAAGCACCTCTGCTTCAAATCTTTCTTTTACCTTTCTTACACAAGCTACTGGTGCAGGATGGATGGCTCAGCGCAAAATTGCTTGCCTCAAGCAGGAGAAGCAGGAGTAGGCATTGTTGTTATGGCTTGGCAGCTTCTGGACCTCCTCCTGATTGTCAGTCTTCTTGCTGTTGCGCCACATCTGCCTAGCTACTTACTGCGTCTCTTCAAGCTTGTCTCCTCAGCATTATGGCACATGCCCATGCCACGCCCACACCCACGTCTGCGCCAACACTGTAAGCTCAATATCATCATGTTCAACAAGATTGCCAATGTTGTCATTCTTCTGTGCTACCAGCCTCACTGCTTGCATCTCCACTGTTCTAAAGAGCAGTCCAATGCTCAAACCCTGGGACTTCCCAAGCGCAGAGCTGCCTAGCAGTCTCCTGCGCTTGTAAAGCAAGCTTCAGGCTGTAGACTTTCATGCCAAGCTTGCCCTTACGCTCAGGCACATGCAACTTTGCTTCCTCTTGACTATGTTTACTTCTGGCATGGGTGCAGAAACTTGCGCACCCAAATAGCAGGCAAGAAGCTTGTGGTTGCCGTTGCTGTGGTTGTTGTTGCTGTTGGGGATGCAAGGCAGGCCAAATAGCTGAGCAAAACCCGCAGGTGTGTCAAACAGCGGGTGGATGCCGTACAGACCTACAGACATGAAAGTAGTGGAGGCGCTGGAGCTGCTTGACTGGGCAGAACTTGTAGAGCATTGCACGCAGGCCTGGTCTCCTAGCAACTGCAGACCAAAAAAGGGCAGCATGATCACAGACTGGGAGCAGCGCCAGAGCATCTCAGGCAGCATTGCAGAATGCTGAGGACATGTGCAAGGGAGGCCACAATGTGTGCAGCAGTCACAAGGCCGCTACAGCATGCTGCTACTGGTGGCTGTGCTGCTGCATTGCACTCATTGGATGCAACAGGCATCACATACCTGCATCATCAAGAAGAGGCAGAGAAGATGGTGTGAAGCAGTCTGTGGGTAGGCGGCCAGCAGGTGCCAGCACTTTGTCCTGCATCAAGAGTGCCTGACATTAGAGCTCTGAAACTGCATGCATTCAGTGCGCCTGCAGGAGGAGGTGTGTGGCACTTGATTGCTTCAATAGACATGTTGGTCTGAGGTCTGCATCACTCAGATGTGAGCCTGTACATGGCTGGCAGATCAGGCTGCACACCTGCAGCTGCACTGGCAAGATTGGCTGGGGACAGGCTGCTTGAAGGGGCTCTCAAGGCAACTGCTGCAATCAAGGTGGCACCCTCAACGTTGGCCGCCCTGGGGCTTGCAGCGAGCAAGGGCAGGGACATCTTTGGCCCAGCTCAAAACACTGGCAAGGCAGGTGCGGTGCATATGTCAGGGCTCACACAAGCGTGTAGCCTCATCAGCTGCATCCTTGGAACAGTATGCTGCGCTGCAGCCGTAGTAGACTCAATGCCAGCACCTTCTGGCACTGCCCTAGCCCCTGCATCAAACAACAACACTGCAACCAATGCTGCAGCTGTCAAGATCTTGGCCATTCATGCCGTGCTGCTCCTTCTGCACATCACTATGGCCCTGGCACTTAGTGTACCATGGTGCAATGCCACTCTGGCAGTTATACATGCTCTGTGGCGCCGTGTGACCTCCTCAAACACATTCCTGTATGTCTGGCACATCAATTTGCTTGGAAACCTTGAAGGCCTGACAGTGTGCCTGAGCCTCTATGATGCTGGCTGGCGCGCAGGAGGCTTGTATGCCTGCCAAGGCTCCTGCGCTGACAGGGCATGCAGCACGCACAAGTGCCATGCAGAGGATGCGCTGTGCCCTCCTACCTCATCCCCATCCCTGCCCCCTCCCAATGCATTGTTGGGGCAAGGTAGCTGCTGCTGCTGCAGCACTCAGCCATTACAGCCACAGAATCCTCATGAGTCAGCTTGCCAGCATGACCCCAGCTGAGGTCAAGCATGAGCAGGCTTGGATCAGTGAGCGCAAAAAGCTTGTCAACAACATGCTGGAGGCACCATGCAAGCATCATGTTGACATGCACTGCACGCAGAAGGCCTTCCACAGCTACTTCTGCACCATCAAAGGCCGCTTGCTGCAGACACACTTGCACCTCATCAACAAGCGGCATCTTGCAATGCTCATGACCAGTTACCTGCACTGGTGTGTCAAACATGCCAAGGGCTGTGGCAACAGCTCCACTGGCGCCTGGCGCTTTGGACAGATCTGCATGCAGCTCAAAGAGTACATCATTGAGTGAGAGCAAGCCAGCCAGGGGGTTGACTTGCGCACACTTGGCACTAGGAGCTATGAAGAAATTTTCTTGCAGCCAAGATTCCAGGAGCATGGCTGGCATCACATCTGGGGGTGACGTCAGGCAGGGCATGCAGACAGAGTGACCCCAGGCCACCTACCCTTGGGCCACATCCACTTTTGGGTTCTCCAGGCAGCAGCAGGCAAAGGCGCTGAATACGCTCCTCTGGATTGTAGGCACCTGGCTTTTTCTCCCACTTGCGCTCCTGCACTTGCAGGTCAATGGCCATGCACAAACCCTTGTCCTCCTGCGCAGCCAAGTCACCTGCCATGCCCTGGCCCTGGTTGTTGTTGGAGTACACCGGCGCCAGCAAGGACAAGCGCATGGCCCCAACGGGCAATGACGCCGTGAGCAGCACAGCTCAGCCAGCATTGCAGGGACAAGGGCCGTGCAGGGCTGGCGGGTGCACTGTGCACTGTGCAGAGTGCATCCTGGTGCTGGGCAAGGGATACTGCCATGATGCTGGCAGTAAGGCTTGAGTGTGGTGTGGTGGCAGGAGGAGCCCTGCAAGCGCGCCACTGCAGGCCTGGGTGCGGCTACGCGTGCGCAGGTGCATGACAGCAACTTGCAGCGCCTCCTGCGCCGCAGGTTGCCTCTTAGGCCAGGACCTGCGCGGTGCAGAGCCTCCCTTCCCACCACCACCACCCAAATTACCCCTGCGGCATTGCCCCTCAACAGCCCCTCCACCCTTCTGCTACAGCCACTCCTCCCTCTGCCAGCATGTTGCCGCCATCTGCCGGTGCACCTGCCTGCTTGGAGCCCGCCATCTTGCCATTGCTGTTAGCTGACCCGCCTGCCAGCTGTCTTTCAGACCCTATCCATGTGCTGGGCTCACAGATGGACCAGCTGCGCAGCTTGTTGCCGGCACCGGCAGTGGCTCCATTGCCAGCACCTGGTCCGTCTGTCTGCCACGGCCGCGCTCACTGCAAGACGCAACGCAGCAATCTGCCCACCAAGGCAGCAGCACCCAAGCAGGCCCGCACCAGCTGCTGCGGCGTGCAAAACCAGCTGGCTCTTGTTGACAAGCGTGCCTGCGCACTCCTGCCCTCATTGGACCTAGCAGCGCCGTTGTCTGACACTCTGCAGCCCAGACTGGTGCCGCCTTGCCCCAGCGCCAAGGCAACGCGCAGCGTCACTGCTGCGGCATTGCGCAGCAGAGTTGGCATTGCGCAGCTTGCTGCTGGCGCGCGCCTGCGTTGCAGTTCTGCCTGGCACAGCCGCAGCGCCCAGCACTGCTGGTCTGTCTGCCGCTGCGTCTGCCAGCAGAGCGGCAGCTGGCCCCATTGTGCTCAACACGGTGCACACAAGGGTGTTCTCCACACAGGCAACACCACCACTTTCATGATTGCCCTCTGGCACCACAACGGCAGCAATGTCCAGCTCTTCCAGTGCCGCATTCATTGCTCCCAGCTCATAAGCAAGAACACCGGTTTGGGCTGCACACAAAGAGCAATGGCAAGATATCCAAGTCAAGCATGCAGCGCTCCCTCTCCACCAAGGCTTGCTCTGCCGTCCTTGCTGCGCTTGTTGCCATGCAGAACCCGCCAACCATTCTTGGCTTTGCCGCCATTGTTGCCCCAGCGGACCTTGAGCGCATCCTGCTTGATGTTGGCCTGGTAAAAGCAGTGCCAGTGGGTCCAGTGCCTGCTGTGAGCGGTGCCAGCCCAGCAGCACCGCCAGCAGCGCTTGCAAATGCTCCCATGGGCCACTACCAGCAGCTGCAGCTTGAACGCATCAACATGCTTGAGGCGCAGCGCAAGGCTCTGCTGCAGCTCCCCAATGGTGTTGTCACGCTGTACTACGCTGGCAGCACAACGTGCAGCGCCGCTCTGCGTGCACACAGCAACTGTAGAGCCGCTGCTTGCACCGCAAAGAAGGACAAGAGCGCAACACAGACGGTCAAGGGATTCTATGCTGCTGGAAGCACTGATGACCGGCTTGTTGCGCTGCCCCTTGTTGCCAACAACAGCTTTGGCGTGCACCTCCTCAATTGCATTGCCACCTGCTTCATGCTGATAGGTTGATGCCTCAATGCTAAGGAGGGAGGGAACTTTGTTGCCCATTGCCATGCACACTATCCGCCAAGCCCCAACCTCCTGCAGTTGCTGCCAGCTGGGACCAACTCACGCACTGTTTGTCTTGTTGTTGTCATGGAGGACAGTGATGCCAAGTATGGATGTGCTGCTCTGCGCTCAAATGTCTCAAGATCAAGCGCTGAGGGCTTCCCAATGTCCACAACTGGTGCGTCTTTGTGAAGGACGCTCCCAGCAACATAGGATACATGCAGAGCAAGGTTCAGCACGTAGGAGCGCACTATGCTTGACTTCTGAAGCGCACAGCAGACTGGTGGGACAGGAATGGCAAAATTGGCTACTGTATGATGCCACACAAAGTGGCAGCCTATGAGCTGTAAGCTACAGGCTTCCAGGCAGGCTGATGTAGAGGAAGATGCTCTACAGCGTGGGATGTGTTGGCAGGGCAGCAATCAAAGCTTGACACTGTTCACTGCAGATGATGTGGGGCTGTTAGTCATGAGTGCCTGCAGGGGGTCAGCGCAAGCAGGTGAATGTCATTGGTGGCCACACTCACCTGGATTTGCAGCAGCCCAAGCAGACCAAGCAGTGCAAGACAAAGCAAGTCTGTGTGGTGGTAGACTGTCCAAAAGATGGAGTCCCACCAGTCCAGAGGCAGGAAGAGCCAGTTGGGCAGCTGCTTAGAATCAAACATGGCCTTGTACGTGTTGCTGACAAGGGAGACCTCAATTGCAAGACTGGGTGCATATGCTGGCTGGATGGGAGGCTGCTCTGCAGCGGCTGCCTGCTGCTTGACAGTCTGCATGTTGAGATTGGCCATGCTGGCGGCATTGTGGCACAGGCGGCGCGGCACAGCGTTGAGGATGGACAGACAAGACGCTGTACCTGCGCCAATGACAGATGGAGGTGTCAGACTTGCAAAAGAGAAAGGAGGGCTGGCGCACAAGAAGAGATGGCCGCACCTGCACCAATAATGGAGACAACACGCGTGATGGTGCAGGGCTGGCGCATGAGAAGAGATGGCTGCACCTGCGCAAATGACAGAGACAACACGCGTGATGGTGCAGGGCTGGCGCACAAGAAGAGATGACCGTGCCTGCGTTGACAAAGCGCGTGATGGTGCAGGGCTGTTGCACAAGGAGAGACGACCGCACCTGCGCCAACAAAGCGCGTGATGGTGGTGGAGAAGAGAAGAGGAAGTAGAGCTGGCACGCAGGATGAGATTGCTGCGCCGCAGGTGGCGGAGATTGGCTGGCGCGCGAGAGCAACGCTCCTGTGCAAGCGGGCAATTTTCCCACAGGGTTGCTTGGATGGCCGCCAAAACCAAGCAACGTCACGTGACCAAAAGGCGAGCGGGCTGCAATTTTGTCACGTGCCAGCCGCCGCACGGGCGCGCGCGCAGGCGCCTGCACCTGTTGCCCGGCGCCGCGCCGCCTGCTCCTGCTTCTCTACCACATCACCCCTGCGCGCAACTTGTTGCGCCCGGCACGCTTCTCTATCACATATACTACACCTCCAACTGTCACGTGGCGTGCAGCGCGCAGCACAGGTGAGCAGGGCCGTCCTGCCCTCCCTTCCCCCCTGAGGTGTGATCACCGCTGACTCAAGGCAGCCCAGCCCTGCAATGTCTTTGCTTTGCGCAGTGCAGGACAAGCTGGAAGCCAGCAAGCCGCTGCCCAACCCGCTGCCGCACTGCCTGCTCATCCAGCCTGCGGGCAACAAGTATGCTGCCCTTGTCTTTGCATGCAAGGACCTGTGCACAATGTGCTTTGTCTCCTGCCCATCTGCTGTCCTCACTGCGTTAGGCATTGGGCTCAAGGTCAACACCGCATGGGCCAGTGCCTATGTCGCAGGCTACAAGGGGCGCTGCAGCTTTGCACCTTGCTCCAAGCCCAATACAGACTCTGCCTGGCCCAGCCAAAGGGGAGGGGGAAGCAGAAGAAGAAGAGCAAAGAAGCGCCTGGAGCGCCCTCTGAAGGGCCATCAAGCGCTTCAAAGATGCCTGGGAAGAGCAGGGGCAAACTTGGGTTCACAGCAGAGCATATGCAGGGAGAACAAGCTTCCCCTGCCTTCTTGAAGTGGGCCTACATGGACTTGCTTGAGCACCTTGTCACTGTGGTCAAGTTCTTACACCCTCTTGTGAGGAAGGAACTTGAGAAGTTACCACTCACCAATCATCCTGCTCAATTGTATGTTACAGGCAGGGGCACAACTCTGCAGGCATTGCCTGAGTGGCTGTGTGTTACACAAACCCAGCAATTGCCACATGCAGAGGTCAGCGCCTGCTGCACTTGCCTCTGTGGCAGTAGCAGCAGATTGACATGCTCAGGCAAAGCAAGGGTGCCATTGTGAAGCTGTTTGATAATGCTGTCCTGCCCAATGTGCCTCTCCAGCATAAGTTGAGCTCACACGGCAGCTGAAGCAAAGGAAGGATGCCTTTGCAGCTCTGCGCAGAGAGACACATCACACTGAGGTGCTCTGCAAAGGCTCCAATTTTGCTGCTACTGTGCAAGGCTATGCAACTGGACCACATGACAACATGCACAACTACTGCCTCACCATCCTTCTCAAGGTTGGCAAGATACTCTTCATACTGCAGACACATATCTGCAAGCCAAATAAAGACAACTGCATTGGCATCTCTGGAGCAGAAATGTGCATGTACATAGGGCCTGGCCACATCCTCTTCTTTGATTCATGTCTCTATCACTGCACAAATGCTTCTCAACTCCCTGCTGGCAGCAGAATGCTGCTGGGCAGCATCCTACTTGATGCACAGCTTCTTCACCAACACTGCTGCACTGAGGTCCAACTGTGTGGAGTTTGGTGGCAGTCATGTCTGCAGCACTTTGGCAAAGATGCTGTCTTGGTTCTTCCTCTGCTGGCCATAGCTCAGCGTGCCTGTGAGTAAGAGTGCAGCAAGGTTGTGTCTTCCTGACTCAGGCCAACATGGAGCACTTGCATCATGGGCCTGCGCGCAGCGCAGAATAGCTGTGTGCGTGGCATGCAACGTGGGTCAAAGGAAGCCAATCTGTGCAGAGAGTTGATCTTGTTGTTGATGTGCAGCATCAGTGCAGTTTCCACCCTGTAGAAGCGCACTTAGACCTGGTTGATTGTCTTGGGTGACAGCTGCAGCACACTTCCAGGCACAAAGAGCTTGCTGCTGTTGCTGTTGACAAGCTGTTTGTACCAGAGCACAGGGTTGTACCACAACCAGCCCTGGCTGCCCTGGCGCCTCCTGCAGCGCTTGCGCCTGGCAGTGGCAGTACTAATGGCAAAGCGGCTTGTGCATTGTCCAGGACGCCGCCTGAGAAGAGCATCAGGGTGGCTCATAGGAATGTGGCTGCAGCCAGGCCCTGCACTGACTCAACTGGCAGGTGCATTGGCTACTCTGACTCTTGGGAAGCCTGCTTGAGCATTTCTACCACATGGGATATCCAAGGCTAGCAGGCGCCACTATCCTGCTGTCTGCAAATCAGAAAGCAAGCAGCTTGCTCAGAAATGTGGGCAGTGATGCACATGCCTGCCAAGCAGCCGGTGCGCACCCACCTGCACGCTCATGACCCTGGCATAATTCAAAGGCCTTGATGTTCACGCATTCCTTGTAGTTGTTGCAGCCCATTGCAGTCTTTGCAGCCTTGCACTCCTTGCAGCACCTGATACTGCATGCAAGCAGGCTCCCAATCCAGGGGCGGTAGTCTTGAGCGCTTAAGCACACAGGGTGCCGCCTTGCAGCATGGTAGCGCCTCACCCACATGTGCCTGTTCTGGCAGGCTCAATGATTAGGCTTGGCAGCAATGCTGTTGTTTTGTCACATGTCTTGAGCTGGGGCAGGGCTACAAAGCCGTCCTGAGGACCAGAGATTGGCAGAAATGTGCCTCTTTGCCTTGGCAGAGTGGCCAAAGCCAGGACACACAACGGGATAAGCGCAATGGGACAGATTCTGCAGACTCTGCAGCTGTTCAGCCCAGGAGGTTTGCACTCCTGACATGGGAGAACAGACGCTGCTAGTCCCTACAACTGGCTTATCCCCTTCTGGAGTAACAGGTGGACCCATAGAGAAGGAAGAGCAACGGCGCTTGCATTGCCTTTGAAGCATGAGGACCCTCTGCCTCTGACCCTGCAAGAGCAGGTCAGAACTGTAGAGGTGACAGGCAATCTCTCCCTGCTGTACACAACATGCGTCAGCATTGTGTCCCAAGTCATAGTCTGCAATGCAGTCAGAAATCACTTCCAGTTTGGCATTCTGCAAGACCAGCTGAAGCTGAAGGACCTCCTGGCTTTGGCAGGTTGGTGGGTGAAGCTTGCAAGCATTGCCAATTTAGATGCATAGTGGGAACCAGGCAACAAGGTGAAGCGCAAGGAGACTGTTGCCAGACCAGCGCCACCCAACACACCTGGCTTTGACTTCAGCTACAGCTTGGATGAGGAAGAAGCAGACATGCTGTCTGTTTTGAGCGCAAGTTAGGTTATTCTTGCTTAAGTGAGTGCACTGCAAAGACCAACACCGCACAACTGCGCTGATGTGTTGCAGTGTAAGACGTTGACATGCTGCTGCCAGAAGTCCAGGGCATGCAGATTGTGCTTGTCTAGATGGGCATGCAGCTCAATGACAGCAGTGAGTGGTAGTTTCAGCCTGATGTAAGGCTTGCAGGCCCACACAAGCAAAGTGTCAGTCTTCTTTGTCAACAAGCTTGGAGCCATCTACAAGACCTTTGCGGATATCTGCTGGCAAGAGGAATTATTGCTGGCCATGCCATCAACTTTATTGATGCTGTTGTGGGCATGCAGTATTTGTGTACTCTGGTGTCAATGCATGGGTCCTTGTTCACCATATTCTGAGTCTAAATTTTATTGAGCTTGCTGCACAGGGGCGCACAAAATTTGAGGTGCGCAACGCCAAAGACAGGACCCTTGCCGGCGCAGCCAACCATTGGGCCCCAGCGCAAGGGAGTGTAGGTGCCACTTGCCAGGATGAACTGCTGCTGCGCCATGCGACCTGAGGCAATGATGAAGGTTGGGCAGATTGCCTGGATCACCTTGCGCAGCATGGCATGCGCCGTGCGTGAGACAGGAGACATTGGAGCCGGAGGAGGGCAGCAAGTTCCCTCATGTTCACGGCCAGAATTTTGAGACTGGCCTGCACCGCATGGAAGTGAGGGCAACCACAGATGCAGCCACGGCAGCATCCACCAGACACATAAAGGGTGGGCATCAAGCTGCACTGCTTCTCCCATCTGTCTGCCCCACTCCTGCAGATCTCCCACACCTTGCGCGCTACGCTCAGACCTGTCTTGCAGGTCTTGGTCTTGATGCCTTTCATGATCTCAAAAACAGGTTGTCTTGTACACAGACGCTGCGGCTGTGCGTGCGCGGCGTCACCAAGGGCCAAGGGCATTGGATGCTGTGGCTGTGCGTGCGCGGCGTCACTGAGCCATGCTGGGCGGGCAGGAAGGGTGTGCTGCTGGAAGTGGCAACAATTGGGAGCCATGTTTGTAGCATGGCAGGCAGGAAGGGTGTGCTCCTGGAAGTGGCAATGATTGGGAGCCATGATGTCTGAAGTGCAGCAGGAGGGAGCAAGCTTGAGAGGCAAGACAAGAGGCTGTAGGTGGCAAAGCTGTGCAGGAGCGCCTTGGCTGAGAGAGAGAACACGCAAGAGAGAGAGAGAGAGAGAGAGAGAGAGAGAGAGCAGGTCCCAAACGTTGGCAGAGAGAAAGAGATAAGATTGTCACTGTACACTGCAAGAAGCAGCCGCACATTGGCCTTGATGTAGAGGCAGGAGTTGCTGTGGCTGCGTACAAAGCCGTTGGCAACAAGTAG